CTAGAGGAACTTATAGTAGCCTATATAAACTGTATACGTAAAAGGCCAGCCTATAAGTATATTAAAACCTAATATAGCTGTATAAAAAAAAACGGTCCGTGCTAAATATAGGCCGAAAGGAATACTATAGTACGGCCTAAGCAGGCGCAACGAACTTTATAAGCTCGCGGCGAAGGTATTATAGCTAGCCGCATAATATAAAGGCGAATTAGAAAAATTTTATAGGCGTATAAAGCGTGGTATAATCTAGAATAAATATAAAAAGAAGTAGAAAAAGAAATAAAAAGCCTACTATAAAAAACTACGCTAAAAACCCCTAATACTAGCACTTAATACTAAATAGAGTAAATAATAAAAGGCACTATATAAAGGACTTATAAAAGTAGAAAGTATAATTATTATAAACCTATAAATAGAGTATATAGGGCTTAACGGTTACCTTTACTATATAAAAGTGCCCGGCTACCTAACGCTGGTATACTCTTGCGGGTATAGCTTTTAATCCCTAAAATATATTATAATAAGTTGCGGAAAATACGTTAAAAGTAGAAGTAAGCTATTCTAAAAGGCTAAAATAAGGACGTATAAATAGCTTTATAGAAGCTAGAAAAGAAAAAAGGCTATAGCCTAATAGCTTTTCTAAAGAATAAACCTTCTATTATACCTTTTAGTAGCTAGAAAAATAGTAAAGGCGGAAATATAGGTATTCTATTTTCTATAACTTTATATAACTATATATACTATATATACTATACTGCCTATATTATATATTTACCTAATAGCTATATCTACCTATATAATATAGCTCCTATATATATTATAGCCTATATAGTACTACCTTCTATATATATTATTTAATTTAAAAACTAACGCCTTAATAAAGGGCACGCGTGCGAAATAATAGTACGCGTGCCCTTATACTAATCCTAAACTAGCTTACTACTCCGGAATTAACTTAACCCGCGCCTAGAAAAATAACTATAAAACCCGGATAAATTTAGGAAAACGTATTATAATAGCCTATTCTATAGTAGACTTAATAAATCTATTATATATTTCTAATAGCTATATAATAATAAGAAAAGCGCTTAGCGCTATATACTATAAAGAACGGGGTTTTTATCCGAATACTATATAGTAGTAAACGGTTTCTTTTTATAAACTAGCCTAAATAGAATAGCTATATAGACCCTAATAAAAGCTATACTAGCGTAATAGAATTTAATAATAATAATAATATACCTTTTAGATTTAACGTAATTTTATCTACTATATAGCGCTATACTTTTATACTTTTTTTATATATAGCCCTTTTTTTTCTATTATACTATACTTTATATAAAATCTAGTCCTTTACTATTTTTAATAAGCGCTAGGTTCTATAGGCCCGCTTTATTTCCCGTATTTTTTTAGTATATTCTATTAACTATATAGGTAATACTTATTTTAACAGCTTTATAAATAGTATAGTTTTATCTATTATAGCTTATATATACTTATATAGGCGGTATATAAATATATTAAGATTTTCCTTTATCTCCTGCAGGTTATTTTAAGTTTCTAGCTTATTTAGCCGTATTACTAGGTTTTTTTATACTTTTTTCTATACTATATTCTTCTATAGCCTATATTATAGGGGTTTAGCTACCTTTAGTAGTAAAATATTAAACTCCGTATATATAGGCCGGTAATTAAAGTTATAGTTCTATTTTTTTTATACTATAAAAAAAATTATTCGTTTTATTAGCTACTTTATTATAAATATAAGGTTAATTATAAACTATAATATTTCTTTTACCTATATTTCTAGCCCTTTTTCTATAGCTAGCAGGTATAGATTATATTATATACTATCTATACTATAATAAAAGGGTATAACCCTTTTTATACGCTTTCTAGCCTAGTTAAAAAACTTTTACCTAAGCTTACCTTCTAACCTAGCCTTAAGAACTCGGGTAGATAAAGCTCTTTTTCTACGCCCCTGCACTAGTTTACTTTTTAAGCCTATATTATTCTTTTTTTTTTACCTATTTATAGACTAATATATATATCCGTTTTTTTAGGCTATATAAATAGTATTAAAATAAAGGCTATAGAACGCCGCCTTCTTTTAATAGTTGCTGCTATTATATACCTCGCCTTATAGCTAACGCTGCTTTATAATACCTTATAAAGTCTTTTTTTTATAAGGCTAACCGTGTTTTATAGAAGTTATTATTTATATACTTTTAGCTAGGTAGTATACTTTAATATTTCCTTTCTACTAACTAAAATAGAGTATTTATTTTCCTTCTCCTATTTACCTGCTATACCCGTTTTTAAGTATATTTAGCTGCTGCCCTAGTATTCGTGTCTACTCTACGTGTTATAGCCGGGTCGGTTAGGCGTCGTTGCCTTGCAGCGCGTTATCGGGATTATATCTGCTTAGAAATTATCCGGTCTATTATTTTTCCTCCTTCTACCTATCCGGCGGACGGCTCTATTACCCCTACTATACTAGCTATAACTATTTCCCTTTAGAAGCTTCGGGCTTTCTTATATACTAATAGGCGCCTACAGGTATTATATTGTTAATAGCTGCTAGTACTATACTATTTAAGGTTTTCTACTTAACTACTATAAAAATACTATTCCCTAGGTAAAGGCTATAAGTACTATACTATTTAAGGTTCTTTAATTAACCGCTAATAATGTTAGTAATACTATAGGTACTATAAATACTATTAGTTAATAAAAGCTTTAATAAAGGAAAAGGTAAAAACTTTATATTACTATTTTAAAAGTATTCTATTATACGCTTAGGTATTAGCTTTATATTCGGCTTGCTTCCTATATAAGTAGATATATATCGGATAGTTTTTATACCTATTTTAATAGTTATTTCTCTATTTTAGTAATACGGTTTATTATTATTATTATCCGGTTAAAGGCCTTCGAACGGCTATAATACTATTACTAGCTCTATTATACCTTAAGCATTTACTCTACTTACTATAATATAGGAGCAGGTTTATAGCACCGCTTTATATAGGCTACTTATCGGGCTTATAGTACTAAAGGCACTATATAAAGAACTTATAAAGGTAAAAAGTATAATTATTATAAACCTATAAATAGAGTATATAGGGCTTAACGGTTACCTCTACTATATAAAAGTGCCCGGCCACCTAACGCCGGTATACTTTTATAGGTATAGCCTTTAATCCCTAAAATATATTATAATAAGTTACGGAAAATATATTAAAAGTAGAAGTAAACTATTCTAAAAAGCTAAAATAAGGACGTATAAACAGCTTTATAGAAGCTAGAAAAAAAAAAAGCTATAGCCTAATAGCTTTTCTAAAAAACGGACCTTTTACTATACTTTTTAGTAGCTAGAAAAATAGCAGAGGCGGAGATATAGGTATTTTACCTTTTATAACTTTATATAACTATATATACTACGTATACTATATATACTATATATACTATATATACTATACTACCTATATTATATACCTACCTAATAGCTATATCTACCTATATACTATAGCTCCTATATATATTATAGCCTATATAGTACTACCTTTATATATATTATTTAATTTAAGAACTAACGCCTTAATAAAAAGCACGTATACGAAATAATAGCACGTGTGCCCTTACGCTAATCCTAAACTAGCTTACTACTTCGGAATTAACTTAACCTGCGCCTAGAAGGATAACTATAAAACCTGGATAAATTTAGGAAAATATATTATAATAGCTTATTTTATAGTAGACTTAATAGATTTACTATATATTTCTAATAGCTATATAATAATAAAAAAAGCGCTTAGCGCTATATACTATAAAAAATAGGGTTTTTATTTAAACGCTATATAGCAGTAAATAGTTTTTTTTTATAACCTAGCTTAGATAGAATAGCTATATAAACCCTAATAGGAGCTATACTAGTATAATAGAATTTAATAATAATAATATATCTACTAAAAATATTTAATAAATTCTAGACTTTAAAAAAGTAATAGAATTTAAGAAATAAAAGGCTAAAAAGCTCTAGTAAGCCTAAAAAATAATTAAAAAAGAAGTAACTAAGGCTAAGAAAAATATACTTAAACAGAGAAAAGTAGTATATAATAGCCGGGCTTAACTTTAGAAGTTAAAAAAGCAGCTTATTTAAAAAATAAAAGCTTTAGAACAGGCCTATAAAGTAGTAGAAAAGAAATTAGATTAAGCTATTAAAAAGGCGTAGTAAAAGTCTAGTATATTAACGAATTCTAATATTAAATAGCTTAAAATAGAGCTTACTAAAGCTTCTATAGATTTTATAATAGCTAAAAAGGCAGTAAATAATATAGTTCGAAATTAGCAGCTAGTTTATAAGCTTATAACTTTTCTTTTATAGCCTATAATATAGGAAGTTATCGACGTTAATAAAAATAAGCTAGATAATAAGCTAAATAATAAAAAAGGTAAGGAAAAAAAGTTTAATAAGTTTCTAAAGAAGTATAGTATTATAAAAAGTATTAAAATATAGCCTAATACTAATTATATATAAAAAACGGGTAAAAAGGTATTTTTTTATATTTTATACACTTATAGAACCTTAATACTATAAAGAAACTTAATAATATATATTTTTTATTAATATATAGCCTTAGTATAAACTAAATATAATATAATGCTAATTCTATGCGATTTTTATATACACACGGCATTTTCCGTTATATTACGTGTATATATGCACGAGCTAATTTAAATACCCTATTTAATTTAAATACCCTATCTAAAACTCTATATATATCGTAGATGCAACTACTCTATAGCTGCAATTATGCCTCTACCTGCTTAGTAACTATGTCTAGGATAACTAGCGTTCTGCTAGTCTCCTATTTAGTGATTGTGGCCTTGAAGGTGGATATTGTCCGCGAGCATTCCAAAGCGCAGGGCAAAGTCACATGTCATACATTCGTAACTATGTTCTGCTGGACGCAAACGTATAGGTACACATCTCGTTCGGTTGATATCAATTTATAAAACCGTCTATAACTGGGGTATCTATAAACCTACCCTACTATTTACAAACTCCGCCCGAGGCACAAGCCTTTCGACCTGCAAAGTTGCTTGGTAAACGCCGACATTTCCGATCCTCTACTCATAAAATCTTCAACCGTTCGTTGTTTGCTTACCTCCACGGCCCCATCCCAGATGAACCGCCCCCGAAACCCCCTAAGGCAAGACCTTGATCCAAGAACGTATTTGCCCACTCATCTCCGCTGAACAAATCGTCCAAATTCATTGTACTGCCCTCAAAGTGCCCATTCCCATTCATGTCCAAGCCGTTATGTCCTGGGCCTTGCGCTTGGTCCTGGTTTTGGGATTGCAGAGACATTTGAGGATTGTGTTGCGCACCTTGCATGAGATACATTGGCATCGGGCCGAAGAGCTGTACGTCACTATCCGTGCCCTGTCCGTTCGTAGGCGATTTGACCGACCCCATAGTGCCCGTTGACAATGCCGAAGGGTCACCAAAGACAGCAGGCTGGCTACTGGAGCTACCAGGGCGAAACCCCGAGAAGCTGTGCATTGAAGGTGAGGAGTTGGCGTCCTTGGGATTGAATCGGAAATTGGTGTTCTCAAAGGTGGTCATTGGCTGGTTGGGATAGGCGAAGGGATCCGTTGAGGGGAACATCATGGCCGACATGTCTGCAAGAGGCAGACTAGGATCGGGGAAATTGTTTGTTACGGGTGTCGCGGGAAATGACTGGATAGCCTGTTGCTGCGGCGTATGTTGTGATTGCGATTGCGCGTTGAACCCCATGATACTCGATGCAGGAGTCAAGCTGGGAGCAGAATCGAAGAAGTCGGGATGTGACTGAGTTGGAGAGGCGTGGTAAGGGGAATCTGCAGAGAGCTGCAACAGCTGGTTCTGGGAAATAGGAAGAGTAGGTGGGAAAGATGCGCGCTTGGAGCGGCTGCTTTGTGGCTCGGGAAAGGTACTCTGGTGCGGCAATTTGGCATCACTCTCCGAATCAGCGTCTGCTTGGGCAGTGCTAGGGTGAGATGTGCCCTGGCGGCGCTTTTTGCTTGCAGCCATTTCGCGCCCGCGCTTGAGACGCTCTGGAAGTTGATCAAAGATTACCTAAGACAAAGTGTGAGTATGAGGTACCTAGTTAATAAAGGAGCAAAATGAAGACTACCTTGAGTGTCGCAGTGCACCTGTCTGCTGCCATGCTGCGTTTTGCTAGTTGAGCTAGGACTTGTTTACCCTCAAGAGCGTCCCGTAGTATGTCGTTGCTTGTTGGATTTTCGTGATTCTCTAACGCGAAGTATACTAGAGACAAAATTGCGAAGAATGTGGTATACATGGAGAACCAATGGGCCCCGATCAAAAGCCCTTGTCGTTTCATCTCTGCAGTGATGTGGACAATATTCCGAGACACGCTAACGCAGGCGGACGCACAAGCAAATGCTCTCTGATCAACACCTTTAGATCTGCAAGTCTGAGAGACATAGTGCAAGAACGGCCGGTACAGCATCATTTGTGCATGAGCAAATGCCATGCGAAGCAGTTGTTGTACCCTACGGGTATCGTCAGTGGCGGAACGAGACTCAATAGAATTCAAGTATCACCAATGGCAACATACCGAATGATTCCTTGACGGGCTTCACCTCCAGGCTTAAGCCCCGAAGGTAGCTCATCGAGCCAGTTCTGCAAGTCCTTTTCAATTTCCCGAATCTTCGAGTAACTGACTGTATAAGTCACGGAGTTTCCAGCGCCTGTGGTATGTGTGCCTTGGATTGGGTATATGTGAAGAACGATTTTGGCCAAGATCTGCACAATCCTGGTGTGTTGATTGGAGCCAGCAATGACAGATATTTGGCCCTCAGGCATTGGCAGCAAGCCGCTCTCGGTAATGTAATCGTCGTCCAGCTCAGTTGGATATTCTTGGTCTATGTCTACATCGTTCAAAGTGTGAGGTAGACCAAGAATCGCGCCGACATAGGTGTCCATCTTCCTAATGACCCAAAATAGCCGCTTACGGGACTCGGCTTCGATAGGACTAAAATTGTCATTGAATGCGCGATGTAGACCCATGCGCAATGCGGATCTCAACGCCACGCCAATATATGCGTAACAAGTAGACAGCTTAGCGGAAGACTGGAGGAATAGGATCATGTACACGACTGCTTGGAGTGAGACTAAGTCTCTGCAGTCCGCGATATCCATTAGTTGTCGAGATGCCTTAAAGTACTTGAAACTAGCCGATGTCAGTGCTGTATTATATATCAAGCAACGGAGCGAGAAGTTTACCCTGAGTCTATTGCATTTTCGTAGCCGATTTCGTCAAGTTCGCTGTGATTTTTGGAAAACAAAGTACCAAGAGCCAATACAGAGTATAAAAGGGGGAGAAACGTATTCTCTAGATTTCCATAACTCTCAGGTGGAGTGTCGTAGACGCGGTCCATGGACGAATAGAAAGTTGGTAGATGAATGATCTTCAAGAGCGCGCTAGCATCAGTAAGAGCGTTATCGCACAAGACACGAGCTTCATTTTTCGGCGGCAGATCGCAACCCCCGAGCGTTATACTCGAATTCTGGGGTGAGTTGTGGGTGGAGTCGTAGGTAGACTTGGGAGAGTCGAAGACTTGGGACATGGGTCGCGATTTGATGAAAGGGCCGCCCTGCGTAGGCATGACGTCGCCAAATTGCTCACGCATCTTCTTGATGAAGCTCAAGCCGGACGAGTGGCCATGATAATCCCAATTTCCCTCCTCATCCAGATCCAGCTGTCCCGTCGCGCGCACCATGGAGACCAGATGTGAGTCGTCGGCCGTTTCTCCCGCATCGACAGGACGCGCAAACTGTCTGGCGGTAGGCTCAGCGGGCCGCGGAGGCGCACTCGCAATGGGCAGCTGGGGAATTACACCATTCTGCAAGTGCGCATCGATCGCGGGATCGTTCAAATCCAGGTTAGGTACCATGATATTTAAGAGTGCCTTTGCGCGTTTCAGTTGATTTTCCAGAGCCTCGATGTACTGCGGCGCAGCATTGCGACGTCGGTTTGAGGGTTGATCATAGGTGCAATCGTAGGAGTAGACCTTGCAGTGAAGACATGGCTGCGTTCCTATGTCAATCAGCGAGAGGGCCGCATAGCGCCAAAGCAAACAGAAGAAGGTCCGGCTGGTGCAAAAAGATTTGAGGTCTTTAACGTCTGCATATACAGACGAAGAAAAAAGCCATTTATGAGACGAATCGTCAAAGAGTACTGACCGTCACATTTTATTTTCTAAAAGAAAGTTAGATTGACCAGAACAGTGGATTTTCTGCTTTACCCACTTTGCGCCGGCACTCGTCGCACGCTCTTGTTATACGTCTTCGTTTCTGTATGTTGCTTGGAGGGGTACCGTTCGCGCTTTTGTGACTGTCTTCTGGGCCATGGTCTTCGGTAGCGTCTGGCGAAGTGCTCTCGGGCGATGGGCCCTCCGAAGAGAGATTCTGTGGGAAAGGAGTGGGGGCCATCACTGTCGACACATTGAGGAAGAAAGTCAAGTGTGGAAGCGCTTGGGTGACGATGACAAGAGGAGACCGGGTTAGCCACTTTCTCGGCCCCGTCTAGTGTCGTTATCCCCGACCCGAGCAATCCTTGCTTGGGCATCTGCGGGCTGCGTCCAATTAGGAGAACCAACGTCCTCGAAAATGCCAAAAAGATATTCCGAATGCCGATAATGTTATGTGGTGAAACTTGACTACCCTCTTGGGGGCAATCCTAGAAAGACTGCTATGGGCAATCCGCTGTTACTGACTGGCGCATCGGGGGCCAAAGCGATCCAAAGCCTCAATGCCTCATTGACAGCATTCCAGTCAGCCTTATCGTACGCCGCCGCCATGGTAGGGCGTTTAGTGTCGATCAGTCTTCCCAGCACAACATCGAGCGCAATCCACACTTTCCAGCACTGCATCAGCACAGGCAGTCTTAGGAATGGCTCTCTTCTTTGGGTCGAGTGAAGGCCCTGTGCCGCATCGCCACTAAAATGCGCGAGACCGGCCGCCCTTGGGGGCCCATTGCCAGAATAGATGTCCAATTAGATGGTTGCATCGCCCATGGCGGCTCGTGACTAATCTCGGTGTTCTCTCCTGAACAAAGCCCTTGCCGTGACCCGCCTTGTCTTATTTTTGGAATCGAACTAATGTCCGTCCCTGCGTCGCGGAAAACCCACCGTGCCGCAAAATATGAGGGGTACATTGACTTCAAACAACTCAAATTCTATGCACACATCGGCATTTCCAATAATTTTATATACGTCGTGTGCTTTGGCCACTCTAGAATCCTTAGAACCCCTCCCACGGAAAAATTACGTTCGCATTGTCGCCTTCGCGCCTGATCTGCGGAGAGCCTTCTTCTATAGCGTGACAGAATTCCTTCATTACAGCACCACCATTAAGCTCTTACCACTCTATAATACTTACAAATGGTCTTATCTAAGCCTTAGAGACTTGCTACGAATGCCGGGAAGTTATCGCCACCTGTGGCTGCTGTAGCGGGCAAATTCATGCAAGGTCGCCACCCTGATCGGTACTTCCGATCCGAAGCATTTACCAATCCGGCTAGGACAAAACGACCTACACGTTGTACATAATCATTATGGTGTAATTTACTTATATCATCTAGTAAGCCAAGCTTGTGCCGACTCCGGAGCAGTCAGCAATAACCCCGGCACATCTTAAAGTGGCATTTGCATTATTTAAACTTCATGCTCTTTCCTATATAACCTGCGCAACTCCTAGCATACGATTACTCTAAAAAGCCCTCCATGGCGTTCCCAGGGCCGTCACTGGCTCGACTTCGCTCAGATAATGCGGGGCATTGCTAGACAGATCATACCCTAAAATCGGCAGAGTGTGGCGCACCACAGCACTCTACGCTTGCTGTGAAACACTCCCACATTTCGATACTCTCTTAGCGAATACATGCACGTATATGCATCACAATGCCTTTCGCCCCTAGCCAGATTGATGATGCGAACCTAAATTTTTGGTACAGCGCAGAACAGCATCCAAATGGAGTCTACTATCGTGTGAAGCTTGGGGCACCAGCGGGTTTTCCTGACAGCTTCTGGGCTACTAAACGGTAATCAGATCGCATTCTATGGCGTATGATGGATGTTCGCATACTTACTTAGTGTAGTAAGTCGACGCAACCACAACCGCAGCAGTAAGACACTGCGTCTGCTATTTCACCGTCCCAGGCTACGCCAACCTACCATCAGTAGCACGTTCAAACCTTCCGGATTATTGCACATACTCTCGGACCGGTTACACCGGGTGGCATCTTAAGTGCAAATCACTGGACAATTTACTTGCTTGTTGGTAATGGACAACTTAACATGAAGATGAACCTAAGCCCTAATAAGACTCGGGGAATCTATGAAGTTACAGAGCAAGCTTATAAATGTTCTAATACTGCGGTACAATTTTTCAATTTTCCTACTAAGGAAAGCGTGACAGTTGGTTAAATTTTGGGTAAAATTACAAGGTAAGAATAGCACAGGTACTATATAACAGACGGCGGAGTGGGGTGTTAATGGTGGATGTACGTTTGTCCCAAATATATATACAGGATTATAACTAACTTAAAAACTAATAGCCTTACTGTTATACGGGGACTTGCTTAAGATTATCTTAGAGGTGCGGATAGTATTAAAAGTGTTCTAGCTGTAAATCTCCAATATTCCTAGCACCGAAACAATCCATCTATTGCACTAGTAATTTATCAGGGAGCATTCTTTTAAGGATAGGAACGGTGTTAGTGTTTCTATATAGTGGCCGAGTCTGCTTAACTATTAATAAAGCTGGATTTTATAGGGCGTTACTAACTACACACCCCCTTTTCACTCCACGCACACCCCCCCCCCCTCCCGGTCACTTCACCACGATCTAATTGGCCCGGAGAGGCCGGAGGAAGCTCCGCTCATTCACTGTTATCACGTGCGCCAGCGCGCCGGCGAGCCGTAGGCGTAGCTGTACGTAAGGCAAGGCTGTGCAGCATACCCGTTTTACTATGCATTCTTCCCATTTACTGCAGCCGTATATACGGCCGTACGTACGGCTATACGTGAGGCTATACGTATAGCTATACGTATAGCTATATAAATGGGAAGGCTGCGCAGCCTTCCCATTTATCGTGCATTCTTTCCGTTTCCTGCAGTGTATATAGGCTGTTGTATTGCTACCTACGTGCCTACGTGCCTAGGAGCATGCCTAAACTATCAAAACCTCACCTTATTACAGCTCCTTTGCATCATTCCTGGCACTCCTCCATTGCCCCGGCCTCCATCGCCGCTTGATCCATATAGCCCTCAACCTCTGCAAGATACTCAGCCTCTCGGGCCCTATAGGCCGCAAGCTGACGTAGTAGCTCCTCACGGCTAGGCCCTTCCTCCGCCTGGAAATGAGGCTGAGGATGAGCGCTATCCTCCCGCTGTACTGCCTCCTTCTTCCATGGTGCTGCATTCGAACGTGGTGCTGCCCTCTTCCGTGGAGCCTTATCCTTTGAGCTAGGCTGCTTGTGGCCACGCCGCATTTGGAGAGAGCATTTGGAATTAGTGAGCAACTTAAGCGAGCGAATCGGAGGCCTCGGAGCACCCCTCCGGGCCAATTAGATCGTGGTGAAGTGACCGGGGGAGGGGGGGGTGCGTGTAGTGAAAAGGGGGTGTGTAGTGTCACGCTGTTCCTCCAGGTTCTCTTGGCAGTTATTAAGAGTACGGGACATCACGTGCACGGACGTCACGTGATCCCGGGCCGAGGGTTCTTCCGGCGCCTTGCGCGCTCCACTATATATATGGCTCGTGGCCGGAGCCTCTTTCCTCCCCACGCAACCTCGTCAATAGCAATACAACCTTTTCCTCGGCCATATTCCTAACACTTACTATCTAACTAGAGGTAACTATAAGGCAATACACTACTAACTGGACTAAGACCTTAGCCGGGAATTAGTATTATAGTTAGATGTTAAATTGCTTTAATTATATATTTTGCAATATTAGGTCTATTTTAGATATTAATACTTTCTAGGTTAACTCTGTTAACGTACTCTATAATAAAATACCCTATTTTATATCTAGAGAAAAGTGCTTTAAAAAAAAGAAATACTTTTAGGATATATAGTATAGTAGAATCTATAAAGTAATATACAAAGATTTAATTATCGGCTTCTTATCTTTATATACTAAGCCCGAATTTTACTACTAAGTTTTCTAAAATTCTAACTAGCCGGTTTCTGTATTTACTGCCAGTAAAGTACGGAGTATTCTTATATATAGCAATAATATCGCAACTTTAAAGGGGTCCTAAAAAGCCTATAATTACGGAGATTAGACTGTATATACATGTCGATAAATAGCTTCCGCAGGGTAAGAAGAGTTTATGGGTTAAAAGTCGAGAAGCATGCTAGAACAATAGGAATTAACTGTTAGTTAATTACACCGTGATGATTATGTAAGACGTGCGGGGTCGTTTTGTCCTAGCTGGATTGGTAATTGCTTCGGATAGGAAGTACCGACCAGGGTGGCGACCTTGCATGAATTTGCCCGCGATAGTAGCCACAAGGCTGATGACAACTTCCCAGTATGGTAGCAAGGCTCTGAGACTTAGATAAGACAATATTGTGAGCATTAAGAGTGATAAGAGCTTGAAAATGGTGCTGTGATGAAGGAATTCTCTTATGCTATAAAAGAAGCTCTCTGTAAACCAGGCGCGAAGGCGACGATGCTAACGTAATTTTTCCGTAGGAGGGGTTCCGAGGGCTCTGGAGTGGCCACAGCACATGACCTATACAGAATTATGGGAAATTTCTATGTGTACACAGAGTATGAGTTGTTTGAAGTCATTGTACCCCTCATATTTTGCGGCACGGTGGGTTTTCCGCGACGCAGGGACGGACATTAGGTGCCCGTAGGTCTGACAAGGAAAAAGGCTTCAGATCTTAGAGTCTTCAGATACGAAACAGGCTTCCAGAGTAGCCAGAATTATATGTGAAACGAATGAGAATGGCAAGATCCCGTGCGTGATAGCTAAAGACGAGGCGGCAATCAAAGGTGGATCGACATGAACCTCAGATTCTTTCTGATCAGCTTGTTATCCGACTAGGATAGACCAAAAGGGCGAACGTGTTGGTGCAACCCAGAAGGCGACCAGCGACTGTATTCAGGGCATTTTCGGGTTTGTGGATGTAATATTCTGGCCGTCGCGGTCTGAAATGGCCCAGCAAACTGAAATGTAGAGCAATAGTCATTTATCGCACTAAAATCTTCTAAAGTACTTTAAAGTGCTACTGACTATGACAGGAAAGTGTACGGTCCTGTGGCGAGACACTGTAGACATTGAAAAGGAGTTCGACTTGTTGAAAAAGTCACGAAGAGCAGGAGGGTTGAAGTTCCAAGAAAACGGCACGTGACTTGTTAAGCGAAGCTAAGCCTGCGGCCCCGGCTTTGCGCACACTACAACCCAAATCGTGATCCTCACCTTCATCCGTTGCAATCTCATCGACCGAATCAAAGCTTCAAGATGTCGAGCTTCGAGCCAGTTGTAATTATGCCTCCACCCTTTCGCTGGAATCCAGAGCTAACTTTCGCCAGGTCGTCATCGATGGCAAGGGACACCTGCTCGGTCGCCTGGCCAGCACCGTTGCCAAGCAGTTGCTCAACGGCCAGAAGATCGTAGTCGTCCGTTGCGAGGCCCTCAACATCTCCGGAGAGTTCTTCCGTGCGAAGCGTACGTTCACCCATCCCGCCGTTGCGGAGCCAGATCCCGTCGACTCCATCAAGCCTTTTTCGAAGACATGGGAATTGGAAACGGCATAACAGGATACTATCGACTTGATTTCAAGAAGCCTTGATGGTTGGGAAATGGCCGTCTCTACATTCCAGGACTGCAAGCACCGAATTGGAGCGACAGAAGGCTAACGCATGTGGTGTTTAGTGAAGTACCAGGCTTTCTTGCGCAAGCAGACTCGTTTCAATCCCACTCGAGGAGGTAAGTTCCAGCTCCGGCTTCCTGGCCCAGCCACACATGAACCTCAAACTAATACGGACTGCCAGGTCCTTTCCACTTCCGCGCACCGTCCAAGATGTTCTGGCGAACCGTCCGTGGCATGATCCCTCACAAGACTGCTCGCGGAGCCGCCGCAATGGAGCGCCTAAAGACCTTCGAGGGTATCCCACCCCCATATGATCACAAGAAGCGCGTGGTAGTTCCCCAGGCTCTGAGAGTCCTGAGGCTGAAGCCTGGTCGCAAGTACTGCACAGTGGGACGCTTGGGCCACGAGTTTGGATGGAAGTACCAGGATGTCGTTGCCAGGTACGTAGCATTCAGAGAGGCTCGGACCTTGGACATTAGACTGATCAAAATAACCACAGGCTCGAAGAGAGGCGAAAAGTCAAGGGTACCGCCTACTATGAGCGCAAGAAGGCGGTGCGGAGGCAGCTTGCGGAGGCGCAGAAGACAGCGAAGGTGGACGAAAAGGTGGCGTCACAACTTGCCGAATTCGGATACTAGATATCGCACCTGCGATATGGTGGCGTAAGGCGAGTTGACGAACGACGACATGGCTCAGTGCAGCAGACCGGCTACACGATGACTATACACCTTTACTCAATCTTGTCTTCGGCCTGTGGAGAAGCGATGCGGGTGCTTCCGGAATGCGGTATCTGTGTCAACGGCTCTCTTCTTAAGGGTCGAATGGTTTCTTTTTGTTGCTCTAGAACTACTAGTGCAATCAAGAAAAATGAGAGCTTCAACACAAGATGTCACCAAGCTACGCCAAGTGATTGAGGTATCACTAGGATGAGAATCTCATCGACAGAAGTTCGCAGCGGTGTGCTTGATACGGAACTGATGGCAAAATGTCATAATGACGGTGCACTGGTGCATGCTAATGATTAATCAAAACCAATGCAGGATCGCTTTCGAGTCTTCTATCTCGAATATTCAAGGTAGCTTAAGTGAATCGACATTCACTTGTTTCTACATTTTCTAACCGGTAGATCTCATCGTCTGGTGTACTCTAAGCCGCTGCTATGCTACCTACGTACGTAGTCAAATCAATTCATTCGCATTCTCACTAATTCTCAGATGTGTTCCAGAAGACGGGTGTGATATACAGGCTTCGAAACGTTACATCTTACGTTTTCAATCTTCGTGCGTTTAGAAGTGGCTTGACCTGATGGGAGAGGGTGTGCAAAATGAATGGCGGACTTCGGCGGCACAGGCCGTAGCAATTAGACAGCTTTCATGAGAGGCTTCGGGACCACTTGAAACATTAGTGAATGGTAGACTTATCACGAAGCAGTGTGTCTCAAGTCGCTGTTTGGAGCCCATTAGGTGGCCAGGGCACGTGACCTATATGCGGAGGGAGCTGCTCGCTAGACCCCTTTCATTTCTTCTATCTTTATGCTCATCATCAAGTAAACCTCCGTTCGTTTTCGCTTTGCAGTAATAGAAGGTCGCTTGATGATTTGGGGATATACCATCTACCGCCAGGAACTGCTCATGATCAAATGCGAATGAGAGCGCATGCGGGAGTTTATTTCGTATACATTTTGGCGAGCAGCACCTCGAGGACACCCTCGTCGATTTGCTAGAAACTTAAATGCATCAGAAAGGATTCGATGTGGGGAATACTAAATAATCTTCTTTCTTTGTCAGAATGTTACAACGCAAGATGCTCCAGGGGCGGGCTAACTAGACTTTCTCCAGGGACTGAAGAATGATTTCTTGTCCAGAACGCTCTATCTACGCCGAAATCTAACTACCTAAAGCGATCTGAGCAGATTCGTAACTTCGTAAAAGGTGGCCCCACCCAACATCTCAGACATACCAATGAAATGAAATAAATAAACCCCGGCCTGTGGCATTGGAGCTCGCTAGTACGCTGACACGTCGCCCTTGACTCATGCTCATCTACAGAGAGAATCTTTCCCGCTCATATCCCATATTCCCAATCTAAATGCGTCTCTCATTCAACCTTGTACGCATGATATCCAACATGTTCAACTAGATAGATCATGGGGAAACCTAACACCCTCCTAATCGCAAAGCTGCTAAACGCCTTAGTGAAATAGAAAATGAAGTGGTCAGAAAATAGAAGTGCTAAAGTCCGAATCAAGAGGCGAGATGGTCTTTACGCCAACTAAATCGGGAACCTCCTGGCGGCGTTGGCTTTCGCCCTGATCAATAGATTGTGTGCGGTCAAACGTTGATATCGAGTGTAGTGGTAGGCTGAACAGTCCGATCACTGGTTTCCTGCTTAGGCTCGAACGCGGGATCGATCTTCGATACTTTGGTAGTGATACTCTGGCTGGCAGAAGACACGGGTAGATTTAGAGTATGTGAGTCCTGAGATGCTTCCTTGCTGGCCGGATAGGACGACGACGTAGCGGATGCAGAAGACACTGCGCGGGCACGACGTCTAGGGTAATCTCTCACTTTCGGGTGGGTGTGACACTTGAAGTGGCGTTAGCAAATCCACCCGAAAGTAAGAGGAGTGGGGATCGAATTTACCTTGTAAACGTGTCTGAACCATGCAGTTCCTTTCTTCTTAGTGTTCACCAGGGCTATCCATTCCCCGCATTTTCCGCACAAACCTTTCCAGACATCGAGGTTACCTTCCGTCCGTCTCGTCTCTTGCGGCCCCTGGAACGCGGCACCTGTGGCGGCGCTCACTCCGTGGGCAAAAGACTTGTCGTACCAAAATGCACTGTTCTTGAGAGCAAGCCATCGGCCGGGCTTGCATAGTCCACACCAGCCTTCGCGCTTATTGCCACGCACTCGTACCCATCGCGGAGTATAAAGGTCGCCGCCAAAGCGAAGGTTTTGCTCATGTGGGGTCAGGTCGACATCAGAGGGATGCATGTCAGCTTCGGGGGGATTGGAAGGATCACCGCGAAGTGACGAATATAGATCCGGCGGGTCTGAAATATCTGCAAAATGCACTGCGCAGCCACTATGCCGGTCCGTTTCAGTTTGAAGCAAACGAAACAGGCCTTGTGAGGGAAGGGGACGTGGCACTTCAAGATGGAACGGCTGGTCCGGCGAGGCAAAGAGCGCGGGGTTACTAGATTGTAGTAGATGGGGCTGGGAGTACAACACGTTCTGGGTATGCAGCTGGAGGCTATTCGAGGCGCTTTGCGGATAGGCGGGCATGGAATGGTGAGGGTTAAGACGGGCTCCATACGAGGCGAACCGGTCCTGGGCATGGTTGATGTTGCGTGAGCCGGTCGGGGTCGACGTGGACGCATGGCCGGTAGACCAGCGCTTGTAGCGGCCGCTGTCCACGGTATACGGCGATGACCGCATGTTGTTGCGCGACGCCGGCGAGGCACGTGAGCGGCTGCCACCCCGCACCACCGAGTGCGAGTCGTGCTGAGACTGTCGTGGTGAAGCAAGCGGAGACATTAAGCTTGGCGCATGCTCAAGGCTACTCCAAGCCTCGCAGTCTGACGCGTATGAAACAGCCTCAGAGGCTGAAATGTCCTCGTAGGTCGACACTTCTGCCATGCCCCCAGTACTCGACATGGAAAAGGACGACTCCGACATGCGCCGGGAGGCGCTAGAGTTGAATGTTGTTATGTCGGGCTCGTTTTTCATTCCTGCATATTGTCTGAGGTCAATGATAGGAGTGTCGTCATCCTTGCCCATCATGCTATGTCCAAACTCGGACGCGTCCGGGTCCAGTTGAGGGAAGCCGTCCGGGTCTAGCTGAGGAAAGCCGCCCATATCGTCACAGGTTTTGCGCGCCCATAGGCCTAGAAAGAAATGGTCAGGTCAAGCATGATCGCTCGTCAAGAACGCTTACTGTTGTCAACTATAGTACTACCAAAATACTCGGCGGGGATAGGTTCTTGAAGGTATAAGCTGCGATATGCCTGAGCATTCATCGCAGAAGAATGCAGGGTAGACCCGTCTGGCTGATCTAACGACTGCACCGAAGGGCTGCCATCTTTGTTATTGGCGCCGGAGCCCTTCTCTGTCTGCGCGTACGAGTCTTGGTCATGTTGGATAGACCATAACGGGAACGACTGGGTTGGTCGTGCGTGCTGGAGGCTCTGGGTGTGTTGTGGGTGCAGGGGAATGTTCCCACAGGGGTACATCATCTGCGTCGCATGGCTTGACTGGTTCTGGGTGATGGTGTAGGATCTATTAGACGCCGGCCTGAATCTTTATACTCTACAGTCAGCGCTGCCGACCGTGGCAGATGTCATGGAATCAGAGGGCCTCACTGCAGGACAGCATTGAATTCCATTTTTAGCCTCTTCTCAACTCTTATTGCCCGTGAGGTGGGTCCCGTCGATATCTGTTTTCACACATTTGTCAGACGAGAATAGGAAGAGCATGACGGCTCGCACGCTGAGAGCGGCGGCGTGCGCCCGGCACTGCGTCGCCGGAGGAAAGTCCAGCGACGCAAGGGATGGCGGAGTACGCACGACAAGGAGCCAAGATGGACAGAGTGCAAACACCAGCGAAGGAATGTCAATAGTGGGAGCTGCTGTAGCACGCGAGGCGACGCTCGTGGTAATCTAACAAATGAAAATTGTCGCAACGGCGATTGAAAGAATGTACGGAGGAAGAAACCTTCTGCTGCCAGCGCGGAAGGAAGTCCCACTCCAAAAAGGGTCAAATGAATGTGAAAAGAAAGGGCGGGGGTTCTAAAGAGTGACGAGGCCAAAGTAAGAGAAATTGCAGACAGAGGGGAGCAGGGAGCATATGAGAGGGACGGCAGTGAGGAATTCCGCGCAGTGAAGAGATCACGCAACTCACTGGCGCTTGGTTTGAGCTCAGCGTCTGGAGGCGCCTTGGCTGCGAGATCTGGAACAGCGAGAGCGTGGGGCAGCTTGATGCAGCGAGGCAGGCGTTCGCGTGAAGAGTGAAGCTGGGAGAGGGGGCGTAGAGGGGGGTCTCGGAGTGCTGCTTGGGGGCTGTACAGCTTAACACCACGACAGCGAGAATACGAGAATACCAGCACGCCGAGTCTAGATGCTGGAGGTGAGCATCGTTCGTCGCCCTTGCGGCAGACGGAGAATCTGCACAACACGAACATGCTCAAGCAGCCCCGGACGCTTGAAGCGTGGTTCTCGGGCAGCTGGCAGCAGGGTGCCCTCTCACGGGACGGTTTCAGCAGTCCCTGGCCGGTGGGTGGTCGATTGAGCAGAGTGGGCGGGGCTGGCGCGGCGAGGGCGCTGGTGGACGGGCGAGACGTTGGAGGTTTGGATTGACTGACGCGGTGGAGCATCGCGTCGCAGCCAGGCAGCTGTGAAACTGCCACTAGCGCGCCCAGGCACCGCCACCTCCAAGGTTCGCTGCACGGGAGAGCGACACGCGGAAGACGCCGCATCGGGGTCACTGCGGAGACGACGCATCGGGGGTCACTGCGGCGATCCTCCTCGAGGAGTGGCAGTGTGGCAGAGTGGCAGAGTGGCAGAGGCTGCATGGCAGGAGGTAGAGGTACTTGTAGGAGACGTCGTGAGAGGGAACACGGCACCTGGCAATCCCGGGTGATCGACGACAGCACAAGGACCAAGGACCGCCCCAAAGCTGAGCTGTCCCTGTCAAAAGCTACAGCATCTCTTCACGTCCGGTGAACATGGCGCTAAACTGAGTCCATCCTGGTATACCTCTTTTCTGGGCCAGTACTTAGCCGGCTTGAGGATTGATTGGCTAGAATGTTGCTATTCCCCCCTAAAGGCGTCCGGAGTTGCCCCCTTATACGGTAAGTCTGTGGCTTGATATTAGAGAGTGACCACCGGACGTAAAGAGATACTGTAGGTACCGAGAGGCGGTACTTTCCGGACTATCCCACTTCTGCGGCTAGCGTTCGTGGCTTGCTTGGCGCGCTAGTTCGCCGGATGCGCCTGCACGCTGTACATTCGCCCATCGCGCCCATCGCCAGCACGATACGTCACATCGCAGGTCGCCCTGCTACATCGCAGGCCGTCCTGCATGCGTCTGGCCGAATGTACTGCTACCCAAGCTCCATTGCCCTAGTCCGGTATTCCCATTCCCATCTCTCCACACATTCTCCAGCACCCCGACATCCCACACCGGCCAGGCCAGCCTTGATGGCACTCACGTGGCACTCACACCGATTCCTTAGTGTCGATCTTGAAGCTCTCCGCCCTATCGTCCCCCTGACTTGCAATGCGCGCGTCCTCTTCTGCATACTCGAGGAGTCTGGCCAGCTACACCACTATCTTGTCCCGATGCACGAAAAGGCCTGGTCTATGCTCGAAGAAAACTGGTCCACTGCTTGGATGAGCTCGCTTCTACCTGTAACGAGGCATCTAGAGCGTACATACAGTCAAGGTACCTTAGTTTCAAGCTAAGCTGCACCATTACTGTCACCTGACTGATTATTCAAGAGAGGGCCTGATAGTGCGTATACAATTCCAATGCGGGATGGAAGTGCCAGTTCATCATCCTCTACATCATGTTTGAGTTTTGAAAGCCTACATGGGTACCCCAAGCGGTAGCAAACATATGTGTCCAGCTAGACTCTTGACAAGATAACATAGCGGGATGGAGTCTAGTCTTCTGGATTTGAGTACATTGTCTGCATATCCAGCATATCGCGTGGTGGAGGCTTGAAAGAATCTCAATACTTGAAGCACCCCCAAGTCCTGTTCCATACTACATGTGCCGATATAACTACTCACAGCAACTGGAGATTTAAACACCACGGAACCGACGCGATTCTCATCAATGCACTTCCACGCCCAGCCTCTTCTCCGCCTCCAGCAAACCCTCCACCGTATCCTTCATAGTGTCTTCCAGCTTCGTGTACTCCACGCCCAGCACCTTCGCCGCCTCGCTTCCATCCACCTGGTACACATCTCCCTTCAACCCCGCTCCAGGCGTCCCCTCGGGCACCCTATCCTTCAGCTCCGGAAGCTTCGCTCGGATCGCATCCGCCGCCGTCTGGTAGTCGAAATGATTCCCCACCAAGAACCTCTTCCCCGCAGCCTCTGGCTTCTCATACGCGCGAAGATGCGCTGCCGCCACATCCCTCACATCCGCAAACCCCGCAAAATCAATCGGCGGAATACTCTTCGCATTGATGAGCTTATAGATCGCCTCCGTCGACTCATTCAGGTGCTCAAGTGACGCGAGAGAGCCGAGCGTGGGACCAAAAATCCACGGCGGGCAAATCGTGCTGAGCTCGAAGGCAGGCTTCTTCTCCTTGACGAAGTTCCAGGCGGCCTCTTCTGCAAGCTTCTTGGATGCGCAGTAGGCCATGGGCCCGTCTGCGACGGCCGCTTCGGCGTAGGTCATGGGATTCCAGTCGGCTTCGTTGTAGGTATACCCGGGACGGTATCCCTGGCCCATGTCTAGGATCGAAGCGAAAGAGCTTGTGAGAACAACATGGCGCACTGTGCTTCCTGCTGCGGCTGCGGAGGCTAGTACGCCGAGGGTGATTTGTATCGCAGGCTGGAGGAGGTCGACTTCGTTGTTTTCAGGAGCCAACACGAATGGTGAGGCCATGTGCATGATCCCCGAAACTCTTTTGACGGCCTCGTCGAAGGCTCCTGGAGCAGTCATGTCGGGGACTATGATGAAGGACAGTTGGGATACATAGGGTGCGTGGATCTCCTTCATGCGCTCGGTAGAAGAGGTGGAGCGGACGGCGGCTCGCACGTTGTAGCCCGCAGCTAACAAAGTGCGGACGACATGGCTTGCTACGAATCCGTTCGCACCCGTCACAAGGATGGTTTGGTCAGATGGAGACATTGTAAGATAGATTGGAGCGGTGTACGGCGTTGGAAACTGTCAGTGCTTACAGAAAAGTAGTGGAGAATGATGATAGCTTGGAATAGAGTTTTCGGGAAGAAAGATCTGGCGGCTCGTTGAAGTAGATGGATGCTACTGCTTGGTTTTATAAACAACTTTCACATGCCCACTCCTCCAGCTCGTACACTGCTTTTTCCCGAGAGTAACTTACATTTCCTCAAGGGTCCAAGAGACGCACAGTGCTAAACGAGGTTGCGGTTTCAGCTGATTAAGCGTAACCGTGCATATCGGCTGTCCGCCAGGCCGCCCTACTCATCATCCATTGCAAATCGGAATGCGGAAAACATCTTATCGCCGGTAAAGACATCCACGTCAGCACCTATTTATACTGCCATTGGAGCGGGTCTTCCTCTAAACTCTCAGGGCCGTCCCCATGTCGTTCCCACTTCTCCAATCAGCGAAACCTCGCACTTACGACACCTTCTGGGCCAAGGCACAACGTTCTGATGAGGTAGGTGCGAACCCTTGCAATGAATCATCTACGGAGATGACGTAGAGAAAAGGTTGATCATGAGCGTTCGATTGAATCAGAGCCTGCAGATATTTATGCTTAGAACTCATGCAACGCATAGCCGCCAAGCATTGGTAAACTGATGACGGATTGAGCACGCAGTCTAGAAGGATGAGTATTCTGGAAAATCAAAGCCCTCTATGTGCCGGTACGAGGGGTCCATATCCAGAATGTATGAGTTCGGCTCGGCTTGTCGGACTACCTAGGAGTGTATTGGAACTGCAGTCGATACGTTCTGTCCCAGCAGATCCGTATACGTCGCCTTCATAAAGTGCCGTTTTCCAATTACCACTTCCGCCGTACCAAGTGCACCAATACGCATTATGTTCTGACGAGGTTCATGCGTTCCGATAGTGATGATGTTGAGATTTGTGCAGTTTTTTTTGGCTGCAAAGTAGGCGAATATATACTCTGTCGTCTCTTTCAGATAAGTGTCAATTGTTTTTAATGTGGTGGAGTAGGTTAAATTGTGATGAAATATAGAGGTGCCGTCAGGTAAGGTGAGAACATATAGAGTCTTGATCTTGGAGAGACACTGGATGGAATCCTACCATAAAATTATCAGGGATCGACTCAGCTTGCGTGGTTTGACGGTACTCACAATGTATGCTCGATAGTCCCCGTCCCGTGCTGGTAACTCGGCTAGAGTTAGTGGCGGAAATTGAACACCTAACTGCTCGATATGAGGACAAGTTAGCGGCAGTGGGCCACTCATTGCAAAGAGTCCCAAAGTCTTGAGTGTTTGTCCGTGCCGGATGAAGCTACGCAGCGACCCTGCGAAGTCACCATTAGTGCACACATGTAAGTGTGCTAAGCCTTGAAAGCAGTCCAGGAAAGCATTCAACGATTGTAGGAATCCAGGGTCGGTCGTCGTGCTCATGGCAGACCTAGGCTCCGAGACAGCCAAGTATGTGAGTTGTGGCTTGCTGTTTTTGAAGTTGTTCTTGAGTTGATACAAGAAACTCGCTATCTGCTCAAGATGCCAGAGCGCTAGCGATTTCAAGGCGACGAAATTTACGCACCGCGAGAGCATATCTAAGACACCTGGCATATTTTCGCGAAGATCAAGGGTTCTTAGGCGTGGTAGCGAAATGCAGGCACCGATCATACTACGCGAGAAATCGGCAGTGGTCCATGCGTGAAGTCCCCTTGGAACAATGATGCAAAGCTGTTCCAAAGATAGCGGCAGAGTCGGAAAACTCCCAGGAAGTGAAAGGTAAGCACGTTGATCCAGAATAGTAAGATTCAAAACCTTTAAGCTTGAAAGGTTTTGAAACAAGGGAGGAGCCAAAGCCGATACGCAAGCATGTGATAAGGCAATATCCAGGCTTCGCAAGCTCCTCTCATTATGGAGCAACCTCTTATAGTCCATAACGTCCAGCCGATGTGCTCTATATTCAGTTAATTTGGTAAAGTGCGGGATCCCTAGAAGATCTTGAAATTTTTTAGCACACGTGGTGGGAAAACACAGAGAAGGAGCTTCGTAGAGAGTAGCAACTCTATATCTGAGTCCACATCATAATGACACTGCTCAGGGAAGTTGTCTTTCTCCAGAAGTGTCAATTCTCGGTCATCGGTTAGATCATACCAATGTTCTGAAAAGAAAAGGCTCTGAGTGTATGACAAGTGCTTCCCGGCTCCGGCGCAGACTGAGATCAGTAGCCTATGGATGGCAGAGCGACTGAGCAGGTCGACGTTGATCTCTTTGTATAGACTAGGGGTAGCTATCGACTGCAGATATCTGCACGTCAAGCAGAAATTCTTGAGGTCGGTTCGGTACTTGATCTGTTAAAACGCTATTAATATTGGTACAGACCTAGGACGCGTCGGCATCATGCTAACAGCTTCGATCAAATGTAGTGTATAAATGGGAGAACGTTACGTACGTGGTCGAGTATCGACAGGTAGACATCTGGCGGCAGGGTAAGAAGTTGGACCATCGCCACATCAGACGGTGGGCTTCGAGGCGAAGTCTGTGTTTGAGTGAAGGTTGTTAGGTATGTAGTAGGGTCTCAGCCCATAGCTATTGCTGATGGCGGGCTGTCGATGTGACATGCGATAAGGTGTCTGAGTTGAAGTTCGACTTCAGTTTGGACGAAATCGATTGGAACGCGAAAGCACGTGATCAGGGTCTACGTCATCCCAAACTCTACCGTCTCATTTACGATCCGACCACGCTGAGTGTGAAAAGGTAGCACGCTCATCAAGCGCTCTGTCTCGTGTACCAGTGTGTATTTCTGTTTGCCACTGCTTGAAGTGCTTCAATGAGGTTCCGCATAGCCTAAAGGTGAAGAACTTCAATCTCGTTCAGATTTCTGAAATTGCGTTGAAGCACCCGCTCACACTCACGGCGGCTTTTTCTAGAAATTAGAGTACCACCTTTCTCATGCCCCGCGTGCCGACTAGATGCTGGTGTAAATTCGTGAGTATAAAGTGTATGTCTCACCATACATCAAGCCTTGTTCGAAAGCACTCAATTAAGCTATGCCGGTCCTGCTCCATTATATACGTGTCTGGCTCGAGCCAGTTCCAATGCTCGCATTCCAACATATACATTACTGTATTGCCATCTCCAACAGCGTTTCCATCCAACGCAATTGGAAACCCATCGATCCTCTATGGGGACCCAGCCCTCCTCATCTGCCTCGGAGGCCATGCTGAGAATCTATATACAGTAGCAACAAGCAAATACGCATCGCAAGAACGCATCATTGCGCCGCGACCAACTCCTTGAAACGCCGATGCAAAACTAAACCAAAACTATTAGATTAAAAGGGTCCCAAGTTGGTGTCTGCCAGAGCTTGGGCGAAGAAAGAAATGACATGCCGCGACATAGACACTTGCGGCGTGGGATGCCAAACGCGTGAGAAGTGGATATCGCGGAATAGAGCATGGAAACCTCTGGCGGGACACAACACCAGTTATGGCCGTTTCTTTACGTGACCGTCGGGCCCCACACCTTCTAGCATCACATTTAACCTTGATAAGGAGAAAGACGAGTTCGAAAGATGCAAAACGACGAGCCAAGCACAGAGAATATTGGCGATGTGGTGGAGGAGGTAGGCGTATGTCACACCATACACCGCGGCGTAGACAGCAAGGGCGAAAAGGAGGACGTTGGTGAGGTATCGAATCCGCGCGGTTACTCTAGGAACCATCCTGCCGGTGCTGAGCGTCTCGACGAGAAGGATGAATGGCATGATGGAGAGGATGTTGTGGTGGGAGGAGAATGGTGTCAACCAATGGACTGCAAGATTCCGAATCCAAACCACGAGAACGGGGAGGTTTATTGGCAAGATCCAGAGCATGAGTACCAAGATTGAGTGCGTATAGTTGTAGAAGTTGTAATTAGTATCAGATCGCTGTAGGTCAGATCAGTTTGAGTATTGTTTCGAGTCTTGGGCAATGCATACCGTCTCTCTTACAAGCTTGTAGGCTCGCGTGCAAGTTGCGATCTGAACAATACAGAGCACCATGTAGGCAAAATGGTACGGGATGAATGTCGAAACGAGCAAGAGAAGTACACTCGTGGTAATGACTCTTTGTTTTGTCGATGTTACCGCAAACGCCGTTGGCGTTCGTCTGAAATCATGTTAGGACAAAGCCTAGAATTGGAAGTGATTTACTTGCCGACCATCATCGCCACGTAGTGATGCAGAGTAGAAGAGTGAATAGACAACCGCGAATGCGTGTGTCACTCCAATTGCCACGTAATTCACGGCGACGCAGATACCAACACACAATAAACCGAACAACGGTACGAGGAACCAGAAAAACGTATCCTGAGATCCAAGAAGTAGGTCGTTCCTGGTGTAATCTACTGCGCTAGCGGACGCGTTATTCCAACTACCGGAAAACCAACGATTGGCGGTCCTGGCGGGGTCCTGGCTCGACTTTGCCAATGATATCGCAAAGAATGTCAGAGCTATGAAAGAAACTGGCAGCGACGATCTCAAGCATAGATTGAGGCTTTCAGAGAAGCTCATGAAAATTGCTATCACCACTCAGCTTACTTCAGGCAAAAGGGGTTAAAGACTTACCGGTCTCGTCGTACACCTTAAATTGCTTGCGTAGAACGAGTGCCACCACGAGCAAAGGAAACGCTGCGAAAACTATACGGTATCGCATCCAAAGCTTTCCCATACTTCCAATAACGTCGATCTTCAACGAGACAGTCATAGCGCTGTCGCATGTAGGGTCTGACCAAATTTGCAGCCCGAGTCCATTCGACGAGTGCTTTGCCAAGAAAGGAGGTGGCATATATGGTGCTACGCCATGCAAATTGATGTTGACCTCCTTCACATTGACGAAGAACTTCGACTCGTAGACTTCGGAAATATACTGCCGTAGGAGCGGAGTAAATAGTTCAATGCTGTCGCAGGACTGCTTGCCAATTTTGAGAGTGTATGCGAGCAAACTGGAGCGTAACGCTGGTATCTTGATATCCATAACCATAGGACGCTGCGCAGGAAATTTGAGATCGAGTCCGGTGGCGAGAAGGCGTTGTAGACCGGTGTTTTCCTTTATCACAGACTCTGAACTTGCACTGAATTCTGCAAAGACCCATCCAGGAATTTGTTCTCCGACTTTGTCAACCACTGCTACGAATTGATGCTCTGCGAGATCTTCGAGGTCGTATTGCAAGTAGCTAAACGGATGTACGCTCTTGAAAGGTTGGGTGGACTTTCGTGTGGACTCAGGAAGCATTATGGCATCGGAAGCTGCATTCTTGCATGCTAGACGCGTTGAGCCTGTGCTGTCACCAGACAGATCCATGTTCATTGAGAACAGGGTGGCTGATTGTCCAGCCTGAAGTGGGAAGACGCTGCAGAAAAGTACTTCCAGCTTTCCGTTTTCTCCGGGAGCATCCAGCTGCTGGTTAGTGAGAAGAGTAAACTTTCTTCCCTCTGGAGCGCCTTGCGGAGGAATCGGTAGTAAGTGGGCTTTTGGCTTCTTTGCTTGGCCAAGGTTTCGCAGAACCAGCCTCTCCCCTTGCGAACTGATAGCGTTTGAGTTATCTTCTAGCGTTAAGAGAGTTTTGGGTTCTGCAGCTTGGTTAGCGTCCCACGTGCGACTTGTATAAACGGTGAAAAGTTACCTTTGTGTGGTAGAGTTTTTTCTGCAACGTCCTCTAAACCAGTCAAAAACCACTTTTTGAAGCCGCGCATGCGTTCTGCCCGGGGGAGCGTCTGAGTGGGCCTCGAAACATCTATTACGTCGTATATTGACCGGACCACGCTCTTTCTAAACTGATCGCACCACGTAATAGCCAAGTGATCCATTCCTGTCCAGACATTTGGAATTGAGGCTGTGAAGACCGTGAAGCCGTGCGTATCAGGAACGAGCGAGGCGATGCTTGCATAATCCGAAGGTACTATGGTATCCAGACCTCCACCAGCTATGGAGATTAGCGTCACATGCCACAGCGGATTGTCGATGGCCCATGTCTGCGAATATGCGTGTCTCCAATAATCGTTCACCCGCTTGTATGTCTTGACAATGTCCCCGTCAAAGGATACCGGCGGCCTCGCGTGCGGCGCGGACAACGTGACAATAGTGTTGATCGAATTCGACTGATAGTTCAGCATGGTGAGCATTGTCCGTGCTACAATCCCCCCCATGGAATGTCCAACTATAATGACCGAGCTCGGGTCTGGTAGATCCGAATCGCGCAACGATTTGGAGGGGTTGTGGTAAAGGGAGAGTATGAAGGAGATGGCATCATTCAGATATTCGGCCTGGTCAAGCAGCGTCTGTCCATGGAAAGCAGTAATGTCCTCATTGAAGTCGACGGAGAAGAAGTCCAACGGTCGTTTTCCGGCTCGCGAAGCGCCCTCATCATGGCGGAGCACGTTGTGGTAGTGGTACGCAGCTTCTGCGCCGAGGGGCCGGACTTGCTTGTAGCTTCCTGCGTTGCCGGGGATGAAAAGGACGGGCACTCCCTTGACCTTGAAATCATTAGCAAAAGCGGGTCTAGTAGCGTTCGGAGGCGTACCCTTTTGTCTTCGTCGATGCCGCCCTCTCGATACAGATAGAGCGAGTATTTGCTGGCAAATCGCGTGTGCTCGGTGTCGAAATCAGAGAAACGGATGAAGGAGGGTCGCATGTAGGACATTTCGCATCCCTTGGGGTCCAATTGCCGGAACATGAAAGACTGGCCGACGATGAAGAGAATCACGAAGGCGACGGCCGTGGTCGCGAGGGTCAGCAGCGAGCACGACCACGGGTTCCGCATTCGCAGTCGCCGGCGGTTGTGGCCCTCGACCATGCTGTCCGGGGTAATGTCCTTGGCCAGCAGCGGCATGGCGAGGTGTTCTTTCTCCGGCTGGGGACTCGGGGTCGGCGAGGTCCAGATGTGAGGCTTTGCGCGGGGCGCGGCCGCATGTTCCTTTCGTCTGTCCTTGGGCTGGCCGTCTCTTCGCAGCGGATGCGCAGATTCTCCTAGCCTCTCGACGGGCTTATCGCCATAGCCGGGGACGGGGGGGCGGGCGACAGCTGGGCGCTGAAGGTCGTCGTCGTCCTCGGAAGTCGAGCCTGAGGGCCGTCTCCTCATTTAATCCGCCGCGGTCGCTGGGCAATGGCGCGCGGCTCTGCGAACTGGCGTCGTCGTGGGTGCGAGGCGTGTGGTCGGTGTCGAGGCGGGCGGCAGAAGACGCTTGGAAAGCTTCGCACTCGTCGCAAGCCGCCAAGGAAACGGGAACGAGCGTCGGCCGGATCAGAGCCACAACGAGTGACGTGCAGGAGGTCAAGGGCGCCGGCGGGCGAGCTATACACGGCCGCTGGCAGGACGATGGCAGTGTCGCGAGGGCATGGAGAGGCGGCGGCGGCGGCGGAGAGCAGTGCGGACGAGTCGAGGGTGCCCGGGGCCGGGTGCGAGTGCAGTGGACTGCGCCAACAGTGGTGTCGTCGATGGTGTCGCTGGTGGTTGAGGCGGCGGCATGCACGGCAAGGCTGGGTTTGCAAATGACGACGCTGTACGCGCACGACGCCGACAGGGTGCGTGGGCCTCGCCGGGCTGAGCAGAAGGCAGACTCGGGAGCAGTAGTGGGTGTGGAATAGCGGTCGAGGTGCGGCCATGATTTCTTCGTATCCATCCGCCAGCTGTTCTTACAAAGGTACGACTTCCTGCTCTGCACTGCGACCCGTGGAAGGCGCTGCACACGCGAGCCCCATGCATCACAACGGCGACGGCTGCTATTTTGGACGCTGCAAGGCCAGGGCCGCCAGATTCGGGATGCTTGCCAGGCACGCTGCATTCATTCGCACTGCCGGCACGCCTCCTTGCCCGTGACTCCGCCAGCTTCCGTCCCGTCTCTCCCGAGGTCGGCCCTCTCCTTAACTACAGCTTGCTGAGAGCCCAACCGCAGCGCTCAGCCGGCGGTTTGGCCAGTAGGCCTTCGGTCTGTTGAAGTGGGGCTGGCCGTGTGCGTCTTTACCACCGACTGGCTCGCATATCTTCGCATCCGTCAGCGTTTGTGGACCAGCCAGCCACCCGGTCTGCCAGTCACCCGGTCTGCCAGTCACGGCGGCGGTCACAGCTTCCAGCGATGACCTCCCGGGTTCTTTCATGTCTGCAAGAAAAGATTCTTCGTTGCGGGACCGATGAACACGTTTCGTTTTTGGAAGAAAGAGTAATAATCAATTCAATCTATACTGGACCTGGCCTACAGGGCAGATGTCTGTAAGCACTGGTGGGTAGTGGCGAACGTCTCGCCAACGTCGACCCCACCGACGTTGCGATCATTTCTGCCGCACGAAGGACTGCCGAATCCGCCGAAACCGACGCCTTCAACCCCGCCATAGCTGCTGCGAGTGGAGCTGCCGCAACGGCTTTGCAGAATGGGAAGATCAAGAACAAGGTCTTGAAGTTGAAGTGTGAGGTGCTTCATTTACAGATTGAGCAGGCGCAAGGAAGTGACCAATCGGCGAAGATCACTCAGGAGACCACCAAGTTGAATACGAACATTGCACTGGATAAGAAGGCTGCGGGGCAGGCGAGCCAGAGTGTGGCCTTTACGGGATAGAAGTGATACAATGAGGGCCGGGGAATGATCGTGTGAGGAATAGAGTTTTGATTGAATACCAGTTACTAGCACAAGCTTACCACTAACTAAAAAGTGAATACGCCTGGTAAAGTCGGTCGCGATTTCGAACTAGAGACTATGGATGCGGTTGAGCGGTCGATACTACTATCCCTACATTCCATGGAGAAGATGAAGAAAACGGCACGAATCGGATGGATGAGAACAATCCCTCACCCAGGTGCATGCTACTTGGACTGGTCCACGATGTGGCAGAAGCATATGTCGGAGAGGCAGCCTCACAAGCCGATGACAGACAGGTTGCCACTCCTTGTTGCCCTGGTGTGCTTGAAAAGAAAGGAAACCGAAGGTATACCACCAACTGAATATTTCTGTTGAGGGAGAGGACCCACGAAAAAAATGATAGCCCACGCGAGAGGAGGGACATGGCCTTGATGAGGGCAAGAAGCTGGACTAGGACTAAAGCGGTCATAAACGAGCAGGTCGAAATGGTTGCTCGAGAGTATCGGGGGGCCCGGAAATCAGGTTCCACGTTGAGCTGATGGTGTGGTTAATACGTGCTGAAACAGTGGATGGTTGTGGAGTACAATTACAGAATCTTTGGATTAGCTAGGCCTGGTATTCAATTAGAGAGTCCTATTTTTTGCTCAAGGTGTCCTGGTCTCTGATCTGGATGGCCTGGCTCTCTAGAGCATGAATAGTAGCCTCTAGCACGACATCCTTGGTATATGTCAAACCACTCAGTTGAGAATTGCGTGAATTTAATTCAGGAGTGGCTACGAGCTTTGAGTGGTACGGGGTTGCTAGAATATGACCCTCAAGTCTCTTCAGCCTCTCGCTGTGCTTTGAACGGGCCGCTTGTTCCCGCGCCGCCTTTTCGACTCGTCTTTGGCTCGTGAAGGCCAGAAGCGGTCCCCAAGTGAGGGTGGAGAATCGGAGATGCTTGAGGAGTCGGAGGGCCTGCGACCGGTTACTTGGGTCCCATTCACTCTTGTCTCCGCATACGAAGGGGACCGCGGAGTTGCTAGTGATTGGCGATTATCCGATGCCGCAATGAATCGATCGCAGCGGGTTTGAGAAGCGGGAAAGATTGTCCCACATGCGGCATAATTCGAATTAGCATATGGATGCCCATTGGTTGACGATGGCATGAGGAGGCCGAACGACGTCTCCTGTTGGGCAGGGACGCCACGAATGAGGGCCTGAACTCCAGGAAGTGCTGGATTTGAACGGGTAGGGATTGAGAGTGGTCTGCCACGCACGATTAGAAGATGAGGAACATCAAGATCCTAGGAAACTCACGGAAGCTGCCTGGACATGTTCGTTGAAGACGGTGACGATAAAGATATCGCTGTTGAATTCAAGCTCAAATGTAGAGTGAGCTTCTCAAGACGAATAGTGGGCAAACGAGCACAACCACAAGCAATATATATATATAATGACAAAAGGAAAACGCACAGAGCGAACATGTTCATGCGAGGTGAGGCTCGATGAATTGAGGAAATTTGACTAGCCCCGCCAGGGTGCATAGATCAGTCGACAACGATTGGCGCCGCGCCGCCCTCCTTGCGTTAAGCAGGCGCACAGCTTTGCGTTGGGCAGGCGCACAGCTTCGGTGGGGAACGATACTGTGGTACAGTAAAAGCTAGGTATAGTGATAGGGGTCCGTGGCTGGGGGTACTATCACTGTATAGGGAGTATCACTGACCCTCCGCTCTTCCCCGCCTCGCCCGCATCTCCATTGTGCCTCTGATGCACAAGGCGGGGCCGGTTGGTTTCGAGTGCATTAACGTGCCACGGCACAGTCAACCCTACCTTTGTACGTGCCTACTTACAATGATACGGGGGTTTACAGTGGGGAACACGATGTGCCGTGAGCTCGCGTAGAAGCAATCACATCGGGACTTAGGGTGTGATTCGGCCATCTGAACTAGGGTTCTTGCCGGGCCGCGCCTGCCGCATCGACCGCCGTTTTCCAAGATATTGGAGCGGCCTCCTCGATCGCGAGGTCCAAGTGCTAGGATCTATTCTCTGGCTTGAAACGCTGTGACGCTTACTTCCCAGCCGAGATCAGCATCGATCGAGTGAGGTCTAATCATGGCCAGAGAACCCAGAACAAGGTCATATATCGGGGCATTTCCCTCTCAAGGCCGTGCTGAGAAGTCCTTTCGACGGCAGTTCGCCTCTGCCTTCTGCGCCCCAGGGCTGTTCTTCTCAAATCCAAACACCCTCAACTGCTAACTCAAGATGCATTCATCAACACTCCTCGCCCCCGTACTCCTCCTGACCTCCGTTTCTGCCCTCCCCTCCCCAGCCACCCTCAGCACCGAATCGGAACCACTCCCCCTCATCATCTGGCACGGCCTAGGCGACAACTACGCCGCCGATGGCCTGGCCGCCGTGGCCGAGCTAGCCAGCGAAACAAACCCAGGCACTTTTGTGTACCAGATCCGACTCGACGAAGACGCAGGCAGCGACCGGACGGCAACCTTCTTCGGAAACACGACAGACCAGATCGCGCAAGTATGCGCCGACCTCGCATCACACCCTATACTGTCTACCGCACCCGCCGTCAACGCCCTCGGTTTCTCCCAGGGCGGTCAGTTCCTGAGGGGCTTCATTGAGCGCTGCAATGTCCCGCCTGTGCGGAACTTGGTCACGTTTGGAAGTCAACACAACGGGATAGCAGAGTTTCAAGCATGTGGCGCAACAGACTGGCTATGTAAGGGCGCGATGGCATTACTACGAACGAACACATGGTCGAACTACGTGCAGTCGCATCTCGTGCCGGCGCAATACTACCGCTCCTGCAATACGAGCACCGGGGAGCCGACGGAGGAGTACTTGGAGCACTCGAATTTCCTGGCGGACATTAACAACGAGCGCGCTATAAAGAACGAGACGTATGCGAAGAACCTGGCGAGCTTGGAGAAGTTTGTCATGTATCTGTTTGGTAAGAAGAGGACGGCTTGGTTTCTGAGCTAGACTGATGCTTCGACAGAGGACGATACGACCGTTATCCCCAAAGCGTCCGGGTGGTTCGCGCAGGTGACGAACCTAACGTCTGGGGTTGTGGAGCCATTGCGGAATCGGACGATATATAAAGAAGATTGGATTGGGTTGAAGAAGTTGGATGAGAAGGGAGGACTAGTCTTCAAGGAGACGGAAGGCGGACACATGCAATTGACCGACAAGGTGTTGATTGATGTGTTCAAGACCTATTATGGTCCAGTCCACGGGAAATCGAAAGAGCTCACGGTCCAAAAGGAAGGAGGCCAGATCGAGCTGTGAAAGCGAGATGTACTGGAACGGTTAGGAGTTGGAGTCAGGGGCTTTGCATCATGCTTGAGGACAGCCCGGCACGAAATGTATAGTCAATGTGTATGAAGATGGGAAGAGAATGAACAGTATTTCTACCTCACAGTTGCCATGATATCGTATCCATAACGCCATTTTCCGACAAACCTAGCCGTGGAACACACTACGCCGCCACAGCTTGCCGCTTTTTTGACTTCTTCTTCTTCTCGATCACCTCCGGCGCTTTGATCGGAGGTGCTTCAATCGCTTTCAAAGCCTCTGTCTTTTGCTCCTTGAGCTTCTGCTTCCGCGATGCGGTCTCTTTGGCAAGGTCATCTACGACGGCCTTGTCCGCCTCCGGCTTCTTGACCTTCTTCGACTTCTTCGGCTTCCTCTCCCGAATAAGGACCTTCTCATCATCGTCAAGCATCTCGTCCTCCCATTCTTCCCACTTCCGCTTCTTCTTGCTGAGACCCTCTTCCCTGACAAACTCCTTCGGCTTCCACTTCTCTTCCAGCACATCTGCATCCTCAACCCACAACTCTTCCGCCAGCCAGACTGGTAGAGCCATCGTGTTAGGACCTTTGATATGCACGCTCCGCACGTTCCGCCATCCCTTTGACACGAATTTAGCTGTCAAGCCTTCGACCACTGCCTCCACGTTCTCGGCGATGTCCTTGGGAGCCATATCCGCCGTGGCCACTCGAATAGCGGTAGACACGCTTGGGCTGATGTGAACGAGTGCAGCGTTCAGAGCTGCCCCAATTTCCTTTCCAACCGCCTCTGGGGTTCCAACTACCGTCTCACCCTTCTTGACACCGACTTTGGATTTCTTCCCATTCTCGTCTTTCTGAGTCTTCACTCCGGCCGTCAAGTTGACAGGCAGTGGTTTCTTTGCAGTTGTACCGTAGAAGATCTTTCCCAGCGTAGCAACTAAAAATGTCACTATTCTCTCATCGGCGAGGAAGACGTCGTACTCGGCGAAGAGTTGTCTCCGGGATTCGTAGCTCTTATATTTAGCTTTCAATTTCTGGAACCAAAGCTGTCAGCATAGCTGTTGCGCTAGAGAAGGGAGAATATCGAAGGCAATGCATACACTAATACCAATGACTCGAGAAATTCGGGAAGAAACAGAGGCTGGGAAAGTCGGTTCAGCGATCAGATTCTTGAAGGCGCGCTGAGGGTCCACCGTGATCAAACACACTCTCGCATCGGGAGAGCCGAATGGGTGGGGTAGAGCAATCTTTGAGGGCTTCAGGCGCTTCTGGTCTTGTATGAATTTCTTCGTTCCCAGGATGAGCCAGACGGGGACCTTCTCGTGTGCTTCGTCTTCGCCGTCGCCGGTGGCTAGGAGGTCCTTTTTCTCGGATGCGCTCTCAAGGCGCTTCTGCTCTTTCTGGATGTGACTGACAAGGGCTTGAGCTGCTTTGAGGGTCTGTGACATTTTGTTAGCTAGCAATGTCTGCACGCAATTTCGGTGATGATGGTGTGCGCACCTGATTGGGATCGAGCTGATACGGCGTCCCCTGCTGGACCTTGGTCGTTAAAGCGATTTCTTTCGTCATCGCTGCGGCTTAATGTGGTGTTCGAGAGGGCACCTGCAGTTGAAGCTGGAGGCGCAAAAAAGTTCGTTCGGGCCGATGATTTATCCGAATGTGGGTCGTATTCTTTCAACCCCGCGGCTAGCGTCCGCGTCCAGCGTCCAGCGTCCGCGTCCTCGTCCTCGTCCTCCGCAATACCACCTGGTACAAAGGTATAACACAGCTTTTGGGCCCTGCATCTTGTCCGAGTTACAACGTCTCATGTCCATTAGCTCCCCGCTGTCAGAACAAAAATGGATCAGGTTACGCGAATGCTAGCACAACTCGTTTTCCTTGCTCCCTAAGCTCAACTCCATATTACACGGCTTACTGCACCTACTATTTGCATACGAGTTTGGCTACTTTTGGCCTCCGGCGATCACCTCGGCTGGACTTGATGCCATCGCGTGCCGCGCGCCTTCTTCGAGACCTGACCTGCCCAAGACACGATCTGATCTTCCATCTAAGATGCCGCCCTGACGCGCGACACTGCGCTTCAGAAGCTTCGATTGAAGGCCTGAAGGAAGACGGCGGCATGGTTCCCTACATACAAATGTCCACGCGATGCTTCTCTTCGCCTCAAGCTGACCCGCGCGTACCACCAATTTGAAACCCACGCCCCCGCTCGGGTCACTGTCACGGTTTGAAGACGCGTCGACGTCGCTCTTCTTTGGATTCTTCGCGCCGTTGCAGGCGCCGCTAGCAAACTGGCATGTGGGGTCGACATGCAATCTTGCGGCACACGCGGACGCTCAGGATGACGGTGGAAAAGAGCGGTCTGCCGGGGCGCGAGAATCTTGATTTACGAGGAGTCGTTCATGCAGAGAGTGAAGCCAAAGACGCAGTGGGCTGCAGTCACGGCGCACCAGCGTCCTTGCTTGTGCCAGAACCGGCTAATGGAGGCGTGCCGCGCGAAACGCACACGCTGAAGGGCAGCATCGGCGCCTTCGCGTCGGGGCTGGCGGCCGAGCATCGACATCCGACGGGCGGGTGGGAGAGGCTATATTGTGTCGGACTGTGCCAGTTATGCAGCCTCAATTTGCAAGTCGATAGGGTGAATGTCCTGCTGCTTTGAGGGACACGATGGAAACCGTGAATCTGATATCGCACTCTGCAGAGCGCCAATGCAGTAATTCCAACAAGTCATTGTAGTACCTTTGTACAAGCAGGCCTGTAATTTGCTGCATCGCGAGAATGCCCGCTCTGCTCGTTACCCGGGTGGTCTTGGCACGAAGTATCCCAGTCCGAGCTTCATAGGGTAGCGCGTCGTGAATCCACACCCGCGAAACCCAGTCCCAGCCTCTCCACCACCGGCCGCCTCGACGTGACCTCCTCTTCTTCAGTTACCCTCATGGCCGCCAGACTCTGACCTTCTTAGATCCACACTGGTTCTCTGCCTCTCTCTCCACCACCACCACTGCTTCGCGTCCTCCTCGTCCGAGTCGCTGAGCGTGTCACTGCTATCACGCCGCATCCCAGTCGCGTCTATACGCCTTCTCTGCACAATGGACTCCTCTTCCAGACAAGACGCCCCTCGGTTGCTGTCTTCAGCATCTCCACAGCAGCCAGGACTCACGCGGCCGCCGTCTCTGCTTCCCGCGTTCGAACCGCTGTCCTCGTCACCGTTTCCGCGTCCACAATCCTCAAAACGCAAGTATGAGGAAGATTCTCCCTCCCATCCAAGAGCAAAGCTCGAGTACTACCCGACGCCTGTGCCCACGTCCTCTACGGGCATTCTGCCCTCATCGCCTACGCGTAGTATACGTCCTGGTCTCCAGCGTACCATGTCGACTCTCTCGGAACGTGTTCCCCTCGGAGCAGTTCCCTCTGTAGATCTCCCCCTCAATGGCGAGCCCGTACGAATGGGAAGGTCCTCGAACTCCTCGGACTATCAGCTATCTTCAAATCGCGCCATTTCACGCGTCCATGTCCAAGCCGCCTACCACGCATCCGACGCGTCTTACCCGGAGGGCTATGTCGAGGTACAATGCTTGGGATGGAATGGTGCAAAGATTCACTGCCGGGGACAGGTCTACGTATTGACCAAGGGGCAATCGTTCGTGTCGAACAACCCCGAGGCGGATATCATGGTGGATGTTCAAGACACTCGCGTGCTGATCATATGGCCTCTAGTTGGGAGGAGCCTGTCATTCGACTCGCAACCAGACTCGGACTCAGCATGGATTGAGGAATCGCCCAGCCGCCGTCATGTCGCCGATCACATTGCTTCCAGCCCTCCAGTGATTCCTAGGTCGCCTACTTCACAGAGCCCAATTCACCAGCCGAACTTTACCGAATCATCAACGTTCTTGGATGTTGACGATGATATTGTTCCACAAGCCGGGCCCATCCAAGTCTTCGAAGATGAAGATGTAGCGGTGGACAACGGAGTCGCTGCTGCTGTTGCGGCTTCTCTAGCTGGCTCCCCGTCGCGGCCTGCACTCTCGAGATATGTTTCTGCAAATGACTCGAAGGACGCATTGTTGAACAATGGATTTTTGGAGGACTTGTCAGATGAAGACGAAGAGAACGATCCAGTAGTGCACTCTTTCGGGCCTTTCGGAGCGAATCTACTACCGCGTATGGCTTCTATGACTGCCTGGAGCAGCAACACCACACCGACTCAGCGTCGCCGCCGCCCTCTTGCTGCCTCTCGGTCCCCGCAGCAACATCCTGGCTCCGAGTCGCGGAGGATGAATGAGTCGCCCATTAAGAACCACGTTATCAACCAATTGGCCTTCTCCCGCCTTCATTCAATTCCTCTCTCTACCATCTTCGGCAACCTACCAAAAGAGCTAAAATCCAGCGCTTCGTCGAGCAGGGCCACCGCAACTCCTGAATCCGCAGACCTCACTTCTCTAGAGCTCAAGAAGATACTGGACAATACTCCGTGTGTAGGGGAGATTAACCGGGAGGGCAAAGATGCTGCTGGAAAGCCCCTCGAGAACGAATTCTACTACGTGCCCGAGATGGATTCTGATCAGATGCGGCGAGACGCCGTAGTTGGTGGCATTGGCGGCTCCGGTCTCCGGTCAGTGCGGAAATCGCACAAGGTATGTTCTCTTGCGCGAAAATGCGCACTCTATTGCAGACTCCGAGACTAATCTTTCCCAGCAATACTACTGGAAGCGCCCACGACACTAGCAAACGTATTAGTTGCTTGACTAAAGACAACACTGTCCACGGTTGTAACCTGTTAATGCTTTTCGAGTCCTGACGACATCACGATGCTGCCGACTCGACCTAGTTCTTTTACCAACGATTCACCCAAACACTCAACACGACTCCTGTTCAATCCGTGGAGTCCCGACACCTCCACAACCATACTTCTCTGCACTTCTGGGAATTCCTGTTTGTCTAGCGGCAACAGCAGCATAGCGCGGCGTTAGCTTGATTTTTCTACCATTTGTGTTCATACCCTTTTTTCCTTTTGCACATCCCAGAATTCCACCCCTACCCATCTCCTTTCTCTTTGCTTCTTCCTCCCTCCTAGGAACCACCCCTACATTTCTAGGCGTTTGGGAGCTACCTATGATCTATGGGCCTTTTGTTGACAGCTTTTTCCCGTGCTGCACTACGATTCTGTCTATCCACCTACCCTCCGTGTCTGTTAAGGCTAGCTTTAACGGCTTTCGTTCGCACCATGCGTGCGAGCTTTCGTGTTGTTGTTGATTGGATGACTAGATATGAAGATCGTGGTTTCTTGAGTAGAACAAAATCTGGGCTGGTTAGTGTAGGTAGTGAGATGATAGAGAAGACTACTATTTGGGTTAATCTGGTGTTTCTACATGCAATGTGACGTGAATCTGGTCTGGTTAATGGAAAGTGAAGGGTCGTGATTTCTCAGAATCTGGTAATGTATGACGCAATCACCAGAGAAACGCCAAATCACGTGATACTATTTTCATGGTGTTTTGGATGGGAAGGGTGTTTCAAGGTGGTACGTGCCGTTCCTTCGCGTCGCTATCTCTCTTTAGTGTAAGGCGATTGAAACCACCGGTTCCTGTTCATTTGATCGAAGGTTTTGCACATTGGTGGAATTTCTCAAACGTAGGGAACATGTTCACATTGCTTGAATGACGATTGATGGAACCTGAAGCCTAGTATGGAACGCCATGGTGGAATAGCCATAGGCCTCTCCAGTCCGCAATTCATTTCTCCCGCAACTCGGCACCCAATTCCTCTCCAGACGTATCCTCTACTTGAGCTTCTTCTTCGGGCGCTGGGAGGAGGTTAGTGTTCGGTGAAGCTGGAAACGATTTTCTTGTGGGTTTCGCGGGTGAGACGTACGAGCTGGTTGGTGTGGCCGCACTTCTTCTTGCGGCAGTTGACGGCACGGGGTGGGAGGCGTGCGTAGCACTTTCGGCAGATCATTTTCTCGCAGTTGTATTCTGGGAAGGTTTATTAGAACAAAGTGCGCCTGGAGATGCCACGCGGCAAAAGGGGCGGAGAAGGGGTTGATTGAGTGCCCGGGCTCCAGAGCATGCCGCCGCGGAGAAGGACACAAGCCCTCAAATCACACCATCCCCAGCCATACCTGGGTATCACTCACTGGAAGCCAGGGCCTTCAAGCTAGGCTCGATGATGCCACCTCGCAGACGGAGAACCAGATGGAGGGTCGACTCCTTCTGGATGTTGTAGTCGGACAGCGTACGGCCATCCTCGAGCTGCTTGCCGGCGAAGATCAAGCGCTGCTGGTCCGGCGGGATGCCTTCCTTGTCCTGGATCTTCGTTTTCACATTGTCGATGGTGTCCGAGGACTCCACCTCGAGGGTGATGGTTTTACCCTTTGCCACCACCGTTGTCAGTGTCGTGCGATGCGGGCTAAAATTGAGGAGGTCCGGCTCACCGTCAGGGTCTTGACGAAGATCTAGAGAGAGAGAGAGGTTAGCGGTAGTCGTGGGAGTGATGCGATTGCGTAGGAGCGTACCTGCATGGCTGCGGATTTTGTTGAGATATTCGTGGAGGGGAGCAATTGAGGTGAGGTTGAAATTGATTTGGCTGTGGCCTTGGCGAGGCGCTGGGATCATCAAATGCCCGAGCGTCGTCCTTCTCCACTTTCTTCGCTTCGAGACCATCACTCAAAGCAATAAATTACGACAGGGCATCTCTAAATATTCGTTGTGAATGTATAGTGGATCTGGGTTTCATGAAACACTCTCAGTTGTTTCTTCGAGAGCGAGTTTTTGGATTCATCAGGCGTACGGATTGAACATATCTACAAGCGCATCAAGCTTTCGATGCTATTCACGGACAACTTATGAGATCAAAATTGTCTTCATGTAGACCAAAATTATCATAGGATATCATTGATGTAACAAAATTGTCTGCCAATCCTCGCTCAGTTCAAACAGATGTCAACTGTCTCTGATAGTTCCCTCTTCCTGCATTATCTCCCTCAGTCTGCTTCCTTTCCCATCGTCTCTGCGATTCACCCCATCTCTGCACCCTCCGTTCCGTGAAGAAGACAGCGTTGACCAGCATCTTCACCGACAATCCAGATGTCTTGGCCGCCTCTTTGTAGAAAGCCCTCGCCGAGTCAGGCAGTTCGCTTTCGCGCCGATAATGCTTGTATTGACTTCCAGGTCGCTTGATGTCGTTGATCGCATTTTTCTCGGCGACTACCCTGTTACCACTCATCTTGCTGTGAACATCTTCCACTCTTTTCGTTTGCGCAGCCTGAACATATGCTGCGTCCATATCGGGTGCACGAAAGTCTTCTAGACGGTATACCGGTGGGCCGATAGGGAACTGATTGAATAGCTCCTTTCGAAAGTTGCTGTCTTTGTCCTTTTCTCGTATGGTCTCGTCCACCCAGGTTTTCTGATACCAGTCCAAGTACTGGTCCATTTGATCACCACTCAGTGAAAAGATGTCCTTCTCTTGTAGCTCCATCATTTCTCGAATGTTCAGCTGCCCAGGTACTTCCATCAATTTTTTGAGTGTGGAGGTAGATTCCTCCCACACTTCCCAGTCCATATTCGCGCCTGCCGGCTCTCCGTCCGTGCTTGGATAGCGCTGAATGCGATCAAAAGGATAGAACAACTTTACGCAGACCACGATTAAGGAAACGAGTTGTGCGTCGGGTATGTCGGTAACGCGAAGTCTTTTTACGGCAGCTTTCGTGGGATAGGTAAAAGTATACATCAGAAGCTTAGCAAGCTTCGCCACCGCTCCATAGATCTCCATCGGCAATGCCAGTTCCTTCATATACCTGAATAGAAGTACCGGATGATTGAGGGATGGAAAAACAATCCCGTGATGGTGCTCGTAAGAAAGGGCCAAATCCATGATTGCCCCATGCAGGCGTTGCTGTCGTAAGATACCGGGCGGCTCCAGAACATTAGGTTTATATATTGGAGGCAATCGTTCCTTCATCGCAAGTGGAAGATAGTCCTTTGCTCTGGCATAAACCATATCACCATTGGTCGTCCATTCGTAAATGTCTCCGGTAGTGATCGGTATTCGCAGTGTTAGTGCACCTAGATAGCATAAAGCTAGGGTGTCAATAAGCTTCGGTGTATCTCTGGCCTTCCTTCCGCTGCCCATATATTTTGAGCGGTTGTCATCAGAGTCTTCTATCTCTTCCTCGGACCCAGAACTGAACATCTGTGAGAGGCTCTCCTCTCTGTCATCTGCCACTCGGTCTTTGAGGTTCATGACTTTGAGGGCCCAAAGATCGAATATAACGCTCTGACGACCGACACCCTATCAGCAAATTTTCTGTATTTAAACCAGTCGTGAACTACGAACCTCTAGCTCAGCTGGAAGGCCTTTTTTGTGAACAAGGAACCATATCTGGTGGCGGAGAATAACTTGGTAGCACTGGAGATAGAGAGTGAAGGCGTCCCGTCCCGTATAGTCTAGCTTCCGTTAGACATGTGAAACCTAGAAAAGCATACATAAATGAACATCTAAGAAGAGATGAGATGAAAAATTTGATAAGTCTTCTGAGTGAACAAAGATCCACGTACATTGGTACTGCTTTTCGGCATCTTCGACATCCGATTTTGCACTCTGCCATTTAGCATGTGGATTGAAATCGTCCTCCTCTCTTTCCGTCGCAAGGACATTCTAGCCATGTCCAAGTCAGCAAATCAGCAGACCCACTCGCATCTGGTTTCATGAGCTTACGCCTCTTCGATGTCCATTTTGACAGTATTGGTAGCCGTCGGCCTCTTCTTCGTAATGCCGCGACCTACAGTTCTCAATTCCGCATACTGGGCCTTTGATCCAGTGGGAGCTCATTGGTAGGATGGCTGTGATGCTCTTGATTGGTGGTGGTGCAATGGTGGGCTGGCAGCGCGTAAAAGCTACGGGTTGGGTTTTGGGTTCAGCGCATTTCTCAGCTTTGAGTGGCGTTCCATGGTTTTGCAAAGGTCTAGATTTTTAGCTCCGACACCCGTGAATTTTTTGATGGGCGCAGATTGCGGACTGGCCAGACGAGTAGGTCATGGCGGATCCATCCGTCGTTGTGGAGTTTCGACGGCATTCATCCTGGTAGCTGTGATGGCTCAACGCAGGAGTTCCGCTAGTTGTGACTTAGTGCAGATTTTGAGGTCTCACAAATCACGAAATGTTTAGAGTTCGACGACGGAGAATGTGACATGAAAATCACAATCCGAGTCAATTGCTCCTGCACTGGACCGTGGCCTCGTTTTTATAGATTCGTGACTACGTATCTCCAGAGAGAAGAGCATAGCAATGATGCAAGAAACCCAAGCCAGCCCCGTGAGAACCCACAAATATCCGTCACCATCAGCATGGAAAGAGCATCGCGCTGGGGAAAGCCAAGATAGCACAAAAAGTAATAGGTCTACATAGGACATGCAGATCCATCCTACGTTTTCGGACTGGTCCCAACCACGCCTGTTCTGAACTCCTCCCTGTTGACGGCCTCTCGAGTCCAACGTCAGACATCTAAGACTTGGGAGCCTCCTTGGCATCGATGGCGGTTTCTTCGCCCATAGCGGTGAGAACAATAACGTCTATACATCCGTTAGCTAAGAAGCGTACGCGACGTTACATTGTACTTACTAGTATCCTTGTTCTCCTCAGTGAAGAGCTTATGGACCTTGTCGCCAACCTCGCCCTCGGGGAGCTTGACGTCGTCCTTGGTGGAGCCATCATCAGACATCAGGGAGAGGAAACCATCGTCGGTGACATCCAACTAGCGGGGGTCAGTCATGCGAGCCCACGGTTCTTTGTGCGGCCCACTTACAAGCTGGTATTCCTGGCGGCGGACGTTGGGGACGTCCATGTTGTGGGTGGAGGGGCAGAGTTCCTCCAGCTTCTTGCCGGTGAAGATGTCGATGGCCACGAGATGGACTTTGGCGTGGCCGTGCTTGCCCGTCTTGGAGGTGGACATCTCGACGATCTTGCAGGGGCGGTTCTTGATGCAGACGAAGCCGTTCTTCCTCAAGGCCGAGCACTGCATGGGGTAGGTGGTGGAGGCACCGGCGTCGGCGCTCTCGAAGGTGTGCTCATGCTGCGATGGGCGTCAATAACGGGGACGCTGGAGAGTCGCTGTGGAACGATGGCTGGCCGCACTTTCGCAGCGGGCATGCTTGAATCGATAAAGGTGGGGCACAAAACGAAGAGCGGACAAAAAAACATACCTGCGCGTCGTTGTCGGCCATAGTGAAAATGAGTGTTGGATTATAGCGACTCGAGGCGCCGAGGAAGTCGTAGAGGTGAGGCGGCGAGTTGGGACTGGCGGGAGGGTGGAGGGCGGAGAAAATTGGGTGAAGGGCGAGCACTGGCGGGGTTGGAAACGAGAGGCAAAAGAGCCTTGGCCCGGCCCAACGATTCGCCGGCGCCGATGCATGTCAAGGTACCTTTGTATCGACCTGACAACCTGGAAACAGCACTGCTTCGAGCTTTGCGACAATACACTGCATACTCGCCGCGACTCTCGACATGCGCAGGTAGAGCTCACTACCACCCGCCAGAATGTGGCTGGACCGCTTCTCGACCCCCAGCGGCACGCCTCCGCCCCAAGGCCGACCCTATTCACCTGCACCACGACGCCCCTATAACCCAGCCGGACCCGGACCTCTTCCCCAACGGCCAGGGCTCCCGGATCGCACATCGTCGCTGTCTCTCGTCTCTCCCAATTCGTCGACCACCAGCCTCCCAGCCGGTGCACGTGGCCCCAATGGCGCAGGCCGCAGGAGACAGCCGCCTCCCAACGTGTCAGATCCGCTGCAGGTGCTCGAAGGCATACTCGGGGCCCCTCCACGGAGGCCGGTGCTTAGCAAAGGAAACGGTTCAGCGAGTGTGCCACCGCAGAAGCCGGCCGAGTTGGTCGACGACATAGACTTTGGAGGGCTGAGTCTGCACGAGTTCGCACAGGAGACGACGGCGCAGGAACTGGCACCTGTACACACATATAGCGCGCAATCAGTTGAAGAATGTACGTCTTCGGTCCCGTGACGCGTGAATGTGAGCTCATGCAACCGTAGATGACAAAGAGAAAGACAAGTTCGAGGACTTGCACCGGTCGATCCTGGTACGAATAGCACGCTGGAAGTTGATTCAACTTTGCTGATCCACCATCTAGGCCTGCGACGAGGTGCTCAAGTCTGTCGAGATGTACCTCACCAACTTCCAATCCGACCTCGGGGCTGTTTCCGCTGAAATTGAGACCTTACAATCACGGTCTACGGCATTAAATACGAAACTCGAGAACCGTAAAGTGGTCGAGAAGCTGCTGGGGCCTGCTGTGGAGGACATAAGCATATCGCCTGCTGTTGTCAAGAAGATATCGGATGGTCCCATCGACGACGGTTTCCTGCGAGCTTTGAACGAGTTGGAGAAGCGTTCAAAGAGCATCAACACCAAAGCCAAGGAGAACACCAGCATTAAGGCGCTTGAAGACGTGAAACCAATGTTGGACGACTTGACAAACAAGGTGACAAGCTACCACTCGCGGACGTGATGATGTAGACTAATACAAAAGTCTAGGCTGTGGAGCGTATAAGAGACTACATTGTGGCTCAAATAAAGGCCATTCGATCGCCAAGCATCAACGCACAGATCATTCAGCAGCAAGCCTTCATCAAATACAGAGACCTGTTCACCTTCCTGGCTAAACACCAGCCACAACTCGCCGAGGAGATTGGCAAGGCGTACGTATTTACAATGCGCTGGTACTACCTGAATCACTTCTCCAGGTATCAAAAAGCCCTAGAAAAGCTCAAAATTCATGCACTGGATGAATACGACGTCCTAGGACAGGAAAAAACCGTCAAGCGAGGTGCACTCTTGGGCAACGCAAGAGGTGCTCCTGCAGCCTACGACGCTTTCTCGATTGGACGAAGAATCGACCTTCTGAAGAACCCATCTCACTCTGCTTTAACAGCGTACGTGGCTGAAGAGGAGAAGGCAACGCACTATCTTGAAGTGCCTTTTCAGGCGTTCAACCTCGCGCTCATCGACAATGCCTCGTTTGAGTATACCTTCTTAACGACGTACTTTGGCCCAGTCCAGAATTATCACTCCATCTCCCGTACATTCATGTCTATTTTTGAGCCAACTTTCGCGCTTGGTCAGGCCCTTACGAAGCAACTCATCGAGACCACTACCGATGGCCTCGGTATTCTCCTCTGTGTTCGTCTCAACCAGCATTTTGCCTTCGAAATGCAACGACGCAAGGTTCCTACTGTAGAAGGGTATATCAACGCAACAAACATGCTGTTGTGGCCACGCTTCCAGCTCGTGATCGATCAGCACTGCGAGTCGCTGCGACGACTGACGGCCTCACTGCCCAACCGAGCTGCTTCTTCCGCATCCATACTCACCTCGTCATCTACTTCTCAGTCCACAGCTCCCCATCCCATGACTCAGAAGTTCGCAAATTTGCTGCAAAGCATACTCTCACTCAGCTCGGAAGCTGGCGACGATGAACCGGTCTCGAATAGTCTGGGTCGCTTGCGAAGTGACTTTGAAGCCTACTTGACACGATTAAGCAAAGGGATTTCAGAACAGAGGAAACGGGAGCGATTTTTGTGCAACAACTATAGTCTGGTCTACACAATCCTAGCAGATACAGATGGCAGGCTGGCAGAGGAGACGAAAGAGCACTTTGAAACTTTGCGGGATACATTCGACAATTAGCATGGAGTTCTGTATTTATTTTCGTCCCATGGCTGATGATGAAACAGAGTTTGGAGCGCTAAGCGCGGCATCTGGATAGGCGTTTGAATCTATTAGTAATGATTTATTTGCATCAAAGAGCATGTTTGCCCTACCAATGTCCCTCCATAGTGACAAATCCCATCAAGGCATCTACCATGAGCACTGACCTTTTCATCCTCTGCCTCAAGGACTTTACATTTCATATGGGTTTCTGATACCTAGGTACTCTGCCTGAGCACCCCAGCCATCGGTAAGCAAATTTGCCCAAAGCCTTTTCCGGATGCTTCATGTATGCCACAAGTAAAATCGAAGTTCTCGATATGAGAGCGTTGAAACTGCTGTCAATTTGGATTAGGTCTAGCGCCATTATTAGCCCTCGCTTTCAACATCCAGCGTCGGGGCCAGACGCCAAACACTTCATTGCCATATCTTTACTTGCCAATAGAGAGCTTCAATGTCACGATATTAGGATAACTCTAGGACCATGTGGCGTTGTGCCATCGCTTCAGGTCGTCCGCCTCCTCCTTTAACGGAAAAGTTTAGCCGTCGCGATTCCATTATCACCATCTCAACTTGACTAATGTCGCCCAAAAGTCGCGTAGTTCATGGCTCGCGTTTCCCGAGCTTTTCAAGGCTTTCCCCAGACTGAGGGCTACCCCGTGGGGATTTCCCGCTTCTCCACTTTCCTGGGTGACAGCGGCCCTGAAACCAAAACTCGGAGGTAGCTTTCCATAGGATACATATAATGATGGTCTTCTCTCCACTTTGCTGCTCTTTCTGAGCTCCCGTCTAGTCTCTTACTCCTTTCTCGTTGCCCCTCAAGATGACGCGAACAAGCACCTACAATGTCCTCGTGGGCGCGACAGTAGCGGTCGGTAGCTTCACATATGGGTTTGGTATGTTGTTCACACCAAAACATATCGTACCGGCGTGCTAAGAATATCTTGTCAGGATTTGCTGCCTTCGCGACTAGCGTTGGCCAACCTGGGTTTTACGAATACTTCAATCTCACCACCGTTGGACCTGGGGCAGCTTACACGAACCATATTCTCGGCGCGGTCAACGCTCTCTTCTTCTTTGGCGCCTGTGTCGGAGCCATTGGGGCTGGTCCGCTTGCTGATAAGATTGGGAGAAAATGGACTCTGTTCACGGCCGCGCTCATCTCAGTTATCGGAGGCGCATTAGCTGCAGGGAGTGTTCATGTAGCTATGCTCATCGTAGTCCGAGTCATTCAAGGATCAGGGCTTGGTGCGCTTGCGACTATGGTCCCGTACGATATTCTTATTCTGTCTTGATGTTGTTTCTAACCCTATCATCTAGTATATATCTCGCCGAAGCCTCTACTCCTTCCAAACGAGGCATGCTTACAGGCCTGCACGGCTTCTTCCTTGTCTCCGGTTACAACATATCGGCTTGGGTGGGCCTGGGATGCCACTTCTCCAAAGACCTGACATTTGGATGGCGAGGTCCAATTGCATTCACATGCGTCCCTCCTATCATCCTCCTGATTGGCTGCATTTGGATCCCAGAATCTCCTCGATGGCTTATTGCCAACAATCGAGTGGACGAAGCGTGGAAGGTCCTGAGTCGATTGCATAGCGATGCTAACGACGTCGATGAGATGGCTGCTCACGAAGAGTTCTATCAGATGACCCGACAGATCGAATTTGAGTCTAGTACACCTGGTGGATACCTGGAGATCTTGAGGAACCCTCGTTACCGCAAACGAGCCTTTTTATCTTGCTTTATACAGCTTGCGGCGAACTCGACTGGTGCTTTGGTCATAAATTATTACAGGTAGGACAGACAATTGAGCACAAATCGTACTTTGCTAATTACTCCAACCCAGTGTTATCATCTACGAGAACCTTGGACTGACAGGATACATGCCTTTACTGATGTATTGCATATACACCTTGATCGGAGCGCTGGGCAACCTCTTCTCTCTACTTACTATTGATCGAACTGGTCGCAGATTTGTAAGTATTACAACAAGCTCCACATGCAATCAATGCTAATGCCAAAACTTCCTTAGGCACTCCTCACTGGATTCTCTGGGTGTCTAGTAGCTGTAGTCTTGGAAACAGCCATGGTCGGCCGATTCGTTACCAGTTCAACACCGAACAAGGACGGTCAGAAAGTCGCGATCTTTGCCATCATGTTGTAAGGCCTCACCTGACTGCTCCTTAGAGCATCCCGAGCTGTCGAGAAGCTGATCATTTCCTAGCTTCGTCTTCTTCTATGGCCTGTTCATCGACGCCGCCTCATTCATCTACAGCAGCGAAGTCTATCCGACAAACATTCGCTCACGCGGCGTAGCCATGGCAACTTTCACCTATTTTGCAGCTTGTATCACATATGTGACTCCAGGAGCTACCGCCATTGCGAATATTGGATATAAGTACTTTATTGGTAAGCAGTTCCGTGCATTCCTTATACCTATTCAACATGTCCTAACTTTTGTTCAGTCTTCATCTGCCTTACGGTGGTGACTATCATTGTAGTTTTCTTCTACTACCCTGAAACTAAGGGCAAGAGTCTGGAAGAGTTGGCAGAGCTGTTTGGAGATCCCGTCGTCGTGCATTTGACAGATGCAACTGATGAGCAAAAGATGGAGATGGATTTGGATATTAAGAATCAGCTCATTGCGGAGCATCGGGAGGACGTGGAGTAGTCATCAAGGAAACAGAATGGTGTTCATTTGGCCAGTGTAAGAGTAACAAAGCCTCACGTATACTCGTCAAGGTGGTCCATAAACTAAGACGGGTTGCAAGCGCTTTGTCAGAGGAGCAACTAGGTCAACGCCAAAATCGTGATCATTTCCTATGAGCATGCATAACCCAAGAAGTCTATGAAATCGACATCAGAGAAAGAGCAGCCTCATCGACTACGCCTCGATTGGTCCCGAGCTTTGTGCCCAAACGCCCGCTAAAGCCACTGTCTCGTCAACTCGCCTGCCACTATCAGGCAGTGAGATACCGATGTCATGAAAACCCAGCACTAGCATGTGCCCGCCTAGGTCTTCTTCTTCGGGAACTTCACGTCCCCAATCTTGTCGCCCCGCAGAATGACATTCAGCACCCGCTCCATGTTCCCCAATAGCTTTTGGTCCGGCGCAGCGGTGCCCCGCTCGAAGTCGGCAATGATGGTGGGCGTGCTGTTGCACTTGGTCGCGAGGTCCTTCTGGGTCATGGTGCCGCCTTTGTCATTCTTCGCCTCTGACCGGGCCTTCTTGATGGCGTCGCCGACTCTGACGCCGACGGTCTTGGGCTTCACGATGTCGTCGGAGCGGTCGACTTTGGTGAGGTGCTGGCCTTCAACTGCAGGCTTGGTGGCCTATGGAGAAGCACGTTAGTGAAAGGTCCTGAGTTATTGCCATGCTGTCCACGCCGGCACCCGATTGCCACCACTCCCATACAGTGATTGAGAGGGACAGTGGCGACCACAGTGTAAGACGCTGATAGAGCTCGCCGCAGGCCTTCGTAGGTCCTTCATCGCCTTCCTGTGCGGACCTCAGATAGCAGATGTGGCACACGTACCGCATTCCCAGCACCGAACTTCTTCTCAGTAGCAACGATAGCCCCACTCCTCTGGGCGGCGTTCAGCGCACCCTTTCCTCGCACGACAGTCTCGCGGGGCCCTGCGCCAGAGCCACGGGTTCGGCTGCCGATCTTGGTAACGGATTCCCAGTCGTCAGACATGATGTTATCGGAGGGTTGGGACTGTGGGGGACGTGGGGGACGTTGGGGATCGGAGGTGGGTTGAGATTGTGTGGTAGAACGGTCGGGGAGAGTGGTCTTGGTGAAGCGAGGATGAGTTGGAATGTGTACGGGAGACGGTCGGTATTTGTATTGGATGGATGAGTCGACGCTGGGGGCGGCAGGGGCGGTGCTGGTGGATGGAGGGGTGAGTAATGAATCACACTAGTGCCCGTTTAGGTTAAGCGTTTCGAGAAGCGTCTACCTAGCATTCACTGCGGACTTAACCGCCACCGCCCTTCAGCCCTTCACCGCTGGAAGGACTCCTGCGTTCGTTTCCAACTACTACGAACGTATCGCCAGTTCTCATTTTCCAGACAATTGAATCGAAATCTACAAAGTTCAGTGCTCGCAGAAACTGAACTCCTCACTCTCGTACTCCTCATTCACCTCGTCAACAAAGGCTCTGCGCTCCTCCATCAACTCTTCGCGCACTTTCTTCGCCTCCTCCATGCTGATTGGGAAGTCTGTCACGTCGTCGACAATGAAGTTCTGCAACTCCGCCGGCAAATCGCCCACTCTAGTCTCGTCTCGCACCAATTCAGCCCACCAATCCTTCTGCTGAGGTGGCACATTCGCGGTACTGATGATGCGCTGGTACGGGTCAATCAAGAACAACGCTAGCATCTTTCGGTGGCCCGGTCTAGTCTCATCAACAAGTTTGAAAGGCTGTACTTGGTGTTGAAGGACATTTGGGAACACGAGGAGGCGGCCTTCACGCGTGAGAACTTGCCCCAGATCTTGGATACCGGGACCTTCTTGCTCAATGTCGTAGGCATATTCAACACCTGATTGCTGAATGTTAGTTCTTGCCTCTCACTAGAATGGAGCAACTTACCGTCGTAATCACTCTGGTTGTATGTCTTCAAGTTTATATCTTCGTCAATAGTGACCTGCTTTATTTAGTATATTAAACCGATGAAAAGCACGCCTGGTGTAATTTTTCACCTTCTGTCTAAAAGCTAAATGACTGTCCGTGATATTAGAGTTGTCGAGGTAATACAAAGCCGTTGCAGCTATGTGCTCGTTAAGCTGTCCTTCGATATGCCACGACCCTCCGGCATAAGCTGGCTTCTCTGGGGTCAGGTGAATTGTTGCAAGTTTGACAATCACCTAGGTGCTGGAAATTAAGCAATTGGAGTCGGAAGAGAGGGACGTCCGGAGTTTTGACGTACCTGGATCTTGGAAAATTCCTTAAAGTCCATCTTGACATTTGGCGTTTTATCCAGCGAGTTATAGGCCACGGCATCAGGCTCCACCAAAACTCGTGTGTCATGCAGCCATTGCTCGTCCCTCTCGTAGGCATCGGGATCGTCAGAGCTCTCGTCCTCGTCCCTAGGCCGAGATTCCCCTTGAGGAAACTCGTACACCTTAAAAGCGTGAATATTAGTGGAAGAACATTATGTTTCAGAGATTTATACATACCGTCTCTTCCATGGGCACGCGCTGACAAGATCCTATTCGGATGGAATTGAAGACCGTGGACCACGGAGCAATTGACTTTGCAATGAATTTTTCGATGACCTTGTAAAGTCCCTCATGATGAACAGGGTGCAGGTTGTTGATGTAGCTAGCAATCTGTACTTTGCCATTTTCGCCCAACACCACCTCGCAGGGCAGCCATTGGAATTTCCGTGACCAGAATCTTTCCTTATCGAGGCTCCTCCCTCTCAAGCTTGCATTCAGATGTAAAACCTTGACATCGTCTTCTTTTGGCTCTGGGATTACTTCGCCTTTACCACAGCTCTCCACACAGTTAAGAAGGCCTACTGTGCCTTCTGGAAGGATTCGGGAACGTCCATAAAGAAGAGGGAATAGTGAGGGGTGAACGAGATCTAGAACTTGTTCATTGGATCCAGGATGCCAGTCCTTAAGCCGATCTGGAATATTTTCGAGAGGTTTGATGGCTGATTGGAGCTCAACTTTGAGATCGTGGGGAATGATGCTGTCGGACTTGACCACGGCCACATCTCCCTCTAGAATAGGAATAATACCAGATTCGTCGTACACTTTCGCTTTGTCTCGGAGCTCGGCAATACAATGATCAAACATTTTCGAGCTGAAGCCGTGGCCTTCATCGGTCAAGGCTTCTGTCCGCCATTTGGCAACGATCTCTTCATCGAACACTTTTCGAGCCCACTCTGGTTTGTCGGTGATCTGGTTGACCATTGCGAGCATGGATCTCTCCCGGACGGTCATGCAGTCGGCAGCCCAGTCAGAAATGGCGTTCGGAAGCCGAGTCATCGTAACTGGGCCATCGTGGTGAGATCCCTCGTACCACCAGTTTGGCTCCTGATTGACTGGAAAGCCAAAGCCTGGCAATTTGGCTCGTTGGTCCTGAGCGGCTTCCGTCATAATCGTCGTGTGTTGAGTGTTCGTTTTCGATATGTGCAACCGCGGTGTCCTTGTGATACACGTCCAGCTACGTTCTTGAGGGCTGTATTTATAGCTGTCCGCTTGATGTGATACAGCGTTTCGATCTGGTGTGCTGCCTTCGGTAGTCGTGAATGAAGTGAGTGAGGAGCAAGCCCCTGAGTGAGATGACTTCGGCCTGGGCTAGTAACAGCCACAGCTGAAGGCAACGGCGCGTCATACGAGGCATGTCGGGTGCCACCGGAAAGACACTGCATACTGCTACACGGATACAGGTCAATGGGCCGGGGATGCAATAACAATTGATGATGTGCAGCCAGCCTGGAGTTGATGCCGTCTCGAGCGCTAAGGGCACAAAATAGACGAGCAGAGTAAGCAGGCCCAACCCAATTTTTGCACAGAGAGGGCGTGCGGCATACCATAAAAAACAAACAGATAGCACACCGTAGCAGGAAGAACACTTAGCCTGGCGGTCAGTATTACTGTAGTACACCCGGCAAGCTGAGAAAGTTTGGACATTTTGACTCACGAGCGACTCCCACCACAGCGTGTCTTCATTATGACCCGCCGCCCATAGTCCGCGGAGCTTGACAATCTAGATCCCCAAGTCGTGCTAATTGGCACCTCGACTTTCCCCAATCTGCTCAGCACTTGCTGCGCTGTGCTTCCGCTGCCATGGCATCCAATGCAGCTCAGAGCAGCCCCACCAAGGTCTCTATCCTCGGGAAAGAGTCCATTATAGTCGAATATGGCCTTTGGGAGAGTTTCGTTGCGCATGACCTCCTCACATCCGTCAAGTCTTCCACCTATGTGCTCATCACGGACACGAACATCGGCTCGCTCTACATCCCTACCTTCCGAAAGAGCTTCGAAAACGAGGCCTCGAACATATCCACCCCTCCACGGCTTCTGACCTACGAGATTGCACCCGGCGAAAACTCGAAATCACGAGCCACGAAAGGTGTGGTCGAAGATTGGTTGCTGTCACAAGGATGCACCCGAGACACTGTTATAATCGCCCTTGGCGGTGGAGTGATTGGAGACATGATAGGCTTTGTCGCGGCAACATACATGAGGGGCATACGCTTCGTGCAGGTTCCCACAACTCTGTTGTCCATGGTTGATTCTTCAATTGGTGGCAAGACGGCTATTGATACTCCCGCGGGGAAGAACCTCGTGGGCGCATTCTGGCAGCCAGAAAGAATCTATATTGATCTCCAGTTCCTAGAGACTCTTCCAAAACGAGAGGTCATCAATGGCATGGCGGAGGTTGTCAAGACCGCTGCGATCTGGGACGAGCAAGAGTTCACTGCCTTGGAAGACAATGCCGAAATTATACTGCAAACGATTGAAAAGAAGCCTGTGAAAGGCCAGCGCCGGATGGAAGCCATTGCCACGATACTGAAGCGTATTGTGCTTGGTTCGGTCCGAGTCAAAGCACATGTCGTGTCTGCGGACGAGAGAGAAGGCGGTCTACGGAATCTGCTGAACTTTGGGCATTCAATAGGCCATGCCATGGAGGCCATTCTCACACCGCAAATCCTTCACGGCGAATGCGTGGCTATTGGCATGGTGAAAGAGGCAGAGTTAGCAAGATACTTGGGAGTCCTTGAACCGGCAGCTGTCGCGAGACTGACCAAATGCATTGCCAGCTACGGGCTGCCTACATCGCTAGAGAACAAAACCGTGAGGAAGCGATCAGCAAACAGGCACTGCCCTGTCGATGAGCTCATATCTATCATGGCAGTCGACAAGAAGAACGATGGCGCCAAGAAGAAAATTGTACTCCTCTCCGGTATTGGGAGGACTTATGAAAAGAAGGCTAGCGTTGTGGCTGATCGAGATATCAAACTCATCTTATCCCCGAGTGTGCTAGTCCGTCCAGGGATTCCTCCTAGTTCAAAAGTCGTTTGTACTCCGCCAGGATCGAAGAGTATCTCGAATCGTGTCCTTGTTCTTGCAGCCCTCGGATCAGGATCCTGCCGAATCTCAAACTTGCTACATTCAGATGATACCCAAGTCATGCTTGATGCCATTTCAAAATTACATGGCGCGACATTCGCGTGGGAGAATGATGGCCGTGAGCTAGTTGTCATTGGAAATGGAGGCAACCTAAAATCTACCACCGATGAGCTCTATTTGGGCAATGCTGGCACTGCTTCTCGATTTCTGACAACCGTTGCAGCGCTTGCACAGCGGACTGAGAGCACTGGGACCACAGTTCTGACAGGCAACGCTAGAATGAAGGAGCGACCTATTGGTCCTCTAGTCAAATCTCTTCGGTCCATGGGAGTGCATGTTGACTACCTGGAGAAGGAAGGCAGCCTTCCCCTTAACATTAAGGCTTGCGGCGGGTTTGGTGATGAATCTTTCACGGGAGACATCGAACTCGCAGCCACTGTCTCATCTCAATACGTATCCTCCCTGCTTATGTGCGCACCGTATGCCAAGAAGGCGGTAACTCTTCGCCTGGTCGGCGGAAAGCCCATATCCCAGCCGTACATCGACATGACCATCTCCATGATGGCGAGTTTCGGGGTGAAGGTACGGAAGTCTACATCAGAACCGAATACTTACCACATTCCCAAGCAAGCCTACAGCAATCCCGCCGCATACGTTGTCGAGAGTGACGCCAGCTCAGCTACCTATCCACTAGCTATTGCAGCTATCACAGGCACGACGTGCACTGTGCCCAACATTGGGTCAAGCTCTCTCCAAGGGGATGCTCGCTTCGCTGTGGACGTGCTTCGACCCATGGGCTGCACGGTTGAGCAGACAGAAGGCTCGACTACGGTGACTGGACCACCCAAAGGCGGATTGAAGGCTTTGACAGAAGTGGACATGGAGCCCATGACAGATGCATTCCTGACCGCCTCCGTTTTGGCTGCAGTTGCGTCCTCCAATGGCACCACAACGACCACTCGCATTACAGGTATAGCCAACCAGCGAGTGAAGGAGTGCAATCGCATCGCTGCGATGAAAGATCAACTGGCGAAGTTTGGAGTCATCTGTAGAGAGCTTGAAGATGGGATCGAAGTTGACGGATTGAGCTACGAACTAACCCCACCATCCACTGGCATTCATTGCTACGATGACCATCGAGTTGCAATGAGTTTTGGGGTCCTCTCAATTGTCGCTCCACAGCCGGTACTTGTTCTTGAGAAAGATTGCACGGGCAAGACGTGGCCTGGCTTTTGGGATATTCTCTCCCAACAATTCAAGGTTCAGTTGGCTGGCGTTGAACCACCAACTCTCGCACAGAACGGTGTAAAGAAGAACCCAACCCATGAGAAGTCGATCTTCATCATCGGGATGAGAGGGGCGGGGAAGACCACGACTGGTGGTTGGGCTGCGCGGATCTTAGGATGGCCACTGCTCGATCTTGACACTGCACTAGAAGCGCACGTTGCCATGACCATTCCGGAACTGATCAAGGCGCGAGGCTGGGAAGGTTTCCGTGACGAAGAATTACAACTGCTTGCTCGAACTATCAGAGAGAAGCCAACGGGTCATATCCTCGCTTGCGGAGGAGGAATAGTGGAAATGCCAGAAGCTCGCAAAATGCTTTCGGCCTACCAAAAAGACGGTGGCATCGTTTTACTGGTAACGAGAGATATTGCGCAAGTGATGCAGTTTCTCAACATCGACAAGACGAGGCCTGCATACGTTGAAGACATGATGGGCGTTTGGCTGCGACGCAAGCCCTGGTTTCAAGAGTGCAGTAACTTCCATTTCCACAGCCAGTCCGTCGACTCTGCTGGGCTTGCTAATACACTGGAGGATTTCTCCCGGTTCCTTTCACTGATATCTGGAAAGTCCTCGGTCCTTGATTTCATGAAGAAGAGGAAACACTCGTTCTTTGTTTGCCTCTCGCTACCGGAAATTCTTCCTTTCGTACAGCAACTCCCGGAGATTGTTGTTGGTTCAGATGCTGTCGAACTTCGGGCTGATCTTCTAGAGGATCCCAAATCTACCACCGGTATCCCGTCGGTAGAATTTGTTGTGGGCCAAGTCGCGTTGCTACGCTCCGCGGTCACTTTACCGTTGATCTTCACGATTCGGACCCGGGCCCAGGGTGGAAGGTTCCCTGACGATGCTTTCTCTGAAGCACTTCAGTTGTACAAGACCGCCATCAGACTTGGGTTCGAGTTTATCGATCTCGAGATGACAACGCCAGATAGCATTCTTGGAGAAGTGTCCGAGAGCAAAGGCCACTCGTGTATCATTGCGTCGCATCACGACCCACAAGGACAGCTCTCTTGGAGCAATGGCTCGTGGATTCCCTTCTACAACAAAGCATTGCAATATGGAGATGTTATCAAGCTTGTTGGGATGGCCAAGTCTCTCCAGGATAACTTTGCCCTCGCAGATTTCAAGGCATGGGCAGACAGCGCTCATCAAACGCCCTTAATCGCTCTCAACATGGGAGCGAAAGGAAAGCTTAGCAGGATCACCAACTCATTCATGACGCCCGTTTCGCATCCCAAGCTCCCTACAGCAGCCGCGCCCGGACAGCTATCTGCGGCAGACATTCGCCGCGGGTTAGCCCTTGTCGGTGAGATTGAGCCGAAGAGGTTCTACATCTTCGGTTATCCCGTGGGGCTTTCGCGATCACCGCCGATGCATAACACGCTGTTTAGTGAAACCGGTCTTCCGCATAAGTACAGTCTGTATGAAACAAAAGACGTCAACGATATCAAAGACATCATCCGGGCGCCAGATTTCGGAGGATCGTCCGTTACTATGCCCTTGAAGCAGGACGTCCGGCCGCTGCTTGATAGCGTTGGTCCAGAAGTCGACGTAATCGGGGCGCTGAACACTATTGTGCCTCAAACTGTCACCGATGTTTCTGGGAAGGAGGTTGTGTGTCTGGTTGGCCGCAATACCGACTGGCAAGGTATGGTTCTCGTGCTCCGCAATGCTGGTGCGCAAGGCAGCGCTGGACTCCAAAGCGGCCTCGTCATTGGCGGTGGAGGCACTGCACGCGCAGCTGTTTACGCTCTGTATCAAATGCAGTATTCACCGATTTACCTTGTAGGACGGAGCCCGCAAAAGATGGCCGCGCTGGTCGATTCTTTCCCCAAGGAATATGATCTGCGTACTTTACCGGACCTCAAGGCGGTGGAGAGCCTAAAGAAGATTCCGTCCGTTGCGATTGGCACGATCCCCGCTGATCAGCCTATCGAGTCGGGTATGCGCGAGGTTTTGTGCAGCATCTTCTCGAAAGCCTCGGCGGCAGACGCAGGCGCTAAGTCTCCCGTGTCTGGAAAAGCCGAAAGCAATCGGATCCTTCTTGAGATGACCTACAAGCCACCAGTCACAGCACTGATGCAGTTGGCAACGGATGTAGGGTGGAAGACGGTCAACGGGTTTGAGGTACTGGTGGGACAAGGAGTGTATCAGGTAGGATATTATTCCTTAGGTCACACAGTAGATAGAGCGTATACTAACGTGTTCTAGTTCCAACACTGGACGGGTATTACTCCTTTGTACGATGTAGCCAAGGTAAGTCTTATCCCATTCTCAGATAACTGATCAGGTGTGCTCTTGCTGATCACTGCGCTAGGCTGCTGTGTTGGGTGCGTGAAGGAGAGATATGCCAGGGGATTGCGCTTGCATCTTAGATTAAGAAAAAGAAGCTGCATCAACTGTAGCTTTGGAGATAGGGCAAGTTACGGGCCTCATGTAGTTTACGTTCAACAACGATTGCACTCAAATGTTTCAAATCCGCCTATCAACTCAACTTTGAGCTTTCGTCGATCACTCCGTCAGTCAGCCTGCAGTGAAGAAACTCCACACGCAAAGTTCCGATTGGACGGCAGTCTCCGGGCAGGGTCCGATTAGCGGCGCTTGGCGAGCCTCGGCGATCGTTTAGTCCGATCTTACCACATCCAATCTTACATCCATAGTTACCTGCCTCCTGACATCTGCACCCTCCCTTCTCAGCTCTACAAACCGATCAACGTACCGAGAAACAGCCATGTCACTGCCTGGCAGGCCCGCTCGTGCTTGTGTTGAATGCCGTGTGAAGAAAGTGAAGGTGCGGATTATCTAATTCGTACCCAATGTTTGGATCTTGCAGAGTGCTCAAGCTAATTCGTCATTTAGTGCGATCAGCATGTCCCCCAATGCCGGAGATGCGTGAAGAAAGGGCTGAAATGTATTGGATATAAGAATGAAACGCAACTGATACGCCATGAGCCATCCTTCGTGGTGTCCGATCAAGTAACCGGCCACCTCATTGGTACATCACCACTGGCGTCACTACGATGTTCATATGAAGACCTAGCAGTTCCACGCTTTTTCGCCGACTACGTAATCCCTGGATCCATTCCAGGAGTACCTGGGGGCTTCCTTGGGTTTCTTGAAGATATTTCCAACCCTAAATTCGTAACGAAATGCCTCCTGGAAGCTTTAACCGCGGCCGCGTATGCTTCCCTAGCCAATCAAATCAGAGACCAAGATCTAAAGGTCAAGGCTCGAAAGGCTTACGGATCTTGCTTAGCTCTGCTAAACCAAGCGTTGCGTGACCCGGTAGAAGCAAAGAAAGATGCAACGATAGGAGCTATGTCCATCATAGCGCTATACGAACTCATAGTGTCCGAGGAACTTATGGGCCTATGGGATTGCCACTATAATGGTCGTCTCCTTCTTCTGAAGATTCGAGGGCCCAGCCAGTTGAAAACAATCCGGGGCCAGAACCTTTACCGCAGTACATACTTCCAAATGGTAATGCCATTTCCATTCCTGCATCTAAGCAAGCCCTCTGTTCATAGTGTACCTCTGACTCCTTTGCAGCAACTAGCGTACCTAGGGAAGTACTGGTTTCCTCCAGTTAATTTCAGCTTTCCTGAAGAGCTCGCCACCGGCTCCCCCGATCGGACCATCACTAAAATCGTGGATAGAGCTGCAAAGACTTGCTTTACTGGTATTGCAATGCTTCGTGATCATACGAAAACACCTGAACCTTCACGGTTGCGAGTGCTGTTGCAAGAAGTTTGGGAAATCGACGCAATGTTGCTTCAATGGAGACATGATACTTCCCTCGAATGGACGTACCAATCTGTGTTCGTTCCTCAAAAAAGTCATTGGGCCTTGCCAATAGCATTCCCTAGCTGGCTGGACGAATTCCACGTATACCCACTCTGCGGCCACCGGACAGCGTTGATCTGGAACCTTTTCAGGGGAACTCGAATTCTCATACACCATCTTGCCATTTGCATAATCCTGTATTTTGAAGCTTTCGTTTTCGATGACCGCGTTTCTTCCCAAGCGACTCACCGAGACATTATACGTACATATTCGGATGAGATTTGTGCAAGCGTCCCATTCTGCCTCGGCCAGATTGATTCCAACGGTATCGTCAAGAACCCGCAACCCAAGCCCCTCGGAGGTTATTGGCTCTTGTGGCCTTTGCACCTGGTGAGGACAAGATGTCCGGACGACAGTAAAAAGGTGTCATTCATTGACGGTGTACTGTCTTTCATGAACGACAGTCTTGGAATCAGTCATGGACGAAGGATACTGGACTTCAGGATGGCAATACCTCCTTCGGCAATTCCAATATCTCGACAAATTGATTGGAAATGATCTATGAGATTTCCCTTACATCAAGGCCCTCTGTAATCCTGTCCTTATCCGGATCTACGATATTTTCTATAGATGAATATGGAACCTTCCAGTAGCGTAAGTATGAGCTCCATTCTCTTTCACAGCGAAAGATATCTACATCCAGATCGATTTGCAACATTGCTAACGCTCATTGCCCAATAGGGTTCAAATTCCAACTCCGTACACCTCACCGACCGAGAAGGACTAGACTCCATATACCAACGCTTCAGTGCACCTGTTCCTGCATCCAGAAACGAATATGTCCTCCATATACAGCCACGTTTTGTGAGAAGTCCCCTTCAGGCCCCTACACCATGGTATTCGTAATCATGCGGGCCGTTTGACTGTCTGTTGTACGCAATTGGCTGTGCGTTGTTGTAGGCAGGTGGTGCAATCAAAGGCATCATCCCATCACCATCACGTCCTTTTACCCCCTCCTGGTCCTTTATCAACTTCATCGGCCCCTTGAAGAAAGCGGACAGAATATCCGTGTAGTTCAGCGCCTGGATTATTGCCGCAAAAGCGCCATATTTAGGGCTTCCGAGCTTGGCCTTGCTGTAGGGGGTAACGCGATAGGCGTAGAGGATGAAGGCGGAGAAGAAGGGCAGTTCGCAGCACAGGAGCAGATTCGGGACGCCTACTTGGATGTTGTTGTAGGTGAGATGGCTGGTTGGTTTGATGACCTTTGACGAGACGAGGATGCTGATGAGGAACTTTGTGAAGATCAGTCTTGGGAATTCCATGTGTTTGGTGCGGCGCGGCTACATACCGCTTGGATGAACATGACTACGATAACGCCCTTGAATGCGAAGAACTTCATCATTATTTTGTGCGGGGCCAGTTTCGCATGCATAATCTTGTGGAAGCGGAAGATTGACATGACCGCCATTCCTGTACAGAAGCCTCTGATTACGGTGACCTTGATTCAGGTTAGTCGGCCCGTCGACATTCAGCATAGCACTAGCGGTAGCTTACCCAGATGTGAACGAAGTAGATGCTGTTAGAGTTGGAGCAGTAGGTCCCAGCTGCCAAACTCGCGGCGGTCGCAATCCAGAGAATGACGCTGACGGGGATGAACTGGAGCACCATGTACCACGATCTCTGCAAACAAAGTCAGTCTCGATGCACGGAACATTATAAAAGGAGAATCACCTTCAGCCACGCCGGACTCTGGGCCGTGTATACATCATTCCCAAACAAGTCCTGCAGCCCATCGGGGTTCGACAGGACGTAGTTGCAAAGCAAAAGCAGGAAGCTCGACAGCGCCAGCGCAGTCGCGATGTCAATGCCAGGCGCGATGTACAAGCCCTTGGACTCGAAGGCGACGCTCAAGAAGGCGAAAATGGTGACCCAGGGGAGGAAGCAGCCTATCCGGATGATCTGGCGCTGCTCCTTGGGGATGGTGTAGTGTGTTGCGTGTCGGAGGACGAGGGTGAGTGCTAAGAGAATGGTGACTATGGAGGTTGCGCCGGCGACGACGGTCGAGAAAGTCTTAAAGGACATGGAGCCGAAGAGGGGTACTATGGTAGGGCCATTGGTGTCGGGTGCAGGGCAGGTGTGATTTTTGCTGCCACCATGACCACCGAAGAGTTTCCGCGCGACGAGGTGCATGTTCGGTGTATCCATGATGCCTGGGTCTGGATGGAAGAAATAGGGGTGAATGCAATTCCTGAAAAATCGAAGTAGTGTGGACCTCTAAATATAAAGAGTAGATGGGCGACTAGTAGCTTAGAGTCCCGAGGAGTGCGTGAATTGTGAATATGAAGAAGTGCTGGATAACTGAAAACGAGCTGCTTCCAGCGGTCTATATAGTTACGCGTCCTATACAATCTCCACCTACCGGGCACTCGGAAAACCCATGCAGCGCCGTTGTGCCTGGCACCTCGCGTCTGCAACACCCCATCCTCAGCCACCTCAAAGGGTCCATGATACGCAGGCCACAGCCAATGGCGCACAGGCTTCCCCATCAGGGCAGGCGCTGGCGCGGCTCGCGTTGCTGACTTTCTGCAGCTTAAGCCTGTCAAGCATTGTTTAGCGCGGATTTCTCTTGGAGAAGCTCGGAAAACCCCTGTCGCAAGGCTGAGGGCTGTGGAGATCTCGCACAACCCGACCGGAGGCGGAGGCGGAGGCGGAGGCTGAACCAGCACCAGCACCACACCATGTAGGGCTGAGAGCGACCGTCGGGACAGATGGGGAATCCTGTGCGCATGGCTGTGATGCGTCACAGGCGTGGAATAGCGGTGACCTGGGCGAGAGCGAGGCTGCAGCATCATGAGCTTCTTCGCTCCTTGGCACCCACCAACTTGATGGATTGTTCGGACCCGCCCCACGGACTATTTCGCGTGCGCACTCCTAGACTCCGTGGGGCGGGTACGATTCATTTGTAGGTGCAGGGACTACCACGGTGATTTCTGAGGAGATTCAGTCACGTGACCAGATTCTGATAGTGGCTTATTTTTGATTGATCTGATCTGGTCACGTGACTGAATCTCCTCAGAAATCACCGTGGTACAGAGTGCTGCCACGCGCGGTAGGCTTTTAGAGGAGAAGCCTTGCGACGACTCTAGACGCAGGAGCAGTTCGAGCATTCGCATGATTCATTTTTTGTATCTACTAGGAACTGATGCCCTCGTATCCCCCTCTCTGACATCTCATTTCTTTTGCTTCTCCAAAGTTGCCTAGATAACTTCGTCCAGAGTGGCTTTCGGAAGTCCGAGATGCTTGTTCCGAATTTTCTGCTCCCTTTCGAAGTTGTATCCTGCATCTTCATCACTCACGAAGCTCAAAGAAAGCAACGTATACACTGCGTTGAAGTCGCCAGCATCGAATTTGGCCCTCGCTTCCTCGATGGTCGGGCCGGATGCCTTCTTTTCAATCGCAAGTTTCTCCCCGACCTGCCTCTCCAATTCCGCAATAATCTCACGGGGCGACGTGACGAAGTCGCTCAGAAAAATCTGCCTGTTGGCCGACAGTGCGGGGTTCATCAGAGCCTGAGCGACTGCCAGCCCTGTGTTGTCGGAAGTGGTGGCTGTAAATAGATTCTAGTACGTCCGTAACAGATGTCAGCGTTGGCGATGCAACCATCGTGGCATGATGGCTGCCAACACGTTCACTAAATGCATGCTGATGGAGTCTGTCAGCCTGAATATTGAAAAGCATATGCTACACCGGGGCATTCCTAACGTGTTACATCTGTGCATAGGCGTGCAGGATGGTCCTAAACGTTCATACGCTTGGAATCAGGCTCGGAGCTGGACTCGCCGAGTTAGAAGAAAAGGAGAGCCTGAAGAGGCGGGAAACGCCGGGGATGCCGGACATTGGGTCCAGCCGCGGCCAACATCACACCTCAATCCTTTCGATAACCACCACCTTCCATCAGGCTATCTACCTTCAATGCCAGTGGGTTGGTATAGGGAGCTAAAAGTGGTGATGGAAGCTAATTTCTGAGAAATTCACGGTTGAGCCACAGCAAGACAGCGAGCACCAAGCCCGTGTCCTAACCTCTCCTGATGCTAACCCAACGCAGCAGCTCGACCATGGGTTGAAGACGAAACAAATCTAGCTCCCGCACGTTGTTTGCCAATGGCGCGCTCACAGCCACACGCCGGCCCGCTGCTATGCCAGTCCAGGGCTAAGGTACCAGCTCCCTCTAGCGGGGGGTGCGCGTCCTCTCGTATTTTCCGAACCTCCGCATCTCTCCCAAGTACTCTCGTATCTCAATGATTTCGCCTTTACTGAGGTAGTCCGGCCGCGATGGAGCTCATTCTTTGTTTCCTGGTGCTTGCGCTGACGAGCTGTGTGTCGGCTGTTGTGACGTTCCTACAGCCTACAGCCGGTGCAGGTAAAGCTCCAAGAGCTATTTGTGTGCCCTACATGCGACGAAACTAATGCATCAACAGAGATTCAAGGAGGAGAGTCTTTCACCGTGCAATGGATACTGGAGGATGGCACAATCCCCGCCGCAAACCTTACGACCTACAAGCTGGCGCTGTGTGCCGGTGGTAATAACGCCAGCTCGCAAGTACGTAGAGAATCTCCCTTTCGTTCGAGCCGAGACTGACGCGTTATCCAGGCTGTACTCAGCACCCTCGTCCAGTCCGCCGCTTTTTCCAACAATACAGAGCTTTCCGAGAACATCGAGACCTCCATTGGGGGCAGCGACATCAATGCGTATTTCTTCATGCTCGTCACGAATTATACAGGCGGCGGCACGATAACTTCCTTCTCCTCACGCTTCACTCTGTCATATATGCACGGCACCTTCGACTCGACTGTCCTCGCGGGGATACAATTCATGTCGGCCAGCACAACGGGGCCTACCGAAATCCTAGACATCCCGGATAGTACTGGAACCCCGACAGCTACATCCTCATTATCAAGTTCTGGATCGCCCACAGCAAGTTCGAGCTCAACAGCAACTACTTCGCCCACCACATCCGCCGGCCTGAGCAAAAGCGGCGTAGTCGGATTGGCACTTGGCGTTCCCCTATGTATGATGGGGCTTGCCCTGGCTGGCTATCTCTTATATCAGCACCGCAAGAAACGATCCGAGAGACCCTGGAAGCTCATGGGATCAGAGCTCGACTTGACATCAGCCAGAGCGGAACTCGACGCGAGACCCTCAGAAGCCGAAATGCATACGCCGGCGAATGTCCATGAGATTGGAGACAGCAAGGAACTCGCTGTTGAATTGCCGGGGTGATACCATGAGTCAATTTCAAAAATAATGATCACGAAGTTACTTTCTATACAACGAGGCCCTAAATTTGATAACCGGAACGCTTGAAACCCTCCTTTTTCGACTCAAAAGGGCGTGTCTGGTGATTTAAGGCTAGCCTGGGACGTTTCCTACGAAAGGAACACGACAGGACCATCCATCATCGATATTCTCGGACACCACCACATCCACCGAAGCTGACCGAGAAAGAAAGTTGGCGTACTTGAGACAATCCCACGTCACAGCGAGACATGTGCTGGAAGGGATGGAGCTTTTTCTGCTACAAACCACTCGTACTCTCTAAGGGCGAAGTGGTAGCTGGGAGGAAGGCTAGACATCGATACGTCCCACTGCCTACGGGCCACTTCCTGTCATTCAGGGTCTGTCATTACAAGAAGAGCCTCTCTCATATGCAACTAATGGTACCTTAGGTCGACTCAAAGGTATTAGACTCGTTGAAGCCGAGATAGAAATAATGATAATGCTAATGAATGTATGTCTTGATTATGGGTGCGTCGTCTAAGGAGGCCTAGTGAGTTCAGAGGTCGTTCAAAATGATTCGCTTGCCTCCCGTCTAGGTCCTTGAACATGCATTGGGGGACTTCAAACCGTGACACCCTAGGGTTCGCAGACCATTCTGGCCTAGAAGATTAAAAACCGGATGACGTGCCGTTATCATCCGGACACGATGTCAAAACTCCACGAACGCAAACTGATACGCGTTCATTTGCTTCTGATGAACGGAGACTAGCAACCACCTCGTCGACTCGAAAATTGAGGCAGCATGTAACATTCTCGAGTACATAATTCAGACAGAAGCGACCGGCGTAATATAGCAAACTGAGAAAGCGTTTAAACAATAACATAAGCAAAGTGCGACGTAAAGGAAAACTTGCAAGCAAACGCAAGAAAATAATACTAAGACTATTAAGTAGCAATTTGATCGGCCGTCTTCGAACCCCCTCCCCTCACCTGTTCATAGCACATCAACCATCCAACTCACATCCGAATTCGAACCAGTACTAGAAAGTTTCTGAATCCTCGTGCTCGCGCTCAGCCGCAAAGTACAGCCTCGCAAACTCAGACGTCGGATCCTCAAGCAGCAGGTACGGTTCGCCGCACTCACGAATGTGGCCGTTCTCCATGACAACGACCTTATCAAAGTCGAGAATAGTGTCAAGCTTGTGCGCGACCGCGATGATGGTGTGAGAAGCGAACTTGGCGCGGATGAGACGCTGGATCAATTTGTCGGTCTGGGCGTCGATGCTGTAGCATGTCAACACGCTTCCTTCATATCTCGCGGTTCGAGGTATTCGAGTGAGTGCTCACCTGCTCGTCGCCTCATCCAACACGACGACTCTCCCTTTCCGCAGCATAGCGCGCGCCAAGCAGAATAGCTGCTGCTGCCCTTTACTGAAGTGCAAATCTTCTACTTGAACGTCCAGCGGATGCTTGTACTTCTTCTGGTCGCCGTTCTTGACGATTGCGTCCCAGAGCTGGACGTCCTGTAGCGTGGCTTTGATGGCTTTGTCGGTGCATTCGCCCATGGGGTCTGCATTGAGTCGCACGGAGCCGGCGAGAAGGTAAGCGTCTTGGGGTAGGCCAATTAGGCGCGATCGGATGGTATCGCGGGGGAGGGTGCTGAGGTCGAGAGAGTCGACGTGGATGCTGCCGTTGGTTGGGTCGAGCATGCGGAATAGGGTCAGCAGTAACGATGATTTGCCGCTAGAGGAAGCGTCAGTATCACAGCTAATATGTTGCCAATCAAATAAGTAACGGAATGATTCTCCTTACCTGCCGGTGCGTCCGACAATAGCGACTTTCTCTCCCGATTCTATAGTCAAAGAAAACTCGTTCAAGACAGGTTCGGACGGCCTACGACGTAGTTTGATTAGATCCATACGAGTGCCTCCTCAGAGAATGCCGAGAAACTTACTTATATCCCGCGGTGATATCCTTAAACTCTACTCTACCATGAGCGGGCCAACTCTCTGGCACTTCTCCTTTCTCGCCTTCTAGATCCTCGCCGACAGCTTCCGCCGCGAAGGTCTTTATACGAGCGACCGAACCGATGTGGGTCTCTAGCTGCGTCCAGAACGTGATGAGCATTTTGATACTCTGTGAGAAGAGAATCACGTTCAATAACGCAACGCCGACGTATCCCGCACTCAGCTTGCCCCTAAGAGCGACGACTAAGCTGATGAGAAGTACAGCCACGGCTGCTACAACCAAGTCCAGCACTAGAGTAAGCCACCGTTGCACGGCGAAGAGGAGATAGAAGGGTTTTTGGCTTCGGTCGAGTATCTCTTTAGTCTTCTTTTGAAGACTCGACTGGAATCCAAACGCGCGAACGGTTGCAAGGCCGGACAGTATCTCGGTAAACTGTGTATAGAGAGGGGATTTGGCTTCAAGGTCGAGAAACCGAAGCTGTCGTGAGGTGCGGAGATAGAACTTCTGGACGAGGTAGAGTGTCGCAAGGAGGAAGGGAATGGCGATTGCGGCGTAGGGAGAAGCGATAGATATGAGGACCATCTGGGCAATGCAAAGTACGAAAGCTTTCAAAATATTAGTATGTGTGCTAAGAAGAAACGGATGTAGCGACATACTTGCGAAGGTGTTGAGAGCAGCTACTGGGAGCTCCATATCTATCAACTGAAGGTCCTGGCTGAATCGGTTGAGGGTGACACCGGTATCGGTTGTAGAGAAGAAAGTCATTGGTGCGCTAATAGTGTTAAGACTCTTGTCTTGTTTTGGAAAGTTGAATGATGTGAAGGCTTACCTTAGTACTGTCTGGAGTAATTTCCAGTGGAAGTTCACCCCCGAACGGGGCACCATAGTGATCATAATCTGCCAACAACTGATCACGAGAAAAATGAGAGCCAGTATGCCCAACATTGCATAGATACCGAGATAGTATCCTAAGTTCCCGTTTGGAGTGACGGCGTTTGCGGCGGCCCACCATTTCACCCATAGATCTAACGGGCGGTCATTAACGAAGAACAGGAAGAGAAGCGCAGCAATTTGTAAACTTACTCGGAAAAGAGATGCAGAATATGAAAATAGTAATCGAAACCATGAAGATAATTGTTGGGAGCCAACCCACAGTACTAATGTAGTACGTGTATATGGTCACATCGCCGGTTCGCTTGTTGGCCTCCGCTTGGATATCATTTTCTGTACTCTGACCGTTCATGGTAGGAGCAGTATTGAATCTTAGGCTTTTCATATCTAGCTTTTCGGCCGTGTGGCTCCGCTCAGGCGACTTCAGGTTGAATTGAGAAACGTAGCCACCACTCTTGCTAAGAACATCAAACGAGCCTTGCTCTGAGATCTTGCCGTGGGAATCAAGCGCAATGATATGATCGGCATAAGGAACCCGCTTCGCTATGTTCAAATTAGCTGGAGATGAGGTAAATGCTTGGGAAACTTGATAGACGGAATGGCGGTCGTGTTGATGCGAAGGTTAGGAAAGACTTAGACGAACCTGATGATGATGCAATGAGAACGGTAGATCCGTATTTTTGAAGAAGACCATCGGCACCGAAGAGATTGTGCCAGACGCGATTCTCAGTATGCGAATCGAGTCCAGATAGTGCGTCATCCAGAATGAGGGTATTCTTCTGAGCATATATTGCCCTCGCCAGTGCCTGCCGCGCCGCGTCAGTGTTGGTTGAAATGCACCGTGGGTCTTAACTTAGGTGCATGCTCACAATTCTTTGGCTTTGGCCGCCCGATAAGGCGACACCCTTGCTGCCAATCTGTGTCTGGTCTCCCTGAGGCAGCTGATGGAGATCATCGTCTAGTGCACATGCTACAACGCACGATTCGTACCACCGTTGATCGTACTCCGAAACTGCAATAATGCTTTGTCGGACGGTACCGTTCATGTGCCAGGGATCCTGCTCACAATACGCAACCCTCATGGATGATAAAAACCGAACGTCACCCTCCATCACTGGAAGCTCACCAAGGATAGCCTTGAGAAGAGTCGACTTACCGCACCCCACAGGCCCAATCAGCATGGTTAGTCTGCCTCGTGGAATTGCCAGATTAATATCCTGAAGTACGTCTGACGCATGATCCTCTTTATCCCAACCAAAGGTTCCGTTTTCTATGAGTATGGCGCTTGTGTTGGACAACGTGTAGTGCTTTCGAAGAGTTAATTTCTCCTGCGACATATTGCTCTGCTGTGATAATGAGCAACTCCTCTGAGATAGCGCGGCACTCTTTTCCGAGCAATCCTGTGAATTCCGTGAGCCCTCAAGATGTAATGAAACAGCCTCTCGTCGGTCTACTCTAGGCTCGGTGAGCAAGAACGTCTGGATTCGCTGAAAGCAACCAACCGCGCCCATGAAGGTTGCGAGTGACATTATCAGAGATCCAAGAGGCTCCGATAGCAGAGCGAATAGGGACAACGAAGTGAATACCTTGGCTGTATTTAGCGTGGAATGGCCGCCATCCCGCGCTATTATAGAGAACACAGCGAAAGTGAGGACTGGCGCCACGACAGGAGATATGTATGCTAGGCGGCTGTCAGACATCGCGTTGCTCACGAACCATGGAAGACTTACCGAAACCCATGTTCCAAATGAGTAGAGTTCGGAATCCCTTAGAAACGTTCATCTCGTCGATACGCAGCTGTTGCAAGCTCTGGCGCAGGACGCTTGAAAGGCCACACATCTTGACACCTTTCATGGAACTGAGCATACCCGTTGTGGCTGTGATACGCCGCTCGATGGCCTCAAGCCATAGCTGTTGCCTCTTCATGACGAGGCCAGTAGCGGCGAGCGATCCCACTAAGGAAACTAGTAGATGGCACCTATTAGCATTGCACTGACCGCAATGATCAACAGATAAAAGCGGTAGCAAGAGTGCATTTACGTACTGATAGCGACTCCAATGGGGATCACGCATGCAGCCCCGAGCTGTAATTGCAGCAAGTAAATTGCCAAGACGACTTCGATGATATTTGCCCAAATCTCATGCATGGTTTGCATTCCCGTCGTTATACGCTCGATATCTGCACTCATAAGAGTGAGTGATGACGCGGGGTCCGCTTCAGTGATGCTCAAGTTTGATGTTTTATCGTGTAACAATGAGATAACACCTCCGCGAATCATAGTGATCGCACGATATGTCAAATGCTGGTATTGACCGGTAGTGATCTTTCCAAGGTCAGTAAGTAGGTGCGCTGATAGCAGGTCTTTAAGAAGCATTTTTCAATCAAACATGTAGCACTTACTGCTATGCCCATGTAAACGAGAATGTAAGCTCCTATGAGACCATAGCCATTATTCGTAGTCTGCTTCGAGACAGGTTGTTGCGAGAGGGTGATAGCTCGGTTAATGAGCAAGGGCTGAGAGTAATTGAAAGCTATGAGAAACGCTCTTGGTGGTATCACGGCAAGAAAAGGACCTTTGAGTCTGCTCAACGTGGTAAGGAAGAGAGAATGGGGGCCATGGTGGATTACTAATAGAGAAGGAGGTTAGAAACGGTGACTCCAGAGATGAGTGAATGAACATACCGGACTCCCAGGTAGGTTGGAGCAGGAGTTGTAAATAACTCGATTCAAGGTGGATGTCTAGTTTGGGGAGATCATCGACGGTGATAGAGGAAGAAAAGCCTCTGCGGAAGAGGCTGTTCTGCCACCAGAAAAAGCATCTACTGTATATGCCACTTGTCGCCTCCGTAGGGTAAGATGCATATTGCGGATAAAGGATGGATCGCTTATCTTTTCCCTCGAGTAGAACGACTATTGCCTTTACAGATACGCTGATAGCGCATAGAATTGCGATGGTGCCATTATATGGCTGAAGCCAGATAGTTCGAGTTCGGGCTATGTCAAAAAGCAACGATAGCAATAGATAGACGTTTAGCAAAAATGACGGTCGAATAGAGTGAAGATGCTCTGCATAGGATAGAAGACAGAGTAAGAAGGAGCCGACGAAAGTGAGAACGGTCGCGGGTATTGATGCTCGGGTTTTGACAGCGGCTGGACCCGCCCAGAAGATCAGGAGAATGACTTGGATGAACCCGAAGGCAGTATAAGAGCCCTAGACGATAAATAGAATTAGCACAAACATAGGTATCGCATCCACCATTGCGGAGGAAGATGCGTTAGTACGGAATGTTACCCACAAGCTTCAGGAATAGAATGGCTGTACTCTTCACTTTGGTCCTTGTTCTCAATAGGAAGAATACTCGAATGACGGCAGCAATGAGAGCTATGGATAGAGGAAGGATTAACAAAATCGTTTCTTCAAAGAATAACGTAAAATCGAATCCACCTCGACAACTCTTCGCGTGAGGCCCAAAAGTATCATCAATAGAGGCACAGTGTGACCACGATTTGGAAGCCATTGTGAATCCGTTTACACTGATTTCAACAGTGTAGTTCAATGACAGGTGTCAATACGCTTCCGTAGAAATTCGAGGCCGGCAGAAGAGACGCCTGGGTCCATGCCGTACTTGTTCAGTTTGCGCATTTCATGTCATATTCGACTAGTTCAACGCAAAAGGCACCACCGACAAAATAGGGGTTAGGAGGAACTGGGATATCCTATCAGTGCAAAGATGCTGGAGATTATCCGGAACAACTCGGGGGTTCCCGACCCAATTATCCAGGCCGGAGCTGAAGCTCATCGAGTGGACAGCGTGGCCAGCCTAGGTACACTTGTGGCGTCTCGAATAGTTAGGGGTAGGCGAGATTCTTTGATATCGTAAATCATGAGACAAATCCATTGGCTCCCCTCACATTGCTCCCACTTCGTCAGATTAACGAGAAGTCGAAGATGGAAAGCGATATTACTCACGGTGAAGCTACACACAGAACCGAAAATCTCATGTCTAAATCCGGTGAGCCTCTTCACGCCTAAATATATTAAATGGTATGCATTCGTATATCTCGTTTTGCCGCTTTTGGGGTGAAGATCTGCGCCTCTTCATGCCTAAATAAATTAAATGGTATGCATTCGTATATCTCGTTTTGCCGCTTTTGGGGTGAAGATCTGCGCCTCCTATTTTAGCGATTGCGGGGAGGCGCCGCAGGACACGGGCGGCAGAATAACTCTAATTTACTCGACACCACACCACCGTCATCCCAAGGAATTTTGCCTGAATGCTGTGCTGTCACATTGGAGAGCCGAGGATTTTGGCTTTTGATGTGTGGAATAGTTACGTAACATGAACGTCTTCTCAACTTGCCATGGCCCTGGCGGAAGTGATCCTGCGCCAGCCTGGTCCAGCTGTGCATTCGCTCCGAGGGAGGTGCCCGGTAGGTTCTCCGCAGAGTGTGGTTGGATCTCTCGGAATTTCAAACGGACTGCTTGGCTGGCCATGTTCCAGTCTGCATTGGGCGCGACTCGACAGTCTACACAGTTTGACCCTTTGGGACAGCCTGTGGTTATACAGCATATGCCTGCATCCAATGGTGATCTAGCGCACTTTGACTCCGGGGGCGAAGTAGGGGGAATTCAAGCCCTTTCCTGGTGCTATACCTTACCGGGACTGAGTTTAGCGTGGTAAAAGCCTGGTGCTTGGAGGCGTTCATATTGAACATCGCCCTCTTTCATGCCTGATCAGGAAGGTTGACACGCATGCGGGACCACCTACGGACACGCCTGCATGCTGTACACCGCGGGAGAAATCCCGGATTCGTGACTCGCGCTGCCCCTCATGGAACACGTGGTGTAGGCGGATGCGTTTCATATACATTAGAGTTTCGAGAGCAAGCGAAGGTAAAGAAAGTACATACAGTAAAAGCTCGATATACCGTTCAGCTCGGGGCCAGGGGGGCATGAGTGTCGTACCGTATCACAACGTTACAGCAGATGACCACGGGAAAACAAGTGAGAGGCCGCTGCGCATTTAATGTTGATGGGAACTATATCCTGCCACATTTAGTACTCTTTGCAATACTTATGACTGAGGTAAGATATCTTGAAAGGCGTTGGTAGATGGCCCGCCTAGGCCCCAAAAATCACCCCAAAACTGGGGTTCTCAGACCCAATACTCGCCCCATACCCGCTCGATAAACCATTTTTGTATATGAGAGCTTTGAGTCTAACGCTATGTCGAGATTTGAACGTGACAGGGGCAAAAAAACGTGTAAGGAGATTGTTGAACGTTCTAACTTACAAAAACGGTTTATAGCATGAATGGTATACCGAGCTTCTACTTTACATAGTGAGTAGCACCTAGTGCCGGAAGGAACCACCGGAAGGACTTCCGATCGCGGGGGCCTATATGTAGCTTGCGTCGGAGCGGCCCGACAGCACCGACTCCGTTTCCCAAACTGGGCAGGCTTATATCCACTGCGGCAGCCATGTCTTTCCCGGCGGGACGGTTCCTGCCCTTCTCCTTGCCGATTTCGATCCATCATGACATCGCGACATCCTTTGATTGGACCCTAAGTATCTTGAGAAGAAGCACCCCTTGCCTTAGTCCATGATGTAACTGATCAGCTGGAGGCCCGTCGATGCAATTGCGGGCTCTGCCCGGCTGGAAGTTGGTCTCCCTGGATGGTCTGGGCATGGCGATCTCTCCGTGGAAGCGGGTTTCAATTCCGCTGGACCATGCATGGATGTGGAGACAATGATCACGCTGGTAACATTGGCATAGGATGTCAGGGGCTAGAAGTCAGGGGCTAGAAGTCAGGGGCTACAGAGGGGACGGCCATAGCAAAAAAGCCAGCAGTAATATTTCCCAATCCCAATTGCTTTGTTGGTATATTGTTGTGAAATCGTTTCTTGTAGTCGTGCGAGCCATCGATCTACTTTCTCGTGTTGATTACTACCATCTTCACACAGCTGGATTGCAGCAATTACTCTTCAAGCTACTCTTTTGGCCCTCCTTCTCGTTAGCCAGGCAAGGTAAAACCCATCTTGCTTTGCTTGGAAATCTTCCGTTGCTTCCCTCGTCTTCGCTTCAGAAAATCGACCAGATTCAGTCAGCAGATCGACAGTCAGGATGGCCATGGACGCCAAGGAGTCTGGATTTGGTGGCTTTCTGCGTGACATGCGCCTTGACAGTGGATCGAGGTCAATGAAGATTGAATTAAGGGATTCGGCGGCACTTCAAGCCCTCTCTGAAGACCATGAAGCGTTGTCCAGTGTGATACAAACAGCATGGGCGCTCATGGTGTTTTGTTATACCGGCAAGCAAGAAATAGCATTCGGAATCGAAGAGGTTGGCGTGCCATACACGCGTGGAAAGACGTCGTTCTCGGAGCTGAGCATTCGGGAGCCGTCTACTATATCCACGTTACTTCATTCGATCTTGAGACTTCCGTCTTCCACCGGTACAGAAGATCGCAGCACGTCCATTTTGATTCGCCATCAGTCCATGCAAGAGCCAATTTCTCAGGGCATTACAATGCCTGAAAAGGTTTGCTCCAACGACGTTCTTATTATACGTATATTTAATCTAACTGGTTCTAGAACGTCATGCGCCTCATCGTCAAGATTTTTGGAGATGGCATGGGCATTTTCCTGGAATACCGTCCATCGATTCCAACGAGCCAAATCAAGAACATCGCAGACACGATCGACCAAATCCTTACTTATGTATTGGAATGTCCGGACCTGCCCATCAAAGATGTAGAATTCTTGGGAAAGCGGAACAAAGCCCAGATTCAGCAATGGAACAGTTCAGCCTTGGTCCCTACGGAGAAAACAGTTCACGGTATGATTCACGACATAGCGCTCAGATTTCCCAACCATGAAGCCGTATGTGCGTGGGATGGAACCTTAACCTATTTGGAACTTGATGAGCTTGCTTCCAAATTAGGTTTTCGCCTGCACGCACTAGGTGTTGGACCAGAAGTATTCGTTCCACTTTGTTTCCAGAAATCCAAGTGGAATATTGTCGCGATGTTAGCAGTTCTGAAATCCGGCGGTGCATGTAAGTGAAGCCATGTCTCAGTGTCTTCAGAGGATGTACAAACATACTAACATGATTGTCACAATACCGTAGTCATACCACTCGAACCAAATTACCCGTACGAGCGCAAAATGCACCTTATAGAATCAGTCCATGCTAAGATCCTACTGTGCTCTCCGGAGGTTTCTGACAGCTTCATGGGTATCATCGACCTTGCACTTCAGATTGACGAATCATTCATCAACGGGCTTTCTCAAGACGCAGTTTTTGAGCTCGGAGTTGCCGCAACACATCAGAACGCAGCTTATATCACTCCGACGTCGGGAACGTCGGGAAACCCGAAACTTACTTTAATTGAACACGGCCAGTACTGCTCTGGTGTTCTGGCTCATGCGCCCGGCATGCTTATGAACTCTACCACACCTTTGAGGGTGCTTCAATTTGCCTCGCATTCTTTCGACGCATCAATGGTGGAGACGCTTTCTGTTCTGATTCTCGGAGGCACCGTTTGTATTCCAGACGAAGAGACGCGCTTGAACGATGTTGCAAAAGCCATAAACGAGATGGATGTCACCTGGACTTGTTTGACACCAACTTTCGTCCGCTTCCTCCATCCATCAGCTGTTCCAAGCTTAAAGACCATTGCTTTGGTTGGCGAAGCTATGTCAAAATCGAATGTAGAGGCTTGGTCCGTAATCAATCTCGTCAACGCGTAGGTGGAACCCGAAGCAAGAAAAGCATTTGGTAGATTACTGACAACAAATATGACACAGTTACGGTCCAAGTGAATGTTCCGTCGCAGCGGTTGCCAATCCAAAAGTAACGCTTCAGACGGATCCGAAGAACATTGGGTTTCCATTAGGTATTCATACTTGGGTCGTCGATCCGAGTGACTACAACAAGCTCGTACCTATCGGCTGTATCGGAGAACTACTTGTGGAAGGGCCCACAATTGCCAGAGGCTACTTGAACGACCCGGAGAAGACAGCGCAATCCTTTATTCGAAATCCTACCTGGGCTGACGATAGAAACTTCCGTGGATACCTCACCGGAGATCTCGTCCTACAAAATGCCGACGGAAGTTTTAACTTTGTTGGACGAAAGGATACTCAGGTCGTAAGCTGTCCCTTGAAGTCACATCCATCTTTCGTCGTAGGCTAACTAACGCAAAATGAAACAGAAACATCATGGGCAGCGTGTAGAACTTGCGGAGATTGAAGTTCACCTCAACGCCGAGGCGTGTGTCAAGCATGGCTTGATTCTTCATCCTAAGTCAGGTCCTTGTAGAGGGAGACTCGTGTCTGTGTTCTCGCTGGCAGACGCGGCTGCTGATGAAGAGAACCCGGGCAGTGAACTGAGAATCATATGTGGTTCTTTAAAGCCTCGCGCAGACTCTCAAATCAAGGCTATCCGAGAAAAATTGACGAGAAAGTTACCGCCTTATATGGTGCCATCAACATGGTTTGCTGTAGAGGCAATTCCACTTCTCCCATCTCAAAAGATCGATAGGAAGCGAGTCATGCAGTTTGTCGAAGACATGGATGAGCAGACATTCCGTCTGATTGGACCAAGCGTCGTAATTGACGATGGGCCTGTTCGGTCTGCATCCGCACTTGAGAACGCCTTGAAATCCATCTGGAGCCATGTCCTAAATCTTTCGCACGAACAAGTAGGGCTCAATCACTCATTCTTGAAGTTAGGAGGAGATTCGATTTCTTCCATGCAAGTCGCGGCACAAGCAAGAAGGAAAGGCATCGGCTTAAGCGTTCAAGATATACTTCTTAGTAAGAGCATCGTCGAGTTGGCTCAACGTGTCAAGGAAGTGCATTCGCCGTATTGCGTGGACGAAGAGGAGATCGAGAAACCTTTTGATCTTTCGCCTATTCAATTGTTGTACTTCGAACTGCCAAATCAAGGGACTGGTCACTTCAACCAATCGTTCTTTTTGCGGGTCGCTCGAAAACTCTCCAAAGCCACGATACACGGCGCTGTCAGAACCCTCGTTTCTCGCCATTCTATGTTGAGAGCAAGATTCGAATGTGAAGCTGGGTGCTGGCACCAGCGCGTAACGAACGAGGTTACCAGCTCATTCAGCTTCCGTCAACACACTATGAAAACTAGTGACCAAACTATGGAGGTCATTGCGGATGCTCAAACGTCCCTTGATCCTGTTCGTGGGCCACTTTTCGCCGTGGAACTGTTCGATCTTCCCAAAGAACAACTTATATTCCTCGTAGGTCACCATCTCGTCATAGACCTGGTATCTTGGAGAGTCATACTGGAAGAATTTGAAGAACTATTGGCAGACCCAAAGACAGAGCTGCTACCAAAACCAATCTCTTTTCAGTCTTGGTGTCGTCTTCAAGCAAGCCATTCACAGCAGCTTGAACCAAGCAAACTTATCCCGCCTGCCAATGTCTCAGCTTGCGACTTTGGTTACTGGGGTATCAATGAACAGGACAACACATATGGCAACGCCACGAATCGAGGCTTCGAGATCAGCAAAGATCTTACTTCTGCGTTCCTGTCAGATTGTCACACAGCTCTCAACACTGAGCCAATTGATGTCCTACTTGGTATCCTCTTTAACTCTTGGCAACATACTTTCGACGACCGAGATGTTCCTCCGATATATAACGAGCATCACGGTCGCGAGACTTGGGACAATGCTCTTGATATATCAAGGGTGATCGGTTGGTTTACGACAGTTTACCCTGTCGTGGCTCCAAGCTCCGCTCTAGCGGATATTGTCGAGGCAATCAGATTCGTCAAGGACTACCGCCGAAAGGTTCCTTCAAATGGTCGTCCTTACTTTGCCAAGCGATGCCTTACAAATGAAGGTGGGAGTGCTTTTCAGAGTCACTGGCCTTGGGAGGTAAGACACATGAGCGCCTGTGAAAGCAAGCCGCTGATTACTTTTCATTCGAACAGGTTTCTTTCAACTACCTCGGCCAATATCAGCAACTAGAACGCGCCGATTCCTTACTTCAACCTCTGGAAACTATGGCAGGTGAGTCTCGTGCTGCCGGTGGAGCTGCTGACGTAGGATTTGAAACGCCTCGTTTCGGACTCTTCGAGATCTCAACGGTGGTCTCCAAAGGAAAACTTCGCTTTTCATTTAGCTACAACCGCCATATGCAACACCAACAATTGATTCAACGCTGGATAACGGCCTGCGAAGAGATGATTGGTACGGCGGTCCAAAGACTCAGAGCTTTATCACCCGCACTATCCTTGGGCGACTTTCCACTGCTTCCTTGGACGTTGAATGGCGGCATATTCCAAAGTATGCTGGAGAATCTGTCACAAATTCGAGTAGCACCGTCGGACGTTGAAAACATCTACCCTTGCTCGAGCATCCAAGAGGGTCTTCTTCTCAGCCAGGGAAAACATGCAGGATATTACGCAGCGGCAGCCATCTACGAAGTGGTTCCCCAGGGCTATAACACCACAGTGACCTCAGAAAAATTGGCCGCAGCTTGGAACAGATGCGTACAAAGACACCCGTCACTAAGAACCATATTTTTGGAAAACACTGAGACCATAGGCGGACTGTACTACCAGGTGGTCTTGAAACATGCAAGTCCAGCAGTAGCACACCTGAGTTGTAAAGATGAAGAGGAGGCACTGTCTATTCTCCTAGCGCAGAGATCGATCTCATACGAGGACAAGCAGAGCCCGGCTCATCGATTTACTATTTGCAATATAATGGACAAAAAGATCGTGTGTTCCTTGGAAATCAGCCACGCTTTGATGGACGGAGATTCGATGGATATCATCTTCAGAGATCTTGCAAAAGCCTATCAACAGCCTCTCCCGAAAGGCCCTCTCTACAGCGAATACATCGAGTACCTTCAATCACAGAACCTTGGCATAGATTATTGGAATGCGTACCTTCATGGGGTGGAGGTTTGCACCTTTCCAGTTCTAAACGACGGCTTGAGAGAAGAAAAACGGCTCCGGACAATACGTTTGGACCTTCAGGACATCAATATTCCGGCCTTCAACCAATTCTGCCACGAGAACTCTATAACGATGTCGAACATCTTTCACGCCGCTTGGGCTTTGACTCTGGGCTGCTATGTCGGATCTGGTGACGTCTGTTTTGGCTATCTGACCTCTGGGCGAGTCGCGCAAGGTATTCAAGGCGTGAATGAAATGGTTGGACTGCTAATAAACTCCCTTGTCTGCCGAGTCAAGATTCATGGATCGTCCTCTGTGCTAGATATTCTACGAAGTCTGCAAGAAGACTACATCAAGAGCCTACCGCACCGCTACACGCCCCTAGCGGATATACAACATGCGCTAAACCTGTCTGGGACAGCCCTGTTCAACACAGCAATCTCTTATCGACGACTTCCATCCCGCAATGAACACCACCTTGCTTCCGACATCTCATTCAATGAGTTAGCTCCTATCTACGACCCTACGGAGTACCCTGTGTCGCTTAATATTGAGGTACATGAGGATGTCGCCAGCATTGACCTCGACTTTTGGACAGACCATCTCAGCGAAACACAAGCCGAAAATGTTGCCAGTACCTTGTCGCGGGTATTACATACTATCTTGGACGAGCCAGACAAGCAGATCGACGATCTTGACCTTCTTAGCCATCATAACCTCGAGCAAATATCACGATGGAATATCATGCCTGAAACTCTCAACGAATGCGTTCATACAAAATTCCTCGAACAAGTAACAAAGCAACCAAATGCACCGGCCATTTGTGCATTTGATGGAAATTTTACTTACGCGGAACTGGACTCTATCTCCGAGCGTCTCGCTCACAGCCTTGTTGAGCTCGGCGTTGGTCCTGAGATGTTCGTTCCCACTTGCTTCGATAAAAGCTCTTACGCAGTGATTGCCATGTTGGGCGTCCTCAAAGCAGGTGGTGCAGCTGTGCCACTTGACGCCAGTCACCCGAAGGCAGCCCTGGAATCTCGTATCGCAGATACTGGCTCAGGTATTGTGTTAGCCTCACCACACCGAGCAACGACCTTCGAAGATGTTGTCCCTACAGTATTAGCCGTCTCTTCGGGGCTTCTCGACCAGTTACCAATGGTTGAAGGCCGAGCTTGTACTACCGTTCAGCCCTATAATCCGGCATTCGTGATCTTCACCTCTGGGAGCACGGGAAGACCGAAGGGAGTAGTGCTCCAGCACGATTCCATGACAACTAGCTGCAATGCGCATGGAACGAATCTCGGTATCGGACCTGGAACGAGATTCCTACAGTTCGCTTCGTACACGTTTGACAACTCTCTGGAGGAAATGTTTACTACCATACAGAGAGGAGGATGTGTTTGCATTCCATCCGAAGAGCAGCGCATGAACGATCTGCCTGGGGCTATTCGTGAACTCAACGCTAATTTTATGGATCTCACGCCCACCGTCGCTAGCTTGCTAGAGCCTGCGGAGGTTCCTTCAATCAAAGGATTGGCTCTAGGAGGAGAAGCTCTCACGAAATCCGTTGTGGATAGATGGGTGCCTTTTGTCCACGTTCACGGCCAATATGGGCCCTCTGAGGCAAGCATCAATTCTGCGTGGAAGGACTTCCAGGACGGCGGCGACCCCACCAATATTGGGAGAGCTATTGCCAGCGTTTCATGGATAGTTCATCCAGACAATCCGAACCACCTTATGCCGATTGGCTGCCAAGGCGAACTACTGATTGAGGGACCAATTCTGAGTCGTGGATATCTGAACGACCCTGAGAAAACTTCCAAAGCTTTCATTCAAAATCTTGGCTGGGCAAAAGAGACGGGACAGAAAAGGCGATTCTACAAAACTGGAGATCTCGTTCGCTATAATTCAAATGGGGAAATGATGTATTTGGGGAGAAAAGATAATCAAGTGAAGGTACTTTCCTTGCATCCAATCTTACCATTACTTATGACTTACTTCCTGCACAGGTCAATGGGCAACGCATTGAGTTAGGGGAGGTGGAGCATCACTTGAAGCTTAGCTTGCCTACAGAAGCTCAGTCTGCTGTCGAACTCATCACAGTCGGCGACCAAACATCTACGCTCGCGGCGTTCATCTGTCTTCCTACGACAGCATCCCAACTCGACGAGACCGAGATATCTACAATGACGGACTCTTATCTTCAAACGGTGAAATGTCTTCAGACTATATTGGCAAATGCGCTTCCGGCATCTTTTTTGCCAAAACTTTACATTCCGGTGAACTCAATGCCTTTCACATCGTCCGGAAAGCTAGATCGTAAAGTTTTGAGAAATCTCGCCCACACGATCCCGAATGAAGATCGAGTTCGATACACTCTCTCGGGAAGAAGTGCGAAAAGACCATCTACGCCGAGAGAAATATGCCTAGCCCAGCTTTGGGAGGCGGTTCTCAAACTGGATGCCAACTCTGTTGGCGCGGACGATTCCTTCTTCTCCTTGGGCGGTGACTCTGTTTGCGCAATGCGCCTGGTGGTGGCTTCCCGCAAAGAAGGTCTCTCGCTTACTGTCGGTAGCATATTCAGAAGCCCAAGGCTATCGGACATGGCGCTTGACGCCGGTCAAGACACCGCGAACACCATGGAGTTGCAGCTCGAAGCCCCAATGGAACCTTTCAGTCTGGTTCGGGACAGATATCCGGTTGCAGCTATCTTGGAAATGGTGTCCACGGAATGTGGCCTATCCTCGGATCGAATTGAAGATGTTTACCCTTGCTCTAAGCTTCAGGAAGGGTTGATCGCACTCTCACTGAAAGAACCAGGAGCATACGTTGCAGAGACTGTCTATAACCTTCCCAAGGATATTGATATTAGCGGCTTCAGGAAAGCTTGGGATGCAGTTGTCCGTGAGGAGGCTATACTTCGGACGCGAATATTATTCACAGAAGCCTATGGCTTTCTCCAGGTTGTCATTCGCGACGAAGGAATCGAGTGGGGAAGCATGCTGGATCTCCAGGATATCAAAGAATCGGATAGACACCTTCCAGCCGTGAATGGGGGAAAGCTAACCAGCTACGCGATCGTGGGAGAGGGCAGCATGAGTCCCCACTTCGTCTGGACTGCTCATCATGCGGTTTACGGTATGTTGCATCCATTTGTTGTTGATCATTGTCATCATATCCGAGTTCGCATCAGCAAAGAAAACTTTACTAACTATCAAGTCGTAGATGGCTGGAGCCTGGCTCTCCTGTTTAGAAAAGTTGAACTTCGCTACCGGGGCGCTAATGCAGAATCGAAGATTGCTGTTCCATACGCAAGGTTTATCAATTACCTCACGCAGTCCAACCAGGAGGAGTCTGATCGCTACTGGACATCGCAGCTCGTAAATCCCTCTACGCCCCAATTCCCTCAGCTTCCAAGCTATACACACCAAGTTCGAGCCTCCGGATTCCTCTCTCACAGCGTGCAGATCTGTCGCGTACCAGGCTCTGAGATCACTATGGCCTGTATCATTCGAGCTGCCTGGACTCTGGTCATCTCAGCATTTACCGGCGAGGATGACGTGATCTTTGGAGAAACCAACAATGGTCGAGAAGCGCCCGTGCCTGGCATTGAAGATATTCTTGGGCCTACGATTACTACTTTGCCACGCCGTGTAGTCTTGAATCGGAAAATGAAGGTTTTAGAGTTTCTGCGAGAGATCCAGCAAAATTCTGTGGATAGTCTGCCCTATCAATTCGCAGGTCTACAGCATATTAAAAGAACCAACTCGGAGAACGCACAGGCTTGCGACTTCCAAAATCTCCTTGCGATAAACTCCGAAAATACAGCAGAGGATTCAGGGCATGGCCTGTGGAATCTCGAAAGCACTGGTGCCGTTGGAACGAACTTCTTTTCCTACCCCCTCATCATGTCGTGCACGATGAAAGCAAACGAAGTCAATGTGGAGTGCCACTACGATCAAGAAGTCATTGCGACATGGCTTACTCGCAACGTGTTGCAAGAATTTGACTTCCTGCTTCAATGTCTGAATTCGCCGCGAAATCATGATACCGCGATTCAAGATTTGGTAGTGCTGAATCCGGAGGATCAATTGACCCTCACAAAATGGAACTCTAGGCCGCTGGTAGCCACCGATAAGTGTATCCATAGTGCCGTTTTCCAGCAAGTCCTTATCCGACCAACCGATATGGCTGTCGATGCTTTTGATCTCAAGATTACTTACCGCGAGCTCGATGAAAAGTCTACCAGGCTAGCGTCACGTCTGGTCGCAGAGGGAATCACCCCAGGGTGCTATGTCCCATTCTGCTTTGAGAAATCCGGATGTGCCATTGTTTCCATGCTTGGAATATTGAAAGCAGGCGCTGCGTTTGTTGGGCTGGATCCAACGTCCCCAATACGCCGACTACGAGAGATAGTTGGGGACGTGAATGCCAAATTGGTCCTTTGTTCACCCCAGCTTTCTCAGATCTGCGAATCAATTCCCGTGAAAGCATTATTGATAGACACCCGTACCATTGAGCAACAATCAGGACGCCTATATACGCTACCTTACGTACAGAGCGACACCCCGGCGTATGCCATATACACTTCCGGTTCCACAGGACGACCCAAAGGGACTGTTATCCATCACTCAAGCTTTGTCCTGACCGCGACCGAATCCGGACCCAAATTCGGAATATCTTCGCAGTCGCGAGTTTTACAGTTCGCCTCATTCGTATTCGATGCCTGCCTAATCGAGATTTTCACAACACTAATGTGCGGAGGTTGCGTCTGTGTACCCACGGAACAGGACAGGACGAACGACTTAGCCCGCACCATCAACGACCTCGCAGTCAACTGGGCAATTCTCACGCCGACGGTCATCCGAACGATTCATCCTAAGGAGGTGCCTAATCTGAAAACTCTGGCGCTTGGGGGCGAGGCAATGTCATCGCAAGATTTAACAACCTGGGCTGAAGCGGTCAAGCTGGTCAACGGTTACGGACCAACCGAAAGTTCAGTTGTTGCAACCATCAATCAATCCATGAGGCCCAACTCGAATCCATCAAATATCGGATATGCTGTTGGGTGTCATAGCTGGATTGTTGCGAAGGGCAACCCCAATGTTCTCCTTCCTGTGGGTGCTGTTGGCGAGCTTGTCATTGAAGGACCATCACTTGCTTGGGGATATCTTAACAATTCTCAAAAAACGCAGGAAGTTTTTGTTATGAACCTCTCTTGGGCCAAGGGACACACTGCACCAGGGAACCCGCTCGAAAGAAGATTCTACAAGACGGGAGATTTGGTGAGCTACAGTCACGATGGCAGCATGATCTTTCATGGTCGTAAAGACCTTCAGAGCAAGGTTCGTGGACAGAGACTAGAACTCACAGAAGTGGAGAGCCACCTGAACGCCGACCCATCGGTTCGAGACTGCATGGCGGTTGTACCTTCTTTTGGTCTCTGTGGGAAACGTCTTGTCGGGATCCTCACTATCAAGGATCTAGTAGTCTCAAAAACTTCCGCAGAGCCCGACACCAAACCGGTGAGTATCATACCGGCTAGAAACTCGTCATTTCATGTCAAATCGATTCGAGACCGACTCGCTGAGCGGGTACCAACTTACATGATACCTTCCGTATGGGTGGCTATTGTAAATTTTCCTCTACTTGCTTCGGCAAAGATGGACCGGAAAACGGTCATCAAATATATCGAAGGCCTCGGTGAGGATGAGTATCATCAGATATCCGCGGCGGGCCAGGAGGGTACGTTCACCAGTAAGCTATTATCTCTTCCCATTCTCCCTCCAACTGAAGTCCAATTGTCACTAACGGACCACCCCCCCCCCCCGCGCAGATGACGCTTCAAATCCAGCCTCTGAGGTCGAGCAGAAGCTACAAGCTATTGCCGGCCATATCTTGAACATACCATCTTACGACATCGGAATCTATCATCAATCATTCTTGAATCTTGGCGGCGATAGCATTTCCGCAATGCAATTTTCAGCTCGTTGTAAGCTTGAGGGATTAATCGCCTCCGTTCAAGACATCATTCAGAGCCGCTCATTGTCCGAGCTGGCCTCCAAAGTCCGCTTAGCTCCGGCGGAGCAAAAACCTGCCTTGGAGGAAGACTTGGATCGTCCCTTTCCGCTATCTCCCATACAAAGACTCTTCTTAGAAACGGTCGGAGAGAACTATAAGCACTTCAACCAGAGCGTGGTGCTACGCTCCGACAGAAAGATTGAATCTCAAGATCTGGAAAAGGCGATTACAGCCCTAGTAGAAACTCATCCAATGCTACGAGCCAGATTCCAGAAATCAAAAAAAGGCTTGTGGCACCAGCACATCACATCACAGGTCTCGGGTTCCTTCCAAATTGTACATCATGCTCTCTTCGCGGGTACAGAACGCGCTATAGGGATTCATGTCCAGGAGAAGATTGCAGACAGCCAGCTTTGTCTCGGTATTGAATCGGGCCCTTTGCTCGCAGTCGATTCTTTCGACATTTCTGGTAGTAATTCTCAGATCGTATCTCTCGTTATACACCATCTCGTCGTCGACGTGGTAAGCTGGGGAATCATTCTCGGCGACCTGGAGACGCTACTCACCTCCGGCTTCATTTCGCCGCAAAGTCTCTCGTTCCCCGCATGGAGCAATGGCCAATATGAGCGAGCACATACCAATGTCGCGGTCAAGGCCTTCCCGCTCTCAGCCATCCCTACTTCTAACCTTGAGTACTGGGGAATGCCGAATCAGAAAGATCTTCATAGTGACGTAGTTTCTCAAGGGTTTCAACTAAGCGCAAGAGATTCTATGCTTCTTTTCGGTGCCCATGACGCTGTTTCTACAGAACCATTGGACGTGTTTATTGCTGCTCTGCTAGAGTCGTTTCGGAGAGTATTCCCAGATCGAGCGACACCCGCCATCTTCAGTGAGGGCCACGGACGCGAGCCATGGAACTCCGATCAAAATCTATCGAGGACTTGTGGCTGGTTCACCACTCTCACACCAGTAAGTTTGCCAGTGGGGTTAGAGGAGTCGGATATTGTGAGCACCATTCAGTGGGTGAAGTCGCTGAGATCGAAAACACCCCAAAGAGGACGAGAGTACTTCGCATATCGTCACTTGACTGAGGAAGGTCAGCAGCGTCATATCAGTCATCAACCAGAGATCATTTTCAACTATCTTGGACGAATGCAGAATCTAGATCGCAAAGATTCTTTATTCCGGCGAATGAATGGCATCACGACTTCCGATGTCGGCGCGGATGTGCCGCGCTTTGCTCCTTTTGAAGTCACAGCATCCGTTAAGCAAAACAAGATTGACTTTTCATTCAGCTGGAACCGGTTGATCAGACATCAAGAGAGGGTGGGACAATGGATCTCAAAGTGCCAAGCGATTCTCCAGGAAGCGATCGAGGTTCTGCTTCAGGAAAGGCCAGAGCCTCCTCTCGAAAGATTCAATCTTCTTCCTTTGATATACAACGGTACGAAGGCGCTAGATTCCAAGTTGCCGCAAATCTCAAATTACGACCAGATAGAAGATATCTACCCTACCTCCGCCATGCAACAAGGCCTGCTTCTTTCTCAGCTCAAGAACCCCAAGCTTTATGCTTATCACACCATTTTTGAGATTGGATCCTTACATCCGAGTGGACTTGTGGATGCTAAAAAGGTAGCGCTGGCTTGGGAGCATGTCGTCCAAAGACATCCATCTTTGCGGACACTGTTTATTCCTAGTTTGTCTGGGAGCGGGCCTATGGATCAAGTCGTTCTCAGGCGGCCCGCGGCAAGGATATCTTGGGTCGAATGCGAGGGGGCGAAAGCTTTCGAAGCCCTAAAACTGTATGAGGCTATCAGCTATGCTGACTCATTCGAGTTACCACATCGCTTCTCGTTATGCGTATCTTCTGCTCATCGCGTGTTCTGCAAGCTGGAAATGAGCCATGCAATATGCGATGGCACCTCGATCGCAATTCTACTCCATGAGCTTTCTGAATCTTACAGGGGAATGTTGCCCTCCGAACAAGGCCCAGATTATAGCGACTACATTTCACACCTTCTGGAAAGCCCGCAGGATGACCATATCAACTACTGGAAGACTCATCTCTCTGGCCTTGAGCCATGCATTGTCCCGCCTTTGACCGATGGGCACTCTGGCGTCAGGGAGGTTGGTTCTGTAAAGCTCACTTTGAAAGGCTCACGCGACGTGAATGTGTACTGCAAACGCAACAGCGTTACTATGTCAACCCTTTTGCAGTTTGTCTGGGCAATGGTACTGCGGTGTTATGTCGGCTCGGAAGATGTTTGCTTTGGGTATCTGTCTTCCGGGAGAGACGTCCCCGTCCGAGGAGTTGAGAAGGCTGTTGGATGCTTCATCCAAATGCTCGTATGTCGACTTAGTCTCGGTTCGGAAATTACTGTATCTCAAGCCCTGGGCCAGATACAAGGCGATCTCGTCAAAGCAATGGCTCACCAGAATTGCTCCTTGGCTGAAGTAAACCACAGTCTTGGACTCGCCGCTTCATTCAACACTGCCTTCACATTTCAGCGGCGGAGTTTCTCTCCGCGTCCCACCAAAACAGGCTTGTTTTTCGAAGTTCTCGAGGCGGAGGACCCAGGGGAATATGCAGTCACCGTCAACACCGACGCTTCGGACGATGGAATCACGTTAGATCTCAGCTTCTGGAAAGACAAAATATCACGTGACCACGCAGAAAACATGGCCCACACCTATCAGCATATCTTCAGCAGTATCGTGCGAAGTGACGATATCAATCTCACCATCGGCAGTATTGATTGCTTTAGTGATCATAGCCGCTCGAAGATCTTGAGATGGAACAAGCATTTACCAGAAACCATCGACCGGTGTGTCCATGAAATTATCATGGAGCAGACAATGCGAGATCCTCAGAAGCAAGCTGTAGTGGGATGGGATGCGAACTTTACTTATCAAGAACTCGATAAACTATCCGACACACTCGCAAACTCTCTCGTCAGCTCCGGAGTTAGCACCGAGTCCTATATCCCTATACTTTTCGAAAAATCTTCGTGGACGATTGTGTCCATACTTGCAGTTCTCAAAGCCGGAGGCGCATTTGTTCCTCTGGATAGCAGGGCTCCTACGACTAGACTCCAACAGCTTGTCACCGACGTTGATGCCAAATTCCTACTATGCTCACAAAAGTTTCAAGAAACAGCTAAAAACCTTGGAAAGTATCATGTGGTAGACCGAACCTCGATCAAACGCCTTCAACATGGTCAAGCCAGTTCCCCCATCCTGCGCTCTGGTCCTAGTGATACTGCTTACATCATTTTCACATCTGGCACGACCGGCACACCCAAAGGAGTAATGATTTCCCACTCGGCCTTCTCCACCAGTGCAACGGAGCACACGAAGGCGATGAATCTTTCCAGCGCTTCACGCGTCCTCCAATTTGCAAGCTACAGCTTTGATGCAAGTGTCATGGAAATTCTTAGTACTCTAGTGGTCGGCGGATGCGTGTGCGTGCCGAGCGATGAGGAGAGAATGAACGACATCTCTGCGGCAATTCAGCGCATGGGAGCCAATTGGGCGCTTCTCACCCCATCTGTCGCAAGCACAATCAAGCCTAGTAGTGTTCCATGCTTGAGAACACTGGTCACTGGTGGAGAAGCAATGAATCGGACACTCATAGAGCAGTGGAGTGATGGCGTCGGGCGGTGCTTGATTAACGCATATGGGTAAGCACTTTCTATTTTGGCCTGAAAGTTCGAAATTGTCGCTAATAAAAGAAATATCAAGGCCAAGCGAAACATCAGTCATTGCGACCACGAGCGTAAAATCAGATGCATCGGGAAACATCATCGATCAGGATTCCTCAAACATTGGCCAAGCAACGGGAGGTCGTTGCTGGGTCGTTGACTCGCAAGATCATGACAGGCTGATGCCTATTGGCGCAGTTGGAGAGCTAACAGTTGAAGGCGCAACTGTGGCAAGAGGGTACTTACGGGACCAAATCAAATCTGCCAGAGCGTTTGTGACACCATCCTGGATGACAACAGTTTTCGCAGGAGTCGAAAGTACCCACTGCGAACGCATGTATAAGACTGGCGACTTGGTCCGGTCTCGGAACGATGGATCTTTCACCTTTATTGGTAGAAAGGATACTCAGGTCAAGTTGAATGGCCAGCGCATTGAAATTGGAGAAATTGAGCATCAAATCCGAGCTGGGCTTCCTGCTGACTTCCAATCAGCTGTTGAACTAGTAGCTCCAGCAAGTTCGTCGGCCACCAAAGCGCTCGCGGTGTTCTTTTGTGCTCCGGAAGAGTTTCAATCAAGTGACGACGATAGCATTTTGATGCCGCTGTCAAAGAAGACAATTACGTGCGCAAAGAATCTGGAGAATTTCCTGGCCTCAGTCCTCCCATTATATATGATTCCGTCGCTATACGTCTCCGTAAGATCAATGCCGTTCACGAGCTCTGGAAAACTGGATCGGAATCGATTACGCAATGCGGTTCAGAATATACCCACCGACGAGTTAATGGCTTACCGTCTGGCTAATGTTGTGAAGAAGCGCAGCATGAATTCGGAGAAGGAGAGACGAATGCAGCGTGCTTGGGCTCAGGTTTTAGCAATTACTGATACTTCCATTGGACCGGATGACAACTTTTTTGTGAGTACATTGCTACGCATTCCTCAGAATCACCGTCTAACAATCATCTTAGACACTTGGTGGAGATAGCGTGGTTGCGATGAGGTTGGTCAAAGCAGCACAAGCCGAACGCATTGAGATATCGGTGATTGATATTTTCCGGCACCCAATATTCTCGGAGTTGGTTGAGGAATGCAGCGATATCAGCCAAGACGGCTCGCATCTCGACTCCAATCCATCTTCTTTGCTCGGTAAAGATCAGTATCTGGACATTATCGAAGAGCTTGCAGACCAATGCGGAACCGAGTCCGAGACCATTCAAAATGCTTACCCAGCCTCTCCGCTGCAGGAAGCATTCATTACCCTGTCTATCAAGCAACCAGGCGCTTATGTAGCCAGCACTACCTTCAATATTCCTCTGGATATCGACATCCCAAAATTCAAAAAAGCTTGGGAAACGACAGTACAGGACCTAGACATCTTGCGTACCCGAATCATTCATACCAAATCATCTGAATTCATTCAGGTCGTGCTTCGCGAAGATCGTATCATTTGGCACGAAGACGACTTCTCTCGGACTACAGTCGGCGAAATTCCTCAGCTTCCTGCCCGGAACGGTGGTCGCCTCACTCATTATTCTATCCTTGCAAATCGACAATTCGTCTGGACAATTCATCACTCGCTATATGACGGATGGAGTATGCCGCTCATGCTCAAACGGGTAGAGGAGATATATTTGCGCGGATCTTCATCAATACCGGACACTCCCTATTTTGGCTTCATCAACTACTTAGCGAATTCGGATCCGGAGGCGTCTAAAACCTTTTGGGCAACGAGGCTTAGAGGAGCAACTCCGCTTCAATTTCCACAACCTCAATCATCTGGCTCGAAGAAGATACCAAATGGCCAAACGGTCAATCATGTTGCTAAGTACTCGCGGAGAAAAGACGATGATATACCAGTCTCAGCCTACATCCGAGCGGCCTGGGCAACAGTCATCTCAGCATACACGAATTCTGAAGATGTCATATTCGGTGAAACTCGATCAGGCCGTGATATCAACGTCGCAGGCATCACTGAAATCTGTGGGCCAACTCTCACCACCGTTCCTATGCGGATCCATATCGACCGTCAGTCCACTGTTCGGCAGTTATTAAACCGTTTGGTTCAACAAACAGCCGACACAATCCCGCACCAGCACGTTGGTATAGGCGCCATCAAGCGTTTTAGTACTGATGCTGCGGCGGCATGTGACTTCCAAAATCTCCTTGTCATACAAGCTGGAGAATTTACTCCGGACGAGGACTTTTGGAAGCCCCAATCGGATGGCCCGTCCTCGAATTTCTTTACCTACCCACTTGTACTTGAGTGTAATCTCGAGAGCTCTGGAGTAGATATCGATGCCCACTATGATGCCAATCTGCTTTCAGAATGGCAGGTCCGCAGATTGCTACATCAATTTGAGTCGGCCTTATCGCATCTGAACACCTCCAAAAGCATGACGGAAGTCCAGATTTTGAGCAATTACGACCTCAACACAATCAAAGACTGGAACAGCAGCGAGCCTCACGTGGTTTCTGAGACAGCAGATGCTCTGTTTGAGCAAGAGGTGCGAGCTCACCCCAATACTGTTGCTATCTGCGCGTGGGACGGAGATTTCACATACCAAACGCTTTACGAGAAGGCCACTCAATTATCACAGTATCTTCAGCTGCTTGGAATTGGACCAGAAACACTTGTCCCATTGTGTGTAGACAAGTCGAAGTGGGCGGTTGTAGCTATTATGGGAGTGCTGCTTGCAGGCGGTGCTTATGTCCCACTCAGCCCCGAACACCCGATCTCCAGGCATCAGCAGATCATTGAAGACGTGAACGCTACAGTTCTTCTATGTTCACGAGCGTACAAAACCAGATACGACATGGTCAGAAATGTCATTCCAATCGACGATCATTCTTTCCAGGCCCTCCCTGTTGTAACCGCGAAGATCCCAACCCGGTCCAAAGCCCACAACACCTCGTATGTCACCTATACGAGCGGGAGCACAGGTACGCCCACTAGGGTAGTCATCACACATCAAGCCTTCTGTAGTAGCTCGACTGCTCTACAAAAGGCCCTTCATATTACGTCGAAGTCTCGGGTATTCCAATTTGCGTCCCTAGTTTTTGATGTATCAGGTAAGACCTAATCCAAGATTCGCAATGACAGATGCTGAGAAGAACGTCCCGCTTACATTTGCGTAACAGTGATGGAAATTCTGGCTGTTCTAACCTGTGGAGCCACCATTTGCATGCCTTCGGAAGACCAAAGGACCAAAGATGTAGCCGGAGCTATCAATAATCTCAAAGCGTCGTGGGCATTCCTTACCCCTTCAATTGCCAATTCAATTGACGGACCATTTTCTGTTCCTACTCTGCAAACTCTCGTGGTTGGCGGTGATGCAATGACGCCCGAGACCATCGAAAAATGGGCAGACGGGGTAGAGTTGATGAATGGGTATGGTCAGTATACATACATGTTTCAAGTGTACTCGAGCATTAATTAACGCAAGCAATAGGTCCTACCGAAGCTGCCATCATATGTGTCGCCAATCCATCTGTCTCTCAGCAGCGAGACCCATCCAACCTCGGACATATGCTCGACGCTGGAAGGTCTTGGATCGTGAGCCCAGAAGATCATGATCTCCTTGTCCCAGTCGGCGCAATCGGCGAGCTTTGCATTGAAGGCCCGCTTCTTGCACGAGAGTATCTAAATGCCAAGACGCGAACTGGAGAGGCCTTTTTCAAGAATCCGGCGTGGATCAAAGACTTCTCAACTGCCCGAGAGAGCCAGACCAGATTTTACAAAACTGGCGATCTCGTCCATTATGGGTCTGATGGCTCAATCATCTACGTTGGTCGGAAAGACCAGCAGGTCAAGCTAGCAGGGCAGCGGATGGAGCTTGGGGAGATTGAGCATAACATCCAAGCGGACTCCATGGTCAGAGACGTGGTAGTAGCATTGCCTCAAACTGGACCATGTCTTTCTCGCTTAGTGGCCGTCGTAACCCTCAAGGACTCGGCGAATCGCAATACTATCGGACGAGCTTGGAACGAGCTTTTGTCGCGCTCAGAAACCTCCGCAGTAGCCGCGATACGAGAAAAACTCTTGGACAAGCTCCCAGCGTATATGGTTCCCGCGGTGTGGGTTGCCGTGAATGCTCTACCTACGCTTTTGTCAAGCAAGATTGACAGAAAGCAAGTAGCTGCTTGGCTTGAAGAGCTATCCGACGAAACCTATCAACGCATCGTAGAGATGGAGATGCATGATGAACTCGGTAATGCACCATCAGCCACTATTACCAGCCAAGTCCTCGCATCAATTTGGTCCAGGGTCCTCAATATTCCGGTAGAAAAGATCAAGCCAAATCAGACGTGGCTTGCACTCGGCGGCGATTCATTAACAGGAATGCAAGTACTTGCACGAGCTAGGACAGAAAACATTGGATTGACATTACACGATGTGCTACGAAGTAGATCAGTCTTCGATCTTGCCGAACGAGCTCGAGCTTTGGGCGGCTCATCGTCCGCAAACGATGTTGAAAGACCAGACGAACCATTTGACTTGTCTCCAATCCAGACATTATATTTCCAGAACATTCATAACGGTTTGGTGGACTCGCACTTCAACCAGTCTTTTACACTGAGCATAGAACGCCATTTTGACCTAAAGGACTTTGACCGAGCGTTAAAGGTACTTGTAAATCGACATGGAATGCTTCGAGCACGGTTCCAGAAGGAGCAGAACGGATCATGGCGTCAACGTATCTTATCGAATGATGGTCAGGGCCTTTTTCGATGCACAACACACGTCCTAAATGACACCGCCGAAATTTCTTCGTGGATTGGTAGAAGTCAACGCAGTCTCGATATCGAAAGAGGGCCTGTCTTCGCGGTCGATCTTTTCTCCATCCCAGCCAAAGATCACGTCATTTCCCTCGTTGCACATCATCTGGTCGTCGATGTCATGAGTTGGCGAGTGATACTCAACGATCTCGAGGAACTTTTGACTGCGACGCCAGTCGAGGACAAGCCATTGTCATTCCAAACGTGGTGTGCGAAGCAAGCTGACCGAGCTGTAAAACAGCGGACCATACCTGAGGGACCCAAATCTCTACCTTTCGAAGTCATACCAGCGGATTTCAAATTCTGGGGAATGGAAGTAAAAGCGAACGTCTATGCCGATGTGGAGTACGAAAGCTTCTTGGTCGACAAGAACGCGTCAGATCTAGCACTCAACAACCACCACGCGCTCAGGACCGATGTCGTGGATATTCTCCTTGCTGCCATCACGCATTCCTTTACCCGTGTCTTCATGACCAGGAGTCTGCCAACAATATACAATGAAGGCCATGGAAGAGAGCCTTGGGAATCGAGCAATTTAGATCTTTCCCGGACGATTGGATGGTTTACTACCTTGACGCCGATTCAAGTATCAATCGGACAAGATGAAGACGATGTCCTGGAGACTTTGATGAAGTGCAAAGATTACCGCCGGTCGATTGTTGATAAGGGCCGTCCCGATTTCGCACGTAGTATCTTAACGGAAGATGGGAGAAAGGTCGCTTCCATGTACAACCGGATGGAGATCCTTTTCAACTACCTTGGAAAGATGCAACAGCTCGAACACGATGATTCCCTCTTTCGGCCCGTGACGTTTGCTGAGGAAGAAAATAAAACAATCAGCGACGTTGGTCCGAAGACTTGCAGGCTTGCTCTTTTCGAAATCTCAGCGTCCGCTATGTCTGACGGATTACGAGTCACTTTCATGTATAACCGCCACATGAAACAGCAAAAGGGAATCCGCCGTTGGATTTCTGAGTGTCATCGAACTCTTAAGGAGATCGTCCGAAGCATCGCTGGCCTAAAAGCACCTCAGCCCACGCTATCAGATTTTCCGCTATTACCTTTAAAGTCCTACGATAGACTCGAAAAGCTAGTCAAGTCCACGTTCCCAATTGCCGGCGTCACATCATATGGCCAGGTGGAAGACATCTATCCGTGTGTTCCAATCCAGGAGGGCATGCTACTATCACAGGTGAAGAATTCGGGTTCATATCTATTCCACACCATATCTGATGTCAGACCTGCGAAGAACGGATCTTCGCAAGTTGATATAAAGCGCCTTGCTAAGGCATGGCAACAGTTGGTGAATTACCATCCTGCCCTCCGGACCGTATTCGTCGACAGCGTTTGCCGAGGTGGGGTCTTTGATCAGATTGTTCTCAAAGAGACTGACTGCGGTGCTATAACTCTTCATTGCGATGATGCCGATGTTTCGGTACGGCTAGGCTCTATCAGTCTCGCCGACCTGAACAAAAAGAGGAAGCCGCCACTACCGCATCAAGTCACCATCTGCCAAACAAGCTCCGGAAGGGTCATCTTTAAAATGGAAATCAACCATACGGTCATCGATGGAGGATCCCAGGACATCATCTTACGAGATCTTGCAGCAGCTTATGACGGCCGACTATCTGCAGACTCAGGTCCGCTATATAGCGACTACGTTAAATATTTGCGCAGCCGTTCTGTCAGTGCCGATGAGAAATATTGGACCACATACCTCAACGGATTACAGCCATGCATCTTCCCACTCTCACAACAAACCGAAGGTCCACGGGAGCAGCGAACTACTCTCATGGACTTCGATCGATACTCGGAGATGCAAACCCTCTGCGAGAAAAACTCAGTAACACTATCGAATGTCATGCTATCTGCCTGGGCCTGGACTTTACGACTTTTCACAGGATCCATGGACGTTTGCTACGGCTACCTGGCGTCAGGGAGAGACATTCCGATAGATGGAATTCAAGATGCCGTGGGAGCTTTCCTAAACATGCTGATCTTCCGTCACAAATTCCGCGAGTCTTCCACACCCGTAGAAGTCTTCAAGAATGTCCAGAATGACTTCATCGCGAGTTTGTCACATCAGCACAACTCTCTAGCACAAATTCAGCACGATCTCGGGCTGGAGGGGAAGACGCTCTTCAATACTGCAGTCTCAATTCAAAATCATTCAGGCTCCGGGAGCGTTGATCATTTCAGTATCGAGTTCGAACAAACCGGTGGCTACGACCCAAGTGAGTATGCTGTCACGGTAAACGTCGAGACAGGCCGAAATGATGAGGGCGTTTTATTTCGATACTGGACCGACACGCTTTCTGACGAGCAGGCTAATAAACTTTCTTCAACGATGGCGAGCCTGATGAACAGCTTCATTGATGATCCAAATACTCCCATCACCAAAGTCAGCCAGCCAGCTAGGAACTTTACTCGGCCATCAACGGAGAATCAAGAAGGTCAGGCGGTGTTGCCCTCTCCGCCATCAACTGACCTACGCGAACTACCATACCAGCCGCAGTCCCAGGACTGGAGTACTCTAGTACGCTCCATAGTCAACGAAATAGTACCAGAAATAATCGACCAAATTATCGCCCAGCGCAGCCTGGAACCATACCATGATTCAGCGAAAGAAATGGTGGATTCGATCAGCCAAAGTGCTTCTCAGGTCGGGCAAATGAAGGAGCTCATAAGCGGCTTTGAGAGTGGTAATCGCAAAATGAGTGTGACGGAGAATCGAATCTCTATCGCTGCGGACATGGTAGCCGCTGCTGGTGTAATGGCGACCGAAGCGGTCAAGTCGGTCCCTGCTGACTTTGTTGAGAAGAAATTACTTCAGCTATGGAGTGAGCTTTTGGAAACGGTTGAAGGCTCTATTGATAAAGAAGACAGCTTTTTCGTAAGTTTCAACCCTTATATGCACTAGCAAATACTGACGTCCTTGGAGCAACTTGGAGGAGACAGCATCGTTGCAATGAGGCTAGTCGGAGCCGCCCGAGAGGAGGGTCTTTCAATGACTGTGGCCGATGTGTTTAAGAACCCAACGTTTGCTGATATGGCTCGAGTTGTTAGAGCTGCAGGAGAGGTAATTGATGAAGTGATGACTCAAAAAGCATATTCAGGATACAATCCGCAAGACGTCCCGGAATCTTCAAAGGAACTAAGGGCAGACATTTCCCGAACGCTGTCACATCGTATCAGGATAAGAGACTCCCACGAACAAAAGGATCTTCGTTCCGGGGATATAATAGATACGTGGAGCGGGTTCTCGAAGCATCGTTACTCCAAAGCTCATGACACCAAGGCCCCCAGACCCACCCATCGGGACACCGAAGAAGAGCTACGGCGGACTATCTCTTTCATCAAGAACCCGTCAGCGACAAGCGCCGAAGTCAATGATTCTCCGATTCAAGACAGCATCATATCAAAGGTTCGGGTCTTTAAGGGCGGTATTTCGGACGTCTTACCCGTGACAGACTTCCAAGCTTTGGCAATCACGGGGGCCTTACTAGAGTCTAAGTGGATGCTTAACCACTTTTACCTGACTGGACAAGGGCCACTAGATTTGAAGAGACTGAAGCAGAGCGCATTCCGCCTCGTCCAAGCTTTCGATATCATGCGGACTGTATTTGTTCCGTACCGCGACAGGTTTCTTCAAGTCGTGCTACGGAAGTTGCAGCCGGATTTCGTCGTACTAGAAACGGAACTGGACCTCGATGCATTCACAATGTCTCTTCAAGAAAAAGACCGAGAGACTGGACCTCGACCCGGCGAGACATTTATGCAATTTGTGGTGGCAACCCGGAAAGGGATCGATCAGCACCGCATATTCATGCGCCTTTCACACGCTCAGTATGACGGAATCTGTATGCCTCAAATATTAGGAGCTCTCCAAGCAGGGTACAATGGCCAACCGATACCATCGGCTCCTAGCTTTGCGAATTATGTCCGCGAATCGACCAAGAATGTGACGAGGCAGCACTACGCTTATTGGAAAACCCTTCTGCATCAGTCAACCATGACGGCGATCGTACCCCATGAACAAGGGCCAAACTATAGGCGGACCGTAGGTGTGACGATTACCTTGAAGCAGATCATCCGAGTAGCTTCGTTGTCACACTACAATATTACGCCCGCCACCGTCATTAAAGCGGCGTGGTCCTCGACCCTGGCTAGGCTTACATCGCAGCAAGATGTTGTCTTCGGGCAAGTGATCAGCGGCCGCAACACTACGGTTCCTGGAGTCGAAAGCATCATTGGTCCTTGCCTTAATATGGTCCCTGTAAGAGTCAAGTTCCAAAATGCCTGGACGATACTCGATCTTCTTCGCTATATTCAGGACCAGCAGGTCGCCAATATGCCATTTGAGTCCCTCGGTTTCCGAGAGATCACAAAGCACTGCACTAATTGGCCTGACTGGACAAATTTCTCCAGCGTTCTGCAGCACCAAAACATAGCACGGGAAGTTACTATGAACCTGGGTGCGACTGAGTATAAAGTTGGTGCAGTTGGAACTCAAGAAGACTTTGCCGACTTCACCATCGTCTCAAGTCCTCTAGTGGGAGAAAAAGTAGAGATTAGCCTGTCATTCGCTCCAAACAGCACCATCACGCCTACCTTTGCCGAGAAGGTCCACAACACACTATGCGAGGCTATAGCTAGCTTTGCAGAAAACCCGCGCCAGCAATTACCATCGGTGATAGTCGGAATCTCTCCCCAACGCGTCATCGACGAAGACGCCATTAAACCCGTCATCGAACGCGCCTTCCCCACCACATGCCCGCCCCTCGAGATCAAAGGTCTAAGCCAGCAAGAAGTAGCAGGAATCTCCAACATGCTTCGTGGCGCCTGGCAGGAAATCTTACGAGATGATAGAGGCCGTCCGGTACCTCTCGAATTGCATTCGTCGTTCTTCGAGCTCGGTGGGGATATCATGGGCCTGGCTCAGGTTTGCTCGCTGCTGGACCAGGAAGGCTTCAGTCTTAGGGTCGAGGATCTGATCGACCATCCGGTCTTAGTTGAGCAGCTGGTACTGATGGCGGCGCAGGTGGCGAGGGAGAAGGAGAGCGAAACTGCGTCGCCATGGGGGACGCAGGCTATGAGTGAGACAGAGCCGCAGGCGGTCGAGGAGAAGCCGCGGAATAAGGTGTTGAATGCCGTTCTTGTGAAGTCCGCAGGCCTAGCAAGGAAGATTGTGGCGAGGAGGAGGGTGAAGGATGGTGTGGCAGAGTTGTAAAAGTTCTCTTTTCATTTCATTGGCTTTCTTAGTAATAAAGCTCAGCTTGATTGGGTTTGTTCTGAATCGTCGTATGCCTCCAACCTCTGCGGATTGGAAGGTGCTGCGGAGATATGAGATGGTAATCGGGATTTGAAAGGCTGTCGTTACGCAGCGCATTCATTCCAAGCCTGTCTTGCCACGTGAGCAGCTCAAAGACTGGTATGCTAAAGGCAAGCTTGGCGCTTAATTGAACCTCACATCACGTACAAATTGACTCCCTCGCTTTCAGCTTCTTGATCTTTCGAGGCAAACTCCTCGAAGTTATCCAGATGACCTACCCGCCCAGTGCCGCCGTCATGTTCCGTATCACTGCGCTGATGCGTCCGCCGCCAGACATGGGCCGGCTCGCAAGTCCCCACGCGGGCCATGAAAAGGGTGGCGCACTCAGCAGTTCAACCCCGTCTGAGGTGGCCCAGAGAGCTATCAGGCTTGCCAAAGCAGATATTTGTAGGTGCTACCTTTTTCATACCCCGCGTGGTCCACTCGCAAGCCTGGAGTTTAATCAGACTGCACTGCCACAAGTTATTCGGCTGGTTATCTCAGAGCTGCTCCTTTAGGCCCTGTGCTGCAGCTGGCGAACAAGCAGTTCGAATGCTCTATTGGGCTGTATGCACGGTAATGAGTGACCCACCGAGATATTCATACTCGTAGCTTGTGTGAACTGAAGTGCTAGCACGAATATGTGATTGCTATATGTTTCATATCATCACACACATATCGTTCAGGTGGATCAAATAATGTGAGTTGGGCGATGCCACTAAGTGCGATCAATTTAAAATTATACCTGAGCAGCCAAGCTTCGAATTAGCGTACCAAATTTGGTGTGAAAGAACACCGAATTAAACCGATCTTTCCATATACAACCAGCGTTTCTAACCCTTGTTCTTTCCTTCACATACACGACCCCTAGGCGTCTAGAAGATTTCTGGAAACTCGTGGAAGCGAGGTAAGACTGGATGATTTTGGTACCAAAGCTTATAAACTGATGGATACGTGTGAAGCTGGGAGGTGGAAATACATCGATAACTATGAAAAGCGCCCAAACAACGGGTTGGAAAGCAGAAAAATCTCTGAGTCACGTACTCCGCCAAGCAAGAGCTCTACGTGAACGAGGATACATACTTCCTGCAACGCCCGTGGACGATATCATGCTAGTTCGGACTGAGAAGAGAATGCGCGTCACATGACTACCATTAAGTCTGTGATGCACTGCATCTAAAGCGGGCAGTTCTCTGGAGATCAAGAATAGACTCAGTCTCCACTAACACTGAGTACAAATAATCCCCCTTTTACACTCCTCTTCGGCTTGTCCAAGTGCGGATATCACGTGCGAGCCACATGACCTGTCTTGCTCTAACAGTCTTTCGAGCACTCTAGTGCGTATAGCTAATGAATAAGATAGCTCGAAGGTGTAACATTTGCTGCACCTTTGCCGATTACCAAAGCCTGACAGTATCTATACTCAAGATCTTCAAGAAAATTGGTCTTGTTGTTGAACTATGGAACGACGCATCTCTTCGATTTGACTCAAGACAAGACAGCTATCTTTCACGAAGATAAGTAATCTCTAGTTAGGGGCACTCAATAGTGACCGTGGTAGGTAGGTAAGTAGGTAGGTAAGCATTTTGCGCGGAATTTTGTGCAATGGGGTTCTCTTTTCCCTTTTCCAGTCCATCATCCATATGGTGAAGTAAATAGCCATATCGTTTAGCTTCAGCACTCTTTCAATCATTTCTTTGCAGTTCTATAGCCCGAAAGCTTGTCTCATGCCAGCAAACAGTTTTCGTACATTCAAGACTCGAGGAAGCGCGGATAAGGGAAGGCGCCGCGGGCTCTTTGAAACGCCAGGCTACAGCTTTACACGGATAACGATTCATTGTGCGGGTCAAATTTGATGACCTGGGGGTTTTCGGACTGGCTGCACTATCACTGAATAGGCTCATACCATGTTGAGGCTAGAATTTGGGCACCGGCTTCATAGCTCTATGCAGCCAGCTACCGAAGCATTATTTCTTGCTGTCTCACATCAACAAGGCTTCTAGGCTGTCCATTTGCAACCACGTGGCGCATTTCTTAGAACACGCACTTCGCAGCTCTTGAGACGACAGCATTTCAACTCATTCGGAACCCGGAAGTCGAAGTGCATGCACTTTTATGTTCCCCACATTCTGTTCGCATATCCCCAGACGGTCACAAGGAACCGTGAAAACTTTCTCGCGCCGCAAAGCCTATTCCCACAACGGTGTAATACTCGTCCCCACAAGGATGAGAATAATCTGACAGGATCGCCAGGGCATCCTAGCAGGCACGCGTTACCCCAGATCAAAGCCCAGGGCTGCATTCGCTAGAACTCATCGCTACATGGCCACTCCAGGCCATCGTCCGTGCCTGATTCGATCTGAAGCAAGCCAACCTAGAAAATCAATCGAACAGCACCATGACCATTGGTTCGGATTGGAACAACCCCTAATCAAGCATCTTTCACGCGGGGACAGCCGCCACAACGGCGATATAGTGCGCTCAGCGTTCAGGGTTCGGGGTGTTAAGATATTGTTGATAACACAGCGGTATGCCCCTCTGTTTCTCGACCCGAGACACGCCAGGCGAATTCAATGACTCTAGTGAAGTGGTGCGGCTCAGGCGTCATGGCTCGCGGGGTTTCTTTAAAGGAAAGCAAGCGCTGCTGAGCGCTTTTAGGGGGATCGTTGTTATCTTTTCCTTTTTCCTTGTTTGCCTGTGCTGGAGGTCTCTTATTGCGTTGGATTTTCTGATAGTCCGGATCTGGGAATTCTGGTGAAGCCTTGACGAAAAGATGGGACATCATTAATCGGAGGTTGCGCATATACGGGCAGAGCTTCTGGTTATACCGCTGGTTATTACTATATTGGGCTGTAAGTATTACATTCCTAGATTCAACCGTTAACTATCAAGTCATTTGCAAAGTCAATAATGAATTACGCTCTTGACTGATCTGGTACAGCTATGAAGCTGATCGCGCGAATAATTTCTCGCCAATTCATCGTCCGCAACTCGGCATAGATGATTGGGTCATGGCCATAGCTTGGATATGCAGTATAGGACTTCTCGTGGAGACCATAGTAGGCTGGAAGCATGGCATGGGCAAGATGTCTATCTCCCTCGAACTAGCCGACATGGTTGCTATTCTCAAGGACACTTGGCCATCGAGATCACGTACTACACGACCGTATTCATCGTCAAACTCTCGATTCTCTTCCTCTATCTACGATTTGGTAAGCCTTCGTGCCTTCTCCGCAAGGATTTGTCTGATAAAAACCCACCAGCGACGCAGAAACTCCTCTGCAGAAACTCCTTTGCAGAGTCTGTCAATGGACAATCTACTTTTTGACGGTCTACACCGTCACGTGCATCATTGTCCTCGCCCAATGCCGGCCAATCCGTAAGTCCTGGGACATCACCGGCCAAGTAAAAGGAACGTGCATAAACCGCACAATCTTCTTCTACAGTACGCCTTCCAGGCTCTACCCTTCTTCTCCAAGCCCCTACCTCTGAATATCCCCATCCCCTTCCTAACTGACCCCCAGTAACCGCCGGCCTCAACGTAGCCACCGACATCTGGGTCACCATCCTCCCCATCCGCAGCCTCCTCCACATCCAGCGCCCGAAGCGCGAAAAAGCCGGCCTCGTCCTCATCTTCAGTATGGGCGCCTTCAGCTGCGTCGCCGCCACGATCCGCCTGCGATCCATCGGCCTCTTCATACCAAGGACCCTTTCTTCGACGCCGTCCCCGGGGACATCTGGTCCGTGGTCGAGGTCCAGATCGCGATTATCTGCTGCTCACTGCCGAGCCCGAAGCCGCTGCTGTGTTATGGTTCACGGTCGGAGCGGACGCGGCGGAGTAATAATAGCAGTGGGAGTCGGGGGTATATACGGACGAACGAGAATGGGGGTTTAGGGGGTGGGAGCAGCAGTGGTGGGGGAAGGCGGAGAGGGAAGGGGCTGGAGGGGAAGGGCGGAGCGCGTGTGAGGGCGTCGGGGAGCTTCCCGATGACGCCGGGGTGAAGAGTGGAGGTGGGGGGATGCCGAGGGCGGCGGGTAGTGATACGGAGAGTACGGAGAATATACTAGAGAATGGAGGGGGAAAGGCGCTTGAGATGCCGCGTATTGCGACGAGGAATATGGTATAGAAATAGGCATGTATAGTCGAAAATGAATTGTTAAAAAAAGCGCGATATGGGATGGCTCAGCGAGTCCACCAACTGGTCAATCCCATTTGATTTTGATTTTCTTGAAAGTGGATTGAGGCACCACTGACAGTGTTAAGGAAGTGCACACGAGTATATTACTGAATCGTATAGTGTAAATTTACGTAGTGAAAGGAAGTACCCAAGGACGTCTTGTGAGTCTGCCGAATGCTCGAATTGGCCTTTCACCTTTGAAAGTGTGTCGAGGCATCTTTGACAGTGGTAAGAAAGTACACACCTATCTCGTACTAGGCGTTACAGGCGGTCGATGAAAGTATGGTTTAGGTTCATGTTAGGGCATGAGTGTGGGCTTTCTATAGGAAGAGGTCCGCCCCAGGAAGGTGCCACGAAAGAAAGTATCGCCTATCCGCTTCATTAATACAGATTTCATCAACGAAAGAGTAACAAAGACGAGACTTACTGTGCTCTCGAATCACCATTACGTCCCTCGTCCGACTCCCCTCGCCCCAAACCAGCTGCGTACAAGTCCGTCAAATCCCAGGGAACATTCTGGGCCGGTGTTGCCAGCGCAAGCTGCAGTATCGTACTCGCAAGGCTCGCGCCATTGATCTGTGCCTTTGGCGGACGCCAACCCTCCTTATACGGCAACCTTTCCTCTTCTATCCAAGCCCATTAGCACCGCCTCTTTTTCATCAAAGCCCCAATGAAGCAAACATACCAAAGAGCGTTCTCACGAACTCCACCTTCGTGCCGCCATCCGCCGGGTCAACCATCGTGAGCCACAAGATTGCAGACTCGAGGTATGAGTTAAACTGCTGACTGGGCCCATACACAAACGCCCCATCTCTGAACCTCTCCGTCTGCACCCTACTCAACCTTGCCACCGCAGCTGCGTTGAGACTCATATTCCCCGATCCCTCAAACCACCGCATATAAGACGCAAAGATTGCCGGATTGAGGGAGAAATTGTCACCTCCGAGGTTATAGTCTGCCCGCGAGAGCGACCCGTCATGCTCGATTGCATTGTGTTTGTTCAGGTCTAAGAGGGAGAAGGTGCCATTGCCTGGGCCGAGAGCTATGCCGCCGAATGAGACGATGCGTGCAAGTTCGGGGCTTAAGTTAAAGACAGAGCCGAGAGTGTCGACGAGGAGGGGGATGGAGAGATTCCGACCGTTGTGTGGGATTAAGGCGTGGTTTGCGAGGGCGTTGAGGCCTGGACAGGGGCCTCGGAGGTCCCCTGGTAGTGGTGAGTGCCAGTTCAAGAAGTCGGGTAGTGTAGTTGAGGCGACAAGAGGTGAGAGAAGTAGGAGCGTGAGCGTGAGCGTGAGCGTGATCGTATGAATGCCGGTCGATGAGCCGGTACAGAACAATAGGCTGAGGAGGGGATTCAAGAAGTTAGAGATGCGAGAGCGTAGGCGGGGACTGGCCATTATGTGCGTATAAGAAGAATATGAGGACAAAGAAGGCTTCAGGAGGCAGGACAAGAGGTGCGTGTCCATAGCCTATCTTATAGGCATGACCCTAGGGTTGCGCTTGCCTGACACTGCTGAAAGTCTTGCCAAATACTTTCGGTAACCACAAGCTTATCGCTTTGATAGCTCTGATACCTGGACAGGCCACCTCAGGTGGTGGCAGAGAGCAGACACAGCGTGAAGGTGTTGACCCCCCGTCGCTCCAGATCCGATCAAGATATCATGATTTCTACCCTATTCCAGAACAGTCTTGCACATCTTTGGCTCTTCGATCACATCTCAGGCTAATGCTATCCATGTCTCGTGCCATGAACTGTCAGCAAATACTCATAATCCAAACAGAATGGGTCAAGACATTAGCATGTGATGATATGAGCAAGCTGAAATGCCTTGTCAAAGATCTGAAAACGCTGCAACGCCGGTGTTCGAGGTGCTTCAGCGCATTGTAAGGAGATTCGTTGCAATGAAAAGTCAAAGAGAGGTTGACTTTAAGAAGTTCCAAGCCCACAGTCGAACTACCTCGCCGCAGCTTGTAACACCCCAGCACATAATTGTGCCCAAAGTTTATGTCCTAGGAGGTATGTCGTAACCCCGCTATTGGCGATTAAACACAGGTACCATGCTGTAAAATGTCGACGGGTCCATGAGCTGAAAGGGTATTGTATACAGAGACGATCTTTCGTCTATTTCCACATTGGGTGGAAATCTCCCATCTTTTTAAAGATCCTAGGGCTTGGCACTCTCTAGTTTAGAATGCCATCCCATCCGTGCCCGCAATGCCCTATCGAGTACAAGGTCATGTACACCATACTTATTCTTACAGTTCTGACCGTCTTATCTTAATCCTCATAGAAATCCGCCTCACTCATCTTCCTCCCCTTCCTCCCCGTCTTCGAATTCTTCCGATCCTTCACCAACCTGCCATCCTTCTTCAGCTTCATACCATCTGGGATCACGTTGCCGGATGGATTGACACCTATCTCGATCGTCTGACTCCTCATCTTTCTCTTCGGTCTCTTGTGTTGTTCGTTCCTGGGTAAGCCCATCCTGATAGTTTTCGCGATTCGTGTCTTGGCGCCCAGAGCCCAAAGATCGCCCCATCGAGCCTTGCGCGCGTCCCGGAAGGCTTGCTTGGAGAAGCTGCGGGGCACGGTCCATCGTTCGATCTTCGCCGATGGAGTGCAGACCTCAAGGATGATATGGCCGCGGCGCTTCATAGCTGGCACGACTAAGCGAGGGAGCGAAAGGGCGTTCACGTTCGTCTCGATTTCCGGCTCGTCTGCGACTTCCTTGTCGCTAGACTCGCCGTCTTTGACAAACTCATGTCCTTTGAAAGCCGCTTCTGTTGCTTCATCGCCCTGTGAGAATCCCTTGCCGAAGATGTCGTGCTTTGGCTTCCGTTGGTCCCGCCCACGTTGAACGGCGAGGTAGCTGTATTGGACATCCTCGTGATTCCGATCGCGAGCGTTGTGGATTCTTTGTAGATAAGGAGGCCTAATGTATCTTTGACTGAAGTAGCAGAAGTCTTTCCTGCCTTGACTCACACCTGGTATTGTGTACATTGGGCAGGTGGAATGGTTGGTACAAGGTGCAACAATCATGCCTGTTTCTTTCTTGGTGAATCTTGGAACATTCTTTGTTTCGGACAACTGATCTTGGAGTGAGTTCTCATACTCAGTTGAATCAGGGGAAGCAATGTGTTTATCCAAAAGGAGCGATCGAGCCGAAGCGATAATCTCAAAACCACGGGGAAGACCTTTCTCGAGAAGAATGAGCACACCGCCATCGGGATTTAGTAGGGACCAGAGCCTCTGAACATGCTCTTTCCGATGGTACTCCTGCCGTAGCGGCCAAAGCGCATGGGGCGCGATAATGATGTCGTAGACCTTCCTCTGTTGCCCCTTGACGGCCTGATGGTTGTGGGGGATGGCGTCAGGTAGACGGGGGATGAAAGATGTATTTTCCAATAGCCTACTTGCGCGAAGCTTCAATGCATTAGACGCTGTGAGAACGGTGGCTTTGCCTAATGGGGCCGGTTCCTGTGAGACTTGACCAGAAGATTCGTTCATCCGTTTCCATTCCGCTTCCAGCACCTCTCGCCAGGCTACGATGGCTGCGCCTCCTGATCCCGCATCTAGGATGAGAGGCCCTGACTCCTTCATCAGACCTTCAATCCAAGCCGTTCCAAGTCTTCGGCGAACCTCCACAATTGTGCTCATTGAAGTCGCGTATACACCCGGCATCACTGCAGCCATGTATGTATTACTTTGAATGCTGCTCATCTCTTCCTGTGATGGGTCCAGTGGAATAGTTTTCTGCTCCTTGCCCTCGCTCGCACGAGCTGTAGAGGCAGATTGGGGAAGTCCTGGGCCACCGAATATTTTCAGTGCTGCTTGAGTGATATGCTTATGTGACGCTTGGGACAGAATTGCCGCTGTAGGATCGACGAACTTTTCCTTCGGGAGATGGAGGGTGGAAGGCGACGTCGCAAATCGGCCGGCGACCGTCAAAGGATGTGCGCGCATGAATTCTTCTCCCTCCTCCAAATCCTCAGCATCTTGATCGGCTTCGGCTTCAGCTAGCCTAGTCTTCTCGTATATGTCCTGATGATAATCTTTTATGAGCTCCGGCGCGGAATCTCCAAAATCGGTTTCAGCCTCCACGAATTCGCCTTCTATGGACTCATAGTCTTCTTCCAGAGCTTCGTCAGCAAGCTCGTCGCTCTGTTTATACAGTTCCACCTCTTCTAGCTCGCCATCCTCCCCTTCTCTAAGCCAGACCTGGTCTTGCATCTCTTCTCCCTCAACCTCATCGGCCGCCAATTCAACCTCATCCTCAACTAGATCCGCTTCTTCGGTGAATATGGGGGGCCCGTAAAGCCTCTCATATACAGCATATTCCTCTTCGCTTAGGTATCCTTTGGGCAAAGTGTCCCCATGTAATCGCCTCGCGGCCCGTACTGATTCTTCTGTGCTTGGAGTCGGTGCTTGCGGAGGTAGGGTTTCGTCGGATGTAGTCTTAGAGGCTTCGGGCGCCTCAATTGACCGACTGGGTGCAGTAGTAAACCGTCTGCATTGAGAAGTATTTGCCACAGCTGCAAAGGAGCGTAAAGAACGGGTTTGCGTATGGGCCCTAGGGAAAAGAGGATGTGCAGCGGAGCGACTCGCAGAAGCCAGCAGCCTCAGCCTGCATCGCAGGCATATTGTCTTGGAGGCCGAGAGCATCTCAGAAGCACCTCTCGATATATTGTAGCAACTGGATGGAGAATCGAGATGCGCGTTGCGAAAAAGCGAAGACGGGCAAACTATTATTCCCAGTCTTGGCATTTCGACACCCCTGAAAACAGCTCCTCCAATTAGAGCAAGCCTAATTACTCCACTATAAACCTTCAGCTATCTCTCAACTCATCCACATCTTCGTTCGCCATGTTGCAGGTCCATCCATCTTAAGAAGCCTGCAAAATTCGCTGTTTCCTTCCAAGTCGAGTCCTTTTTAAAACGTCTCCCAGTCCAAAGGAATACGTCCTCTGGCAAGTTGTGCCTGACGGAAGCCCATCACTTTCAAGAAATACTAGGAAATAGAATTTGATATGTCTAGAACGCTTCCAGTTCTCCGTTCATCTCCTTCTTATCAGCCTAATTATCCCTAAAATCATTATAATCCTCGTCCAGAGTGGTCTCTCCATTTGCCGCCTTCTGCCCATCCACCAACACCACCTTCTTTTGTTAAGCCCAGCTGGGATTCTACAACCAAATCGTTTTCCATGACAATATATGATACTACTCATACCTCTCAAAATTTATAACTAGATTTTTATATTGCTATCTCTTATGAGCTCCGCTAATTCACTACTCTAACACGCCTCCACCGCAGCCCCCTCCCCATAAAGCCCCCGATCCCCCTCTACATCCCCCCGCATCTCCGGAAACCGCTCGAAGAACTCCTCGCCCAGCGTCCAAAACCTCAGATCGCGATGATAGCGCTCAAACAACGGGGAGGGGTAATAGCACCCCGCAGCCTCGTTGAAGAAAAACGTGTCGTCGAATGAAAAGGGCCAGTCGAATTTCAGGTAGCGACTGTAGCAGTAGGAGAGGTCGCCGCTGCGGAAAAGGGTGCTGTGGGTAGAGACGAGGCGGTCGCGGAGGGTGGGCCAAGCGAAGAAGTCGAGGGCTATGGGGTGTTTCGTTCGTGATTGGGAAGGGCTAGAGAAGGGGATGTTAGTGGATGGTTGGGGAGGGAAAGGAAGAGGAGGATAGGGAGTACCGGGGACGAAGCCACTCGGGAATTTTATCGAGTTCGGATTTGGTGGCGTTGAGGTAGTACTTGTGAACGTTAGTATTCTTTGGGAGTTTGTTGCAAATTCGGTGTAGTATGGAGAAAGGCGCTCACCTTCAGCAACTTAAAGCTCTTATACGCCGCCGCCAGCCTCTCCAACCGCGGCAGATGGCAGAAGAGAAACTGGTCGACCTCCTTCAGGATTCGGAGCGCTGGACTACGCATCCACTCGGCAAACGAGTCCCACCCTTGCTTGATTCCAAGGAACAGGAGACCTGCCTCAACATCATCAGAATCTAGCGTCGCAGCACCCGGCCGGAATGAGAAGACCTTTCCGAAGAGCTCGTTGCTTTTCTTCCAGATGGGGCAAAGGGCGTCCTCATTAGCGGAGGGGGTGGCCGGCTGCGCCGGGTTGCCAAAGTGTAGCACGAAGGGGCTTGGGCAGCGCCATGAGGGCCCGAAGATCTCGGGCAGGAAGTGGGCGAATGCAGCGGTATTTGGGGAGTCGGGGGTCACCTGCATGTTCTCGTCTACGGTGGAGAGGGGAAATTGCAAGCTGTTCGTACTGCCGTGGACGAGATCATCCATGACTTGCATGCCATCGACGTCGAGGGTAGAGGAATTATTTCTAGAAACCTCCCTGTCAAAGGGCATCGAGTCAAAGGTGCTCTGCTCGAGCTGGTCGTGCTCTTCGACGAGGTCCAAATGACTGGCTTCATGCTTCGTGGGTGGATCGACGGTGGTGGAGGCTGGTCCTATCGTAAGTCGGGGTTCAAAGTCAACGCCTCATGACTTCGTGGGTTGCAAGGAGCGTACCACTTGCGCTGACAGGAGACATGGGCAGCGTAACTGCCTTGCTGTTAAGCATGCCACACCCGACTACGCTCTTGACACCGTCTATTACGTCGCGCAGGCGTTCGTTTTCTTGTCGCAGCTGTTCAATTTCGCCTAGTAGGGAGGCGGTGGCTCCATTCCTGTCCTGATCTCGTAGGATCTGGATGGTGCGTTCAAGATCGGCGATATGGGATTTTGTCTTTTCTCTGATGACGCAAGATCAGTATTTCCTTGCAATAGCTTTTTCCTCGAATTCATACCTCAATGACCGTTGAGCTTCTCTCTGAGTATCAATTAGCTTTGTGTAAGTAGGATATATTGAGGCAATGTTACATCTATCGCCCGCTTCCGCTCTCTCCGCTCCTGTTCGCCGAGACAACTTGCCCTCCTCTTCCTCTTCACGACAGGAGCGATTGGGGTCTGGCTAGCAGTACCTGCATCGCTTGCTCGACGGTCCACCATGGTGTCAGTACAGAGTCAGTATAATGAGGTGGTCGAATCTCTAAGGTGAGTAATAAAATTCCAATTGAAAATTATAAAAGACGACACGTCCGTCATCGGGAAGCTATTATGGCGGACGAAGGCGCCGAACCAGGTGCCGAGGCGATGGGCCGATCCTAGGGTAAGAAAAGGCGGGGGTGGGGGAGAGGGAATGCGGAGAAAACGACTCATGATCGACCGCTTGAGGCCAATCACCCACGCGGGTTGGCAGCTAGCAGTACCTATTCCCGGTGTCTCCGCTGGTTTTTAATCCAAATCTTGCGTTAAAACCAGCACGGAAGCCGCTGCGGAATCCCACTTCGGTGAGAGTGAAGCTGCAGAACGCCCCCTCATGCCGCGTACATGATCCATAGTGCTACGGTCTCCCGGCTTGAACTAAGTCAGATGATGCATTGGCTTCGAGGACGGATAGAAGAGACTTGTCCGAAGCTATGGCAGTCATTAGTTATAGAAGAGAGCCGCTTGAATTACTCTTTACAACTTGGATGGCTTCCAGTTCGGTTTCCGCTTCTCAGCAAACGCCACAAGCCCTTCTTTCGCATTGTCGCCGTCGAGAAGCCCGTCCTTGTACCTGTCGGCCACTATTTGAGTAGCTCGCTCCACACTGGACGTCTCCCAAGCTTCCCTCAAGGATGCACGGGTGACGATAGCCGCGTCCGGTGATATTGCTGCAATCCCGTTGGCAAGCTTCACTGCCTCTTCGACGAGCGTGTCTTGCGAGGATGATATTCGGTTGATGAGGTTGAGCTCAAGAGCCCTCTTAGTACTAATCGGTACTCCCGTAAGTGCAATTTCGCTGGCAATTGGGAGGCCGACATTGCGGACTAGTCTGGCAGGTCCGCCGGCACCTGCCCATATTCCGCGCAGAGCTTCCGGGAGCGAAAATGACGCTGTCGGGGATGCAACCACCAAGTCGCTGTGAATCGTCAGACCCGCTTCACAAGTTCTTGTCATATGATCCTACCAATTCAGCACAATTTCAAATCCACCCCCAAACGCGAAACCATTGACTGCAGCGATGATAGGCTTCTTCCCTGTCCGCCGACTGATACCGCCAAACCCGCTTGGTGGATGTGTCATCAAAGCAGCTGGTGGTTTTTCTGAGGCTGAACGAAGTTTCCCAAGCTCTATGAGGTCCTGTCCTGCGCAGAATGCTTTCTTCCCTGCCGCAGTGATGATAGCTACTCGCAAATTTGGTTCCTTGTCGAACCACTCGAAGATCTGATGCATTTCCCAATGACCAGCGAATGGGATCGCGTTCATCGCTTTTTCGCGATTTATTGTTACGACCAGAACATACGGAGCTGGATATGATAGCGAGACTGAGCTGGTTGGGGGAGCTTCGGTGACGGGTTTTACAGATGCCATGATTGCGATTGATAGAAAACAAAGGGCCGATGATATGTGAATGAGCGTATCAGAGAGACTTGATTTCAATCTTTTTAGTATGCTTTCTTTAAGTAGGGAACTAAGAGATGAAGCTGTCGTAGACAGTGAGACTCTGATGACACAGGTAGAATGGACCGAGGTTGACCAGGATAGGACTGACTCGCTTGGGACGCTCGATTACTGTACCTTGGTACATGCAGATGATGTACTTAGCGACTAGGTACTCCTAGGGTCTGTCGTCAACCACCCTCTTGGACAAGATCTGTCTCTAAAGTTCGTAGAATTTTTGTTGTTTAGATGTGTTTAGGCTTTGATGAGATTGTTGTGGCTTTGTGGAGTGGAGAAAGATGTGGCAGAGTCCATTTAGAGCTCTGGTAGCTCGAACTACAAACATTTCGGCTTCTTGACGCTTGAGTGGAACTACGTATGGTTGATAAGAACGCTACAAATCATACTTGAGTGCTATGTAGCCAGCTGATATTAGTGTATAAGCTTATGTTGGGTAAATACTATTACAAGGATGGGTTTTTGTAGGACGAGTTACCGCGCATCTCCGGCCATGGTGTCAAAACAGTGAAGCGTGGCTACAAAGCTTCAGATAGCTTTATTAAAATAGTCTGGATATACTGAACGAATGTTGTTGGATTTCTCTAGCATGCTCACAGTACCTGAGTCCCTCTTTTGCTGAATGAGAATGAGAATAACATACGTCCTGGAACTTTGAAAGAGTATCATTCACTATAAATAGAGGCGCTTCAACCAAAATCGGTACCATGAGCAAGCTTGTCCAGTAGGTCTCATCATCGTCTCTTTTCGCAAAGCCGTAATTCGCAACCATGGGTATACCCTCCAAACTCCAACGCCCAAAGTCAAACACCCCTCACTCATAACACCCTCAATCATCCAACAACTGCTGCGGTGCCGCCATACTCATCCTCAATTGCCTCGCCCGCTGCTTCGCCTGTAACTCCAACCGATCAACCGCATAGCTCAATCTCTCCTTCTTCTGCCTAAGCTGCTTAAACTTCAATTCCTCAAGCGCCGTCATTCCCTTACCCCCAGTTACTGCTGCCCCGAATGACTTCTTCCGCACGTGACTTGTTCGACTGCTGGGTCTGAACCCCTCGAGGCGGCCCTCGTTCAGTTCGGATTTCTTTTGTAGGGAGTCTTCTCGGCGTTCGAGTTTGGAAAGGTGGTTATCCACGCGTTGGAGGAGTGATTCGACTTCTGGCCGGATCTCAGAGAGGAGGGTGGACTGGGCCGTGTGCAGGTCTGGCTCGGCGATGAGTTCGAAGTGCTGGGCAGAAAATTAGCAAACGAAGTTAAAGTTGTAGATTCTGTGAACAGCAATCCCCAGCGGCTTTGGTATAGGTAGAGAAGTTCTGCGAGGGGTAACGGAGACAAAGACGTACCCGCGTGGTTTGCAGCACCTTCGATAGCCTTGGGAAGTCATTGACGCCGGAATCGAGGATCGAGATGGAGGAGTCGAGCAGTTGCATGCTGGTGCGGAGAGAGGCGACACAGCCTTCGAGAGAAGAAGTCATAATGGCTGTAACCTTTCTTTGTCCTACGCGTCGCGCCAATATCCTCTCTAAACTCCCAGCGAAGAGTGTGTAAATTCTGCAATGGTGGTTTGGTGTTGTTGACATCCAACCCGCGAGCCCCAAAAGCGGCGCTTCACCCGGGCGTCCCTTAAAGCGGCACCGCAACTCTTCCGAGAGCCTCAGAATCAGAAACCCGAACCTCTTCAAAGCTCACCGACTGCCATCGACTCCCACCCACCGCAAACCCATCCCACACATCTACTCCTTTCTCAATCGAAAGGCACCATGACGCTCCTCGGCAAGAAGTTCCCTGCGCCCATCGGTAAGTCGCCCTTCGCCGCAATGGCGCTGCGGATACCCTCGTGCGGCGCCCTCGGAAGACTCTTTACTGACGGGTATGGGTGTGCAGCTAAGCCAATGGCCCCGTTTTACATTGCTGGTACGTATTTCCAGCTCAGAAAGAGGAATGGGAGGGTGATGAGGAGCTCGGGATGAGAACGAGGGAGCTGAGAGGTGTTGAGCCGGGCTAATGCGGTACTATAGGCGTCGTCGTCCTTTACGGCATTAACTCCTTCGCGAACGTGCTGGCAGGCAGTATGTTTACCCTTTCTCTACACCCGAAGATGCACTAGATGCACTCGAGAGGATATGGGACGGATGCAGATGTCCGGATATTCAGAAGAATAGGAAGCTAACATGGCACTTTCTAGCCGAGGAGTTCGCGAACGACCCAAGGAACCCGGCATTGAAGTCGAAGGGTGGTGCGAGTGAGGCGCACTAGAGAGCGTAGGGTGGAGGAAGCTACATGGAGAGGCATAGTGTACAACAGCTTTGCGGGCTAGGAATGGCATTTTGAGCGGAGCTGTATAGAAGTCATAACAATGGAGATATTGCGGCTCTAGCTCTTGCCGCTTTCGTCCATGATGTTCGAGTACATGCTGTTCGAGTTCATTCTAAGAAGCTTTTTGCTTCTTTGGGTTGTATGGAGCTATCGTTGGAGGTACTCCATGTGCTTTACTGATCCTCAAATTCAAAGTAATTCATGCTTTTGTCTCACGACCTTGCAGCCACCACCGTTACGGTAAGAACTCAATGGCACAGGTGAAGACGTAACTTTATGATTTATTCTCATATTCAACTCTCTTTCTGTTTCCAAGAATCATTTCTGGAATTCTTATGCACCTATATTGAACCCAGCCCTAGCATTCCGTCCTTTGACGAACCGGGCACCGAGCTGGGTATGAACAGGTTTGACAAATCTAACTTCCAAGCCTCGATACCCTTTCTGATAGCCAGGGATTTCAAAGACATTAATCAAGTACTGAACGTTGCTCTATCACCAGACAAGACGTTTCAGCTGCTTCGTGTTTGATACTGCATCAACGGCACGGCCCGCCATCTGCTATACCCAAACATTTAGACGTGAGGAGCTTTCAAGATGCTGGACTCTAAAATTAGTCTCAAACTGCAGAACATTCCAAGCTCCACTACCGCGGCTCCAGAACCTCAGGTGACACCACTGCGGCTTTCGATTAGGCCACTTATGTACTCTGCAACAGCGCACCAAGACAAGGCTGGCCACGGCGTTTCCCGAACACGGAACACAGTGTGACAGGTAGAATTAGGAAATACCACTCTGGGGGTGGATCGGTGTGGCTTGTGGCCGCCGACACGTGTAGGGCCGTGGCTCGCTTCAAGCACCGGAACCCCCGTCGTGGAGCGTGCTTTCAATGTAACGGCTGCGGAAGACTGGCACTGGGAGACGCAGAAGTGGGACAAAGAACTCGACGAGTCTTTGGGAAGGTTGGTTGTCAGGGCTGGCTGGACTATCAAAGCGGAACAAGCGAGCTGGTGGTGAGGTTGCACGGAAATACCAGCCTCCTGATGGGCAACCTGCTCGTGAAACGGAAGCGGAGCGGACAAGGTGAGAAAGATAGAGAGGCAGCGGCAGGCAGGGTGCGGGGTATTAGGAATAAGCAATATATGGCGATGGGCCTCCCGTCCACGGCCGAATCGGATGATTCAATCTAGCCCGCGATGCACTTGTATGCTCGCCCAGGAGAGGAGCCCGCGGCGCTGTGGACGCTGAAAGATGCAAGGTGCAGAGAGAGCAGCCAAGCGTGTCCCATCCCAAGGTCATCTGGGAGCTTAAGTGGACGGTCTAGCACCCGCCGACCAACCCTGCAGATCTTCGAGTGCCGGCTGGGCGGGAGCCAGGGAGCGCGGTTAATCAAGCGCTGGAGCCGTCCGAGAGGGCGAATAGGCCCTAAAAGCAGACTCGCCCGCCGGCGGAGAGAGGCAGGTCGACTTGCCATTCCGGCCTGATGCAGCCTGACGCAGCCTGACACTGTCTGCTGGGGCCTCGCCGCGGCCCATCTGCATGGGCCGACTGCCCATCTCGTAGCGGGCACTTGAGGAGTGGGAGCCACCGGAGGGTACGCCGCAACGGGCTCCCAGGACAGAAAGACTGCAGTTGCTACGCATCAGCTTGTCATGCGGGCGAGCAGCAGGTAAACAAAAGCAGACGGCGGCACAGCGGCACAGCGGCGCCAATGGGGCCGCTGTAAGGAGAGGCCATGTCAGCTGGGCGAGCAGGCGTGACTTGAGGAGAGAGCAGCCATGTCTGAAACCCGTGAGGCATTTCGGGCAGCTGGACGCGCTGGGAACGCGACAGCAGCCGGCACGGGCTCGCCCGCGTGATCCAGCAGCACGACTTGGAGAGAACAGGCTCACAAGCTTGGTGTTGATGTCGACCTCAGCGGTGCAAGGGCGCTATTTCTGCAGCCTGCCCAGGTGCCCCTGCACGTGACCGTGATCCGAGCGCCGTTCCAAGGTTCTTCTTACTCCGCCAGCACCGCCAGTCTGGCCGTCTCTTCTCTCCTCTTCCTCCACCTCCACCACCACCACCGCTATTATCTGATTGAGAGCGTCCTCGAGAGGCCGCCTGCCTGTACCCTCCGTGCAGCCCCCGCCTCGCCCTGTCCCAGCTGCTCCCAGACACGCCTGCACTGCCTCGTCGTGCCGCCTTCGTCGGGCCTCCACCTCACTCCACGCCCTGTACGTCGCCGACCAGGTGATTGCCTGCCCATTCACTTTCACGCCCTTCGCTGCTTGCTCGTGTTTATCCACTTCACCCCCCTCCTCCCTCTGCTAGCATCTTCCCTCGTCCGCTGTTTGCCCGTGGCCACCCGCCGGCTGACACACCGCCTTGTTGGCAAAGCCTCACTGACCGGAACCAAAACCAGGCTGAACCGCTCCACCAAACACCAAAACTCCACCACCCGCCTCCTACCGCCCTGCACTCAACACCTCTGCTACACATCAGGACAGCCTTCTTTAGGTTGACTTCTTGCCCAGCATGACGACAATGGTACGCCCTCGCCCCGCTCCCGAACCCCAAGTACGAGGCATAGCCTTTCTTAAAGTCTATGCACCCTCCGCAACACATGCTAATTGTCATTGTAGGATCTCCGTGTCGGCAACAAGTACCGTATTGGCCGCAAGATTGGCAGCGGCAGTTTCGGTGACATCTACCTTGGTACCTTCACCGGACCCCTCACCGGCTTATGCCTTGCTAACCTCCGCCAGGTACCAATATCATCTCCGGCGAGGAGATTGCTATCAAGCTCGAGAGCGTCAAGGCCAAGCACCCCCAGCTCGAATATGAAGCCAGAGTCTACAAGTCCCTGGCCGGCGGTGTCGGCATTCCCTTTGTGCGTTGGTTCGGCACCGAGTGTGACTACAATGCCATGGTCTTGGACCTCCTCGGGCCCAGCTTGGAGGACCTTTTCAACTTCTGCAACCGCAAGTTCTCTCTGAAGACGGTGCTCCTGCTCGCCGACCAGCTCATCTCCCGCATCGAGTACATCCACGCCAAGTCCTTTATCCACCGTGATATCAAGCCGGACAACTTCCTCATGGGCATTGGAAAGCGTGGCAACCAGGTCAACGTGATCGATTTCGGTCTGGCCAAGAAGTACCGTGACCCAAAGACCCACTTCCACATCCCATACCGTGAGAACAAGAACTTGACTGGCACTGCCCGCTATGCCAGCATCAACACCCATTTGGGTGTCGGTATGTCCCGTCTACCTCCACTGCACTGCCTACGCTAACTCTCTTAGAACAATCTCGCCGTGACGACATGGAGTCTCTCGGATACGTTATGCTCTACTTCTGCCGTGGCTCCCTTCCTTGGCAGGGCCTGAAGGCTGCTACCAAAAAGCAGAAATACGACCGTATCATGGAGAAGAAGATGACAACTCCTACCGAAGTCCTCTGCCGCGGCTTCCCCAACGAGTTCGCCATCTACCTGAACTACACCCGCTCGCTCCGCTTCGACGACAAGCCCGACTACAGCTACCTCCGCAAGATCTTCCGTGACCTCTTTGTTCGCGAGGGATTCCAATACGACTATGTCTTCGACTGGACCGTCTACAAGTACCAGAAGAACGCCCAGGCCATTGCCCAGGCTGCCAACCAGGGCCAGGTCGATGACTCCGATGACAAGACTGGCCGTGGCCGTCATGTCACCGCCGCCACCAACGCCGCCACTGGCGGTACTCCTGCGACTGGTACTGTCAACGATAAGCGTCGGGGTCCCGTCAATCCGCGTCAAGAGGGCACTGGAATGTGAGTTCGAAATATCTGATCCTTGTAAGGGACACTTCTCCTCTGCGTTTAGTGTTCGATGATGACGCTTGGCGCGGGGGATACGGCAATCAGATTTTACTAATCCGGTTCAAACTCATAGGCTACTTCGTTCCTCGAAGCGTGGCGGGGACCAGTATGCATCCGGAGGCTACTGATTCTTGATGCTGTTTTCCGTCTGGCATCTCTCCAACATCTTTCTTAACGGGCTGCTGCTCTAGCGCCGTCCGTACTCATGTACACCTGTGGGAAACGCGGCATTGCCGTCCTTGGACCTTTTTAGGACGGCTGACTGCTCCAACCTGGGCCAGCACATGGGTTCTACTTATCAAATTGCTTTCCTAGGACCTGGCTCACGACTTTACTCTTTGACTCGCGATGGTTACCGAGGTACGACGGCTGTTTAGGCTTCCGACCTCGACAACGACCAACCATCCGGATCATCCTGCACGGTATCATCTCTGGGATCTCGGAAGTTCCGCTTAGCTCAAAGTTCGACACTCACTTTGGCGCCGGGCATGGATAACGGGACATCACGTCACCTCATGCATGTCTGATTGGCACCTTCATTTCAAGACGACAGAGCTCAACGGGACGCAATAGTCTTCATGAAGATGACATTACCTCATGGTCTTGTTCTTGTCTTGCAGTTTTTCAACTCAACTCACCCTAATCACTTCCCCTCTTGCCCCATTTTGCTTTTTTTTTGGTTTTTGCTGCGTTGCCGATGTTTTCTCTTTTTCCCACGACTGTTTTCCTTCAGCTTTCACTCACGACATGGTCTGCCAGCGACTGGGGAGGTTTTCAGATCATACTTACAGGGGACGACATGGCTAAATTGCAACACTGGTGGAGATGGAGACTGGTGGGGTCGGACGTGACGGTTCGGTGGTAGAGGGTGGGCGGGGGTCGGAGCCGGACCACATGGGCTTTAATCACACACATACCTGGTATATGATACTGGGGACTTACTGGAGAGGGCCATTTTTAGGGGCGCTTCCGGGGAGGTTGAGGGTGGAACTTGATACGCTGGTGTGGTCCGGGGTTCGATGGGTGGGTGGGGCTTTGGTAGAAAGTTTTGCTGCTTCTAATTTTATGGGTTTCTCCTTAGCGCGATGGATGCTTCTTGCTGCTGCTGCTGCTGCTGCTGCTGCTGATGGTGATGATATGCTGTGACACTATTGCTGCTGCTTGGAATGGCTTCGGTAGATTCTGGTCTGTAAGTCGAACCTTGCCTCGAGTTGTGTTCCATCTGTCTGGCCACTCAAATCAAACAGAACGACTATCTCATCCCCGTGTTTTTTCTTGGAGAAAGCCTTCCATGAGTATTCGCCATCGTCCCCACCCCCAAGTCGATAAAGTAGGCCTTTACTCATACCCGCCGCCGCTTCTGCAATAACTCTTTCCTTTCCGTCTTCTGTTTCCCCTTTTCTTCCCCCCCCTTAAAAGCTAACGCACCCACCCACCCACACCGCTATGCATTTCCGGAATGTGAAAAACCTCTGGAGAAAGGGAGATGGATGCCCTCGAAAAGATTCGTAGCTGTGACGGACGTCGTTCCTCAGGTCAGTCTACTACATATTTCGAAAATTTCCGACCCTCCCCCCCCCCTCTCATCACTAATTTGCCCCAGCCAGCTCGGTTGGTAATCTCGGCCACCATCGTGTGTAAGCCCGCGGCCGGATCGTTAGGCATTTATATACCTCGCGAAGGTAGCGTTTGTCACTAAACCGTCGACAACCTCCACCTGGCTGGGGGTCTTTGAGTTCGATTTCTCGATTCGAACCTTACCACCCTCTTGTGTTTTAAAAAGTTCGAGTTTTGAACTTCGGGCGGGGCCTGGTTTTAGTAAGAGAGAGGCCTGGAAGGCCTGGTAAAAGAGGATGTATGGTATGCAGTTGGTTGCGTGAGGCTGAGAGTGTGGGCCGGTTAAGATATGACGGATTGAAAAAAACACCGCGGGCGGGCGGGCGAGACTTAGAGAAACCCCACCATCCGGGGTGGCTACACCCTCGGGGGTGGCTACACTCTCGAAAGAGGGTGGTGTTTTGCTCCTCAGATAATAATTTTTTTTTTTGCCCTCTATGCTTATGCCACCACCACGTATTATGACACGTAGACGGAAAACAAGGAGCACTTAGTTTTTTTACTAAGCAACATCGCTAGCGGGGAAGAAAAGGGGATCTTCAAAGGCGTGGACGTAAAATAGAAAGCACGTAATTAGGCTAGCTAAGTTTAGCATCTATTATGGGAAGCGGCTGGCGGTTGGCAAAGGGGAGGATATGTACAGCTTCCCCCGGAACGGCACCACGATAGGGGATCCAGCCCCATGGAACTGGTGTAAGAGCAGATTGCTCTGGAGGTGCCTGAACTAGAATGGACATCTACGAAGCGAAACGAACAATTGTACAGAAAACTTTACCAGATCTAGGAGCCGGCCTCCCAAAACATTACATTGTAGCCAGCCAGAAAATATTATACAGTATACAGTCCGCCGCACCACAATCCACCAACAGCGCCAAACAAATCACACAGCAACATGCCGTCCTTAGAAAACATGCCCAAGGAGAACCACACCGGAAAACCGAGAGGATTGTAATTTTCTGCAGAAACTAGACCAGAACGCCGAAAATTTGTGCTCCAGCAGCCCACCAATGCGCCATCCAGCAAAGGTGTATGCTGCTTGTTTTACTCCCTTTAAACCTTGAAGCGCCGTGATCAAAAAATGAAATTGGAAGAAGAAAATCAATCCTCCCTCGTCGACGCCTCATCATCCTCGTCGTCCGACAGAAGCTCTGCCTCAGACCGTTGTTGTAAAAAAGTTGGACGGTCGTTCCTTTTGAAGAAGTCATCAGCAAAAATCCCGAAGCAGGCAGGGAGGCAGGTAGGTAGCAGGTCCCTACTCCGGCCTTGGCCGCTTCGCTCCATGCGGATTCCGGCTGTCGCTGCCCGCCGCGCCGTGCTGAGCCTGGAAGAAGGCCGGGTTGAAATGCGGTTGAGCGGGTCCACCGAGACCAGCCGTAGCACCTGTAGCACAACCCGTTAGCGATTTGTTCTCTTTCCTGCCGTTGACAAGCCTGGCAGAGGCCTACTGTCCTTTTTCGGGGGAGGATGATAATGAACGGTAGTACTGCATACCCATTCCTTCCATACCGCCCATCGCGCCCATACCCATGTTCGGCATACCCATGCCGCCCATCATGTTGCCCATGCCGCCTCTTCCACCCCGGTTCTGAGGCATGCCGCCGCGCATCCCGCCCATCATGTTGCCGCCACGGCCAAAGTTGTTGAATTGATTCATGATGGCCATTGGATTGGGCGCACCTCCGAATCCAGCCATTGGGTTCGCCGCACCGTAGCCGCCAACACCCATGCGGTTCTGGAAGCCGCCCATGTTTCCTTGGTTGCGGTGTTGAAAGTTGCCTCGCCCGCCGCGGAAGTTGCCGCCCTGGTTGTAGTTGTTGTTCTGCATGGCACCCGAACCCCCTTGACTGCCGCCGAAGTTGCTCAATGTCGACCGGTTGTTCTGCGCGCCGCCTTCCTTGCGGTTGGGGACGTCCTTGGGAAGCATCCGGTAGGGGTTTTTGTGCGCGGAGTAAAAGATTGCGGAAGGTTTCTTGAAATGTTGTTGGCCGTTGCCGAATGATTCGAGCGTGTGCTTGAGGGCTGTGGCAGCCTGCATAGATTTCATCTCGACGTAGACTTGACTATCAGAGTAAGAGTGTTAGTAAGAGTTCCCGCATACCGCAGGCGAGTGGGCACTGAACATACCCCTTGCTTTTGCCATTGACCTTGTGCTCGTTGAAGGTTACGTCCACAAGCTCGTCCTCACAGCCACTCTGGTTTGCCCATCCGCGGATGTCGTCCTCGTTGATCCACCAGTGGAGTTCACTGATGAGCAGTGCCGACGAAGCACCTGGATCAACTGGTCGGTCGTCATTCTCCGCCTTCCGCTTGGTTCCTTGTTGTATCGGAGCTTGTTTCGGGGGCTGCGACTGGTTATGCGCAGAGCCGCCAGTGCTTGCGATCTGCTGCGTGTCGTGGTATTGCGCGCTGCCGTTGGTGATTTCAGCTTGGCCGTCTTCTTGCTTCACTGAGGTGTTCGCTTGGTTCGCGTTGTGTCCATTGGTCTGCATTGCGGAGTTTGGGCGTTCTGCGTCTACGAGCGAGTCTGTTTGCATCTCAGTTGTAGCGTCTGCCTTGACTTCACCTCCACTGTGCGTATTATCCCGCGCACCCTCTGGGCTCGCATAATCTTCACCGTAGATGTCGATGTCGAAGTTATCGTCATCAGCCATTGTGAATGGAGTCAGTCAGAAATGTGTGGTAGGTACGAAGGGTGAGGGTTGGAAGGGAGAGAGGCGCGCAAATAATGGCGGTCTCTTCTGATTGGCTTGTAGATACTGGATGTGGCCCAAGGCTACAAGTGAAGATACACGTCTGTAGCCGGAAAGAGTATCAGCGAGCTAAGCTAGTAGAGGAAGAGAAGAAGCACTCAAGTCCGGCTCCAAGCACTGCTTATCGTAACCCGCCAAAGTGAGGTTTTCAAGAGGCTCTGCGAGGGATGGTACATGCAAAGGGAAGACAGGCGGATACGTACACTTCCCCAAGGCTGCAGCAAAGACAAATCTCGGAAATTCGCGGAGACGCGAAGAGCTTCAAACGTCCGATCGCCTCTGGCAGATGCGGAAGATGGAAATGACAAGTTTGGGAAAAGATGAAGCGGCTTGAGCTTGACAGGTCTGCCCGCCGTCCCAGTACAGGTATGAGTGCAGGCGAAACGTATGGCCAGGTACAACAGCCGTGAGCTACAGCGCAGAAAGAGCAGCAGTGCCAGCGATGATAAGAAGCAACAGAAAGTGAGGAAGAAGCGCGAGGCAGGTGTTCGCCGATGGATCCCTCTCTCCGACCCTCTCTAGAGCGCGTTTGTCCAGCGAAATCTTGCCCAAATCCGCGGGTCGTGCAGGTCGCGGGTCCTAGACAATCAGTGCGGCCTCCAAAGGAGCGAAGGCGATAATGGATTGGATACCTGGTGGAGACAGTGGTTGGAGAGGAGGTTGTCTAGCCGGGAGAGGAGAGGAGAGCTTCAGGCTGAGGCGAGAGGAACGCGCTCTGGCGCCAAGGCGCGGAGACGGCCGAAGATTGCCCGAGCCGCGATCCATCTCGAATGTGGCCTCTTGAAAAGGGTCCCTCGAAGTCAACCACCCCAATTCCGACTCTTTCCTCGCACTCCTCCAGCGACTCTTGCGATCCATCGAAGCATTCCACAAGGGCCAGAACAGCAGAACCCCTCTCACGTCCATCAATCGCCAAACTCCCTCGAAGATGTCCGACCAACTCAAGGAATTCGCGGATATGCCGCAGGAGGTTCGCGTCTACATCCAGCTCCCCAGCAACCATCTCCTCACTGACATCCTTACAGTTTGTGAAAGACGGAATGCGTACGTCCTGCGCCGACCGCGCTCTCCAATCGAAGCCACGGAACTGACAGCACCCTAGAATTTCTGAACCGTTGCACGAAGCCCGACAAGCGCGAGTTCTGTCCGTATACTCCTGGTCCAATTACCTAGACTCTGTGCTGACATCAAGCAGTGAAGATCTCCCAGGCCGTCGGTGTTGGATTCATAGTCATGGGCGTCATCGGATACGTCGTCAAGCTCAGTACGCTGCGCCGGGTTCGAATCCATTGAATCACAGGAGCTAATTGCACACAGTCCATATTCCTGTAAACAATATCCTGGTCGGCGGATCATAGCGGGCTTTTCAGTTTGAAGGAGATAGGAAAGGGCGAGTGGATAGGAGGCGGCTAGCTGGCGGGACCTGGGACTTGGAGGTGTGATGTTAGAATACACCTGATGGCTCACCTTGGGCGGACGACGACTTAGGGTTGGAATACAGCTGAGCTTGTCGCGGAGGATGGGTTGTAATCGTATTTCACAAAAGGTCCACTGGGCAAGCGGGAGTTCAATTGACATGGATTGTTTCGGGCAGCTATGCCAGAGTGCTATTTCATCTACAGCGAGTGTCATATCGCATAATCCAATCGTTGAAAGGCCAAGGTGTCCAGTGCTCTAGTTCTACGAGTGTATAGAGCCGGACGGTGGAGTAGGGGTATGAGAAAAACACCCGAAGAGCGGGATATATCCACGATTGAGCCAATTACTCGCCTACTCGCCTACTCGCCAAACCAATCAGGGTCGTCATCGTCATCGTCATCGTCATTGATGATAACCGTTCGCCGTGCTCTCGTGCTCCTATATGTTGGAGCGGCGTAGAGGCGATCATCATGTTCTAGCTGGGCATTCACCCTTTTGCCCATTCTCGGCTCAGCCTCATCTTCGTCCACGCCGTCGTTCCAGGAGTGCACCGTACACGTGCCGTTCGAGATACCCCAGCCATTCCATGAGGTTGCTAGTGGTTAAAATTAGTACTAGTGGAGGCCAAAGCAATGAAGTAACAACTTACCGGCAATGACGGGAGCATCAGGATGCCAACTGGCATCTCTGACGCAGGTTTGCCAAGCTCCTCCATTCCTGCCAATGAAATCGTACGTCTCTACGAGGACGCTGGGATCTCTTGGCCGTGAATTTCGAGTCGCCGTCAGGACGTCTACCTTCCCAGCCAGCGTAGCGTCAAGGTTCCAGATGTACACTGAGCCGTCGTAACTCCCGGAGTAGACGTATCGCGAGTCTGTGCTCCCAGGTGGCGAAAAGTGACACCGAATAAGAGTCTTTAGCACCTTGTGGCCTCTGAACGTTACAAGGGAGCAGTCATGTGGATGCGGTCGGTAGTCGTTATCGTCGTAAGCGTTGGTCCGGTATTCGAAGTTAGTGGTATAGGCGCCAGGGTCAATCTGATCTGCTTTCTCCTTGCTCAACATTTTCCGGAGATCCCATAGCTTTGCTGTCTGGTCTTTGGCGTTGCTGAGAACGTATCTTCCGTCACCTTTGCTATCGACATACGTCAGACCTTCGGTGTGGCCGAGGAACACACCCGCTTCCCGTCCGTCGCCCATGCTTCTTCGGTCCCATACTTTGAGCGTGGTGTCATCCGAGCCGGAATATAATATGTGAGGTGATTGAGAGTCGCCGAAACAGACAGCGTTGACATCCTCGGAATGTCCAGGAATGCGGAGGATAGACTGCTGTCGCTCTATGTCGTAAACGTATACGGAACTATCGCCTGTCCCTGCCACGATCTCGCGGCCATCGCCTGAGAATCTTATTGACCAAATCTGTCACGTGTCAGCGTTAAAGGAAAGTATTTGGAAGTGTGAATATATACCCCAAAGAAACCTTGAGCTCTCCAACCACCTCTTTGGCGTGTGCCCAGATGTGCGAAATCTAGAAGTGTAGGTTCGGACTCTTGGTTTGGATCGGTCGCGGCTAAACACACAACACTGCGGATAGAGCTATAGGCTAAAAATTGGTTGTCCGGACTCAGTGAGGCATCAGTGATGGTCCATTGGCCGTAAGGATACACAACGGTCTAGAGGACTAGATTAGTCTGTGTGTTGGTGTGAAAACCGGCATTCCTCACCTTATAATACTTCCAGTCGTAAGGGTTTGAAGTGTCGTACATCCGCACCCTGAAGTCCTGGGCGCAGGAGAAGAAGAAGTTTCCGTCATTCGAGAACTGGCCAGAGTAGCAACGAGCGTTGTAGTTTATGATTATATCCGCCTTCGAGGATGGTATTAAGCCTTGGCTCATCTGATGATTGCTGTTGCTCTGTCGTCCGGTGCTTCCGAGGCCCAGTTCCCTTCGCATGATCCGGTACTGCAGTTTCTTCTTTCGTGTGATTGTGTCCTCCCGACGAGTGTTTGATCCAAAGTTTCCCGACTCCATAAGTGCCCTGCCTTCATCGCTCGGGACCTTCTGAAATGCTTTCCTCCCACGGCCCCGCCTCGCCCGCGGATTTACCCCTCCATATCCAGTATCAGGTTCACTATCATCATCTTCGTCTTCTATTCCTGAAAAGTGGCGGAGGCGAGATGGGTGGCCTCGGGCGAGAAGTCGGGTTAGACCGGCGTGGCCCAGTAATCGCATTAACTGCTCCTGTGTGACTGCATCCCCATTAGCCAGAGTAGCTAGCTGAGAGCTACTGAACAAGCTCGTACTGGTTATTGGCCGTGGCAGTCCGGTCACGACCGCTGGTGCTCTATCCTCATTTTCTTCTTCTTCTTCCTCATCGTCGTCGACTTCTCCCTCTTGCTCGTCCGTTTCGGTCATCTCGAACTCTATCTCTACGCCGCTAAGGTCTTCCGGAGCATCTGCAATAAACTGATTAGCAGCCAAATTCTTTTGAGAGAGCATTCCTATAAAGTTTCACGCAACGGGAATGCACCATGATAGTCCCCATCCTCATCATCTTCGTCGTCGCTACCTTGCGGGGCATAGACATAGTTCATGTCGTCATCTTCCTCATCGTCCTCCCAATCCGCAGCATGCGGATCGTATACTGCGACTCGAGGATCCTCTCGCTCGTTTGTGAAGTTGTTGCCCGTAGAGCTGGAGTGAGAGCCGCTCATTGTGGCTTTGAATTATGTGTACCGAAAGATGAAGGTTGGAGCTTGAGAGAAGGTGCTTTGGACGAGGGATGAACACTCCACACGCGTTTAGCGCGGATAAGTGCATTCGTTCGGCAAACATCCGGTTCGGATATACGCTTTATCTCCATCAAGTGGCGGCATCGACCTCATGTCCTCATCTTCCATTAACGGAGGCACTCGTACTCACCACAGCTCTAGAAACATTGATGCTTCTGCAATCTCACAAGCCTCCGAATAGAAACTATTTTGCATCGAGAAATGCCGGTTCGCTGCTAGGAGTTCGACTATTAGACCGAAGATTACAACCTAGTCCGAGGTCCCATTACGACCCAGCAATCACCATGTCCTGAACTCGACCAGCGATGGGCCCTGGCGATATCGTCTACGCCGGATACAACACGTACATTTTCACTGACTGAGTCCGTGGTGTATGGTACATATCCTGCCTCTCTAAGCTCGAGAAAATTGGTCTACGAAGTAGACCTGAGTAAGATAATTTGAATTGGGCGCCCTAGCTCACGTGGCCCGCAACACTACCACGAACGTCGCCTTCTCGCATGCTCCGTGCCTGCGGCCGTCAGATCTTCTTTTGCACCGCCTTTTCGTCTTGCCTGACGCCATAACGTTAAGTCCTGCCGACGTCTAACTAGTTGGACGACGTCTGGAGAAACGACAGGCTGCTTTTCGGTATCGGAACACCAACCACGAACGGTAGGACGCGGTGCTTCCAAGGTTTACAGATGTAGTCCTTGGAATTGCATAGGGCTCATCTTCGCAGTTATGCAGGTTTCCGAAGCATTCAACACGCGTCTTCGCGTACCTTAACCTATATAAGGAGCGTGAAGCCGGAGCAGACTGTGAGGGGAAGGGGTGCAGCGGCAAGGGCAGCATGAAGGCCTTGGAATGTAAGCCCAGGGCGTGAAGCCTACAGATTCCAGCTCAAATCTAACCCGATCCTATGCACGCACTTTTGCTTTATCTCTGCAGCTTCACGCTTTTGCGGCTTCGCACTCTGAGACTTCACCCCTTGCTGCTGCACGTCCTGAGGCTTCACGCTCTGAGGCTTCACGCTCTGAGGCTTCACCCCTAGCTGCTCTACACTGCTGCTGTAGCCTTCTGCTACCTCGGTCTCTCCGGCTCCACGCTCTAGCGCTTCACAATCTGCCACGGTCTACTCTGGCTTCACGCTCCTTATGTGGGGTAAAGTGCGTAAAGCGCCAACCTTGGAAGCACCGCGTCCCACCGTTCGTCGTGGTTGGTGTTCCGACATTAAAACGCAGCCTGTCTTCTCTTCATATATTGATGGCATGCATGAACTTCTTCGAACCCACATCCTGCTGAACACGTCACCAAGCCTGACAGGGACCTTCTAGAAGAGAATGACCTAGGGTGCTGGTTTAGCCTCCAGAAATTGGATGTCCCCTTGTTGGGCTGCACCGACCGATTGGTCCTAATCGGGCGCTTCGAGAGCTTGGAGGGTGATCGGGTTCAAACTGCATATCCCGGTGAGTAGATGGACCAACTAGGTTCTTAGCTCGACGGCCCGACCCGCTAATAAACTCCTTTACTACATTTAATCACACATGTCAAGATACGGGGTAACAGGTGAAGTGTCCTGTGCTTCCACGAATGCCAAACACGGATCCTGGTTGAAGCTGCCCCGCACCTCGCTGGCGCGGTCTTCTTACAAAGGTAGCTGCGGCGTGGTCGATCAGGGGAGCCTGGTGGGAAGAGGTAGGATTCTAGGCAGAAGGGCCGAATGCGCATAAAGGTCGCGAAGGTGGAGACTTTAGGGTTATTGGTTGTTGGAAAGGGAAGAAGGAGGAGGAGCAAGCGAAGGAGGAGGAGCAAGCGATGGACGACGCGAGATTTTTATACCCCGCGAAAGCGCCGGCCGGCCCGTGCGCGCGCCTTGCCCAATGCGGCGGTCGCCGTTTCCTAATAACGTACGGAGGTGCCTACAATACCAAAAGTTGTGGCCGCGCTAGTCGAGGCGCTAATCGACACCCCTGTTCGAGGTGTGCTCACGACTTATGCGCCATCAAAACATCAACAAAATCTGCCGAAAACTGCTCGGTTAGATATCCAAGATCGTACGGAAAATTCATGCCGAAATTTAAAATATTTCATCGTTGCAAAAGGGAGGTATCGTGAGACGAATATCATCGAGGACTTTGGTGTTCCTCGCGCTAGTACTAGCGCGGCCAAAACTTTTGGTAGGCACCTCCGTAGGTGATGGGGTTATTACGCACGAGGTAGTTATTGCGTTGGTCTAAGCTTCACACGTATTCCGAATCTGTGCACCCGCCAAGCTTTTTTTTAATGTTCGGAAGCGTAATAACTACCTCGTGCGTAATAATCCCATCACTTACGTTATAGGCTTACTATTTACTTTGGAGAGGGCTAATCGTACACCCCCTAACGAATAATCGTACACCCGCTAACGAATAATCGTACACCCGCTAACGAATAATCGTACACCCCCTTTCGAATAATCATACACCCCCTACTTTACCGCTTCTGATAGGCTCGGAGGTCCGGCAGGATGCCTCCGAACATTCACCCTTACGTCTATCTGCACGTGCATCTCTGCCGTATGTGAGCTCGTACGTAAGACTATACGTAAGGCTATACGAATCGACATGGCTATACAGCCTCTCCGTTTTACGGCGCATCCTTTCCAATTTGTATAGCCTCACGTACGGCCTTACATACGGCTATATAGCCTTTCCAATTTGTATAGCCTTACGTACAGCCTTACGTATGAGCTGTATATACAGTTGCATAAATCGGGCAGGATGCACTGTAAAATGGAGAGGCTGTATAGCTATGCTGATGTGTATAGCCTTACGTACGAGCTTATATATGAGGTCACATGCGGCCGTATATACAGCTACACAAATCAGATAGGCTGCGCTGGAGGCTACGTGGCCGCATTTGGAGACAGCATTCAGAATTAGTGAGCAAGTGAAGCGAGCCAATCGGAAGCTCTGGAGCAACCCTCTAAGCCAATCAGAAGGCGGTAAAGTAACAGGGGAGTAGGGGTGGTACAATTAGTCGTTAGGGGGTGTACGATTATTCGTTAGTGGGTGTACGACTATTCGTTAGGGGTATACGATTAGCCCTCCCCTTTACTTTATATAGCTAATTCTAAGAAAATAGATAATTATATACCCCCTTTCAAGTAATTATAGGGCGTTGCTTCTCCCACACCCCCTAATTCCTAGATGTACACCCCCTTTTCACTATACATACACCCCCTCCCCCCCTGTCGTTTCACCACCTTCTGATTGGCTCGGAGCACTACGCCGGAGCTCCGGGCATTCACCTATACATCGCGTGATGCTATACGCTAGGCTATACGAATCGGCGTGCAGCCTTTCCGATTCGTGCAGCCTCGCCGATTTGTATAGCCTCACGTACGAGCTCACGTACGAGCTCACGTACGGCTATACAAATCGGCGTGCAGCCTCGCCGATTCGTGTAGCCTCACCGATTCGTGTAGCCTCACCGATTCGTGTAGCCTCACGTACGAGCTCACGTAGTATAAGTATAAGTCTAAGTCTAAGTATAGATAGAAATTCTATTCTAGAAGTGCCTACGTGTCTACAAGCATGCCAAACCTGTTAAAACCTCACCTTATTACGGCTCCTTTGCATCGAGCCTAGCCCTCTCGCATCACCGCCTCCGCCTGCTCAATATCTCGGTTAATTTCCGCCTTAATATCTTTATCATACGTCGCAAGCTGACGTAGAAGCTCCTCTCGGCTAAGCCTCTGTGCCTGAGGATGAGGCTGAGGCTGAGGCTAAGGCGTAGGCTGAGGCGTAGGCTGAGTACTATCTTGCCTCTGAGCTCGTGCCTTTTTCCGTGGTACCTTATCCTTTGCACCCGGCGGCCGGCCGCGCTTCTTAGCTGTATGCGCTGCTGTATGCGCTGCTGTATGCGCTGCTATATTGTGGACGGAGAAGAAGAGGATGTAATCGATTGTGATCAAGGCCGCATTTGGAGAGAGCATTCGGAATTAGTGAGCAAGTTAAGCGAGCGAATTGGAGGCTGCGGAGTAGCCCTCCGAGCCAATTAGAAGGAGGTGAAGCGACAAGGGGAGGAGGGGGTGTACGCGCAGTGAAAAGGGGTGTACGTGTAGGAATTAGGGGGTGTGGTATTAGCAGCGCCCTAATTATATACCTTTTACCCCTCTATTACTTTAAATTATAATTTTATACTTATTATACTTAAATAGTAGAAATAAGCTAGGTATTCTACTATAACTTATATATTATTATTATTAAATTCTATTACGCTGGTGTAGCTCCCGTTAGGGTCCATGCAGCTGTTCTATCTAGGCTAGTTTACAAGGAGAAACCGTTTGCTGCCATGCAGCGTTCGGATGAAAACCCCGTCCTCTGCGGTGTATAGCGCTGAGCGCTCTTCTCGTTGTTGTATAGCTATTGGGGACACGTGGTAGATCTATCAAGTCCACCACGGAATAAGCCATCGTGATGCGTCTTCCTAAATCTGTCCGGGTTTTGCAGTCCAGGCATATTATATCTAGCTAGCTAAATATATAGCAAGTTGCAAACATGAAGCTACCTGCCTAGCTTCCTTGCCACAGTTTTCCACACGGAGTGCTTCCACGGTGTCCGGCCCAGATTAAACCATCTCCCGCCTGCATATACCTGATTTGCTCCTTAAGCCTATCTTGCAGCTTGCCTCTGCCTCTTAATAGACCGACACGCGCATCCGTCCTTTCGGGCTATATAGACAGTGTCACCAGCGAGGTGTTGATCCTCCTCCCTATGCGATGGCCGCTAGTGAAACGGGAAGGCCGCAAAGAATGTGCATACTTCCCGTTCTGCAGAGGTGCTGTATAGGCCTAGCCCGCGCAGCCGTGTAAAACGGGAAGTATGCACGCATACTCCCTACCACGTCCTCGCCATGTAGAGGCACTGTACAAGCCGGAGCTTGTACAGCCGTGCACGAGAGGACCAAAATAGGAAGAATGCATGCATACTCTGCATACTTCCCATTCCACCAGCGCCCATCATGAGTCCACCAGGCATCCGTGAAGGCCTGGAGCTGACTGTCGCTGCCATTATATACCACGCCCCACGGCCGCCAGCCCGGGCACTGGCAGCCCCTTCGCGTTACCTGTGACGTTCTCACGACGACAGGCCGACTGTGTCTTGCAGACAAAAGGTCACTACAATAACTCGACGCCGCGCAGCTATTGCCCCTTGTTGTCCACTAACCAAACCGCCACTGTCCTTGCTCTTACTTCCCTGGTCCTCCTGGTTCCGGTATTATCGGGTTGCAGACACAAGGGCTTCCAACGTGGCCGGTACAGAGGTGTCCTATCATCCTATTAGAATAAAGACCTATCGCTTTGCCAGCAGATGCAGGCACTGGGTGTGGCCCTAGGTTGGTATCCTAGGTAATAGGATGTCGGATGGTTATGGACGATAACCCTCTGTTTGTCTTCCTGTTGTCTGTGGGTATCGAGTTTGGTGGTGGCAAGCCGCCAAGACCCGTGAAAACTCTGCCATTCTGGCGGCGTTGAGGACGACGTTTCCAAAGACGACCTCTAGCCACGACGCAACGCCGCTGCACCAGTAATGAACGTGATTCTCACTCTCGTACGGGCCTTGCGGTTCGAACGAGACGGAAAGGAACGCCCGTACGACAATACGGGTCGAATCACGATTTTGGTGTTCCTTTTAGATAAAGATATTTATTATAAAGTTATTATTACCTAATTAATATATCCCTTAAGCCTAATAACGTTGTACCCCTTTATATACCCTATAAAATATTAGTCCTATTTTTATTAGACCTACCTATTAAGAACTTATAATATAAGGAAGGGAGAGTAGTAGTAATACTATAAGTTGCTTTATAAGCACTTCTAAGTTCTTGTATAAAGGTAATAAAATTCTGTGTATCTGTTGCTGTTTTATTTCTATCTATTGCAGCAGGGTACTCCTAGTTAATATTAATGCTATTAAAGGCGTATATCTAAGATGTTATTATTGTTAGGAAAGTCCTTTGCGCCGCTGTATAGTTTACTTACGCTTATAAAAGCTAAGGCTAACTGAATGAAAGTTGCTTTTGAAGAGGCCGAGGAGACTATACAAGAAAAACCGGCACCTCCTGCAGCCTCACCGCCGACAGCAATGTAAACTTTTAACCCGCTGTTCATCTTTTTTAAGGCAGTGACTCGGGGGTAGAGGTCGGCGTTATAGGAATTCATAGACGAGATGCAGTTGTCAGATCCAACCAATGCAAATGCATAATTGATACGAGTCCACAAAGATGCGTCGATATCTTCGGGCGTCCACTTGTCGCAAGAACGCTCCATCGCCCAACTTTCGTAGTATCCAATGGTTCTTTGATCGCCGGAAGAACCTCCGCAACTCCTTTGATTCCGAATCAGTCTTGGTGCTTCTCCATGCGCTGTTTTCACCTACGGTTCGGAAACTTGGTCGCAGCCGGACTGACATGTGCTATCACAAAATGTGCTTGTCGTTCCACACTGATCCCCTTAAATTAGCCCGAATAAATGTTGACTAGTGATTGTTGTCCTTACATAGCCATACTGGCTGTGGCCACGAAACTTGATAGCCGTCAGCTCAGGTTTTACAAGGAACCAGTCGGCTATAGCTCAAAGATGACTGCTATAACACTGTTCGGAATGGTCAAGGGCTTACATGTGTCAGTTGCTTGAAAGCTGTCAGCTTAATCTTAGCAGCTCCGATCAAAGATGTTTGATGCTCAATCCTGACTCTAGATATGCCTAGTCATCAAGCGATAAACAGCAGAGTGAGAGCATGACGCTCTTGCTTAACCGTAACAGTATTAAAGAACTTTGCAGCACTTCTCACGGACTCAGGTTGAAATTGATGTGAACTCTGTTGTATTATAGATGCCGTAAAGGCGGACTATATAGAGGAACGAGATGAACTATCCCTTAGGGCGCTCCCTTGGTCGCTCCCTTGGTAGCAAGGAAGACGCCAAGGAAGGCGCCACTTTCCTTGCTGTCAAGATAGCAAGGAAGCACCACAACTCCGTAAGGAAGAGAGAGAGAGAGTAAGGGATACCTAGTGAACCGTATGAGTTGCTGATCCTAGGTTGCTGCAACCCGAGTCACGGCGTCAAAAGGGAATATCACCATTTTGTGGTCGAGCTCACCTTTGTGGTGAAATTTACCCAACCGATAAACAGAGAGCGTGAAGCCAACCTCTCGACAACCCTTGCGAAATACAAAGACATGGCTGAAGATACGGGGTTCGGGGGCTTGCCCCTGAAAGTGCGAAGAGAGGGAGCATTTTCGAAGTGAGACGTGCGGCTGGGATAATGCTGACTAAGCGCGATGAGAACTGCACCAGCTGCACCAGCTGAGGATCCGTGGGATCTTAGGCTAGCCTTGGCATTTACCCAGCGTGTGGCTTTTGACGCTGACAAATCGCGAGATGAAAGGACGGCCTAGATTCAAAATTTCCCGAAAGGAACGGAATGCTAACTCAACGCACACTGCAGATCGGTTACTGTGGACGCCCCCAGAACGGACCTCTACCCACTGGACAATGCGATTCGTCGCGTGACAAGGTGGCCTCGTTATTTTTGTCAGTGGCCATGTCACTCGGCCCACACAATTGGTCTATTTTGGTTGACTACCCCCTCCTTTTCAATTGCCACCTAGACCTCGCACGACATCTATCAGGATCTCACTTATGGCCCATAAGATGAGATGAACCACTCGGTTCTTCTTTTCTACCTTTATGATCCCGAATAATCGCCACGCATCTCATTTTTGATTCACAAGAGAACACATCAGTGTCATGGACTCAGAGGAAGTCCCTCGCCTATGTCTTGTGCTTGATTCTACAGCCAAGAATCCCGACGCTGAGAATACAGTCTGGAATCCTGCAGACACTTTATGCGGACACTTAACGCTATCAACCAATAACGAACTCGTCATTAGTACGATGACGATATACTTTGAAGGTTGGATGCAAACCATATCGTGAATAGCTACTAAGAAGTCATAGGTGTCTCACGCCACTGGATAACCGAGCTAGCACCAGGGGGATTGGATCTTACAATCTTGAAGGCAGAGCGTAAAGTAAGTTACATCAGTGTGCACACGAAGAATTTGTTGGCACAATTGCTCTCTGTGTCTTTGGAAGCTAGGTATACTAACAGGCCAACTCCCAAGTTCCACAGTCAGGCTCAGGACATCCTGCCGACAGAGATATTTCGAAAAGACTCGCCACCTGAACACTTCATATACGAAGCACCCTTTCACTTCCTCATCTCTAGTATGCTTGCAAAACCTGATCCAGATTCACCACAACAGTGCTAGGAGGTCTGTATATTGACGAATCCACGGGGAAGCGATTTGCGCAGCCATGTATTATGTACTTCTTGCGAGCCTCTGTGAGTGTCAATGCAGGAAGAGACAGTGATAGCAAGTCTCTGGAGACGTCTCTACCTGTTGTCATCACACCTCACACCCAAGGATTCCCCTCTACCGAAACAAAAGACTTCCCTTCAGAATTCAAAGAAAAAGAATCGAAAGTCTTACGGCGGACCTTGTTCGGCAGTACGCTTGGAACAATGAAAGCCTCGATACATGAACCACCACCGCTCACCTATAGCATCGGGTCGGCACGGACGAGTACAAAAGCAGTCCTAAATCTTGAGTTTGAGTCGGTAAGCTCATGTGATCAATATCAGAAACTGCAAGACTTGAGCTTTACAATCCTTTCCTTGATAAGGACGAAGACATTCTATTCGATAAAGTCTTTCCCAAGGCTACCAAGTCAAAGCCTGTTGAGTCTTCGGGGTACGACAAGGCTCCGAGATGATATTCTCAAACTTGAGACACGAACTGTTCGAAATACATCGTGGGGATACGTGTACAATGTGGAGAGTCAAACTAAAGGTATCTGCTCTCGCCCTACTGCCCAGGACGTCATATCTAGTGGAAAGCTTGTTGATAGAGGTTTCTTTAAGGGGCAACGCACTCGTCGATTATCAGTCCGCCCGGAGGAGAGTGGATGACTGTCCTAGACATTCCCATAGAAGTTGATACCCGCCTCATACCTACCTTTTGCAGTTCAATCGTCGCGCGTCTGTACACCGTAATCCTTCGAGTTAAGGTTAGGGGTGTTAGACAGGAGTCTTTTGATCTTGAAGTCCCCTTACAAGTTATACACTCATCTCCCGACCGGCCCCTGTCCGCCAACCTGGAGCCTATGAGAGAAGATCAACGATTCGTGGCATTTCACCGAGCCTCGGCGACCTCGTGGTTTAGTGACGAGTCGCTGGCAAGGAATCCTTCTTCAATGATTAGAGCGAGCTGGCTAATTAGTTTTTAGGAATCGGAGGACGAGCCACCGCATTACTACCCATAAGAAATACGGGTTTGACAAGAGGGAAACGGGCTGGAAGGCAGGTGAACAACCTAGGAACAATTGCCCTTCTTGGTAGGATTGGCTACGGTGTCACGGTTGCATTGTATGGATTAATGGCACATACGAGCATGTATGTTGAGATCAATATCTCTCTCGCCGTTGATGTCACGGGCCAAGTCTTTGTGCAAAGAAACTGTGGTGTGTATTTGACTAAGTAAGAATTCTCTGAAGAGAGAAGAAAAGAAAAGAGAATGAAAAACGTGTTCCTAAGAGCTGTCCAAACTCCCTCTCTCTCACGTGCTGTTGCCCTAGCAAATAAAGGGGGCGAAGGCCTTAGGCCAAGCACAAGATCGGGTCTCAACCCGCTACAGTTGACCTTGTCCTACACTCCTGCAATCTGTACTAAACCCAGCTCAACGCATTTTGAAAGACATTAGAGATACTAGATCACAGGCTGATCCGATTGATTCGCCGCGGATTCCTTGCCATTCGAGACGTTCTCCATCACGACCCCATCAAGCTCATCGTCTCCATGATACGTCTGTGCTAGCTCTTCCAATGAGCGGCGTTTTGTTTCAGGGATAAGTAGTGTGGTGGCGACTCCGCATACCATGAAGGCAGCGAAAATTTCCATTACATGGTTCAAACCGATTGTTTTCGCAAGAGGTCCGAGGAGAGCTTGAGCGATAACCGCTCCAACCTTGCCTGCGCCCGCAGAGATCCCATGGGCTGTTGATCGGAATCGGGTAGGGAAGACTTCTCCAGGGACTTTTGACTTTTGTCAGTGTTGCATTCGGGAGAGATTGGTACGTGGTACCGGAAGAGGGCACTTACCTATAAATGTAGTAGAATTGGCACCAAAGTTCGAGAAGAATTGGCACAACACATACAAGGCAAACAGGCCATGCGGTGACAGATGATGGTAGCCGAATCCGATCACGCAGAATAGCACCGTAAGGATGATGAAACTGGCCATCTGAATAGGCTTGCGGCCAAGAGTGTCGACTGTTGCCACGCTCACCCAATAGCCAGGGATGTTGCCAGCTACAGACAAGATCAAGTTGCCCACGGCGACATTGTACAAGCTGTAGTATACATTGGTCGATCCGGCGTACCCGATAGCGCGAAGAATCGAGGAGTTGTTGAGACCTAAACCCCAAAAGGCGATGTCTATGAAGAACCACGAGCCTGCTGTACCGAGGAGGATCTTCCCGTATCGCCATTGCTTGAAGTGGAGCCAAAATTGCTTCCACGTAGCTTTCGGGCCCGCAGCTTTTTGCCGGGCGGCAACGACTACAAAATGTTCGTCGCTAACTGCAACAGCTGGATTCTTCCGCATCAAGTACACATCTGTATCGGCCTTGGCGTTCTCGAGATCCAGAGCCATATCCATTGTATACCGAGGTGTTTCGGGGATTGTGAGGCGGAAGTACAGGGCGCACAGTGCTGGGAAGACACCAAAAGCGACAATGGTTCTCCACATCTTGTCGGCTGCTACCTGACACGTTGTGTCGCAATGCGCGGGGTTGCTTGCTTGGACGAGTGACCCTTTAAATGCCACCACGCAGATGAACGAGACCATTGCGGCCGCGAAATTTCCGAAACCTTGCCTGAGTTCTGCCATTAGCCTAGTACCAGGAGGAATGAGGAGGCTTCACATACATCGCGAAGACAGAGTTCATCAGCGCGCCGCGCCACTTGACAGTAGCGAATTCGGATGTGATCACAGAGGATAAAGGGTGATCCCCTCCAACGCCAACTCCCATGAATACACGCCAAGAGATCAATGGTCCCAGCAAGTTAAGCCCAGGCCCAGAGCCACTTATCGCCTGTCCAAAGCTCCCCACGATAATGATGATCAGCTCTATGCCATACATCCGCTTCCTGCCCAACTTATCCGCAAGCCATCCGAAGAAGACCTGGCCAAGAACAGCACCGGCAGTGGTAGACAATTTGATTGCTGTATCCACTGAAGTCCGTATAACATGTGACTGGTAGAAAGCTAGACCGATCATAGTTGTGATGAAGTTTGCGCTGAACAAGTCGTATGCATCAGTGAAAAATCCAGTTCCGGCAACGACAACAGCTCTGAGGTGGGAAAACCCTAGAGGTGCATTGTCAATCTCTGCTAAAGCGATTCTCCGAAGAGCGTGCTTATCAGACGACGTGACAACTTGTTGGAGACCGTTCTCCATGATTTCGTCTGGGAGGGCTGATGGCACTTCTGAGTCAACGAAAGCCATGATGAAAGGCTGTTTGTCAGGTGTAAGGTACAATCAGGATTGACAGGAAGAATCAAGGAGCATTTATATACTGGAACAGAAACAGGAAGAGACGGTGCACTCCAGAACAATGTATCCACGGGGTCCTTCTATCGTCTATCATTTGTTCGGTCAGTCCAGATCAGTCCTTCCCTCTAAGAAAAGAAAAAGAAAGACAAGAGAAAGATTCCATGGCCAAGTTCAGCCATTCGGAACGTACTGTTGTCACTGCTCACAGATCATTGGCTAGAAAGGTCCCATGGCGTCTGGTCTACTGTATTTATAAGGCTCAAGTGGCTTGTCGTACCCTGTTCTCAGTCGTGCCAGCATGTTGCAGATCCCAAGTGAGAACCTTCAGCTTTGGGTCGACCTGCTATCAAGTGCAAAAAGTCCTTTGGAGTGATGTCTGGGAGATTGATTGGCCTATTAGCAATTTGAACCGCTTTCCAGAGAAGTGAGAGCGCCATGGTGACAGGCCATATCATGAATACTAATAAGGCTGAGCTATCAGACAACGTGCTCCTTCAAAAATTCATTTGGCCGAGACCCTTTGCTCCGTTGTTGATTGATAATAGGGATGTTCTTCCTCTCTGCTCGCGTGACAGCCATGACTTGGGAATAGGGGGGTCCGTCGTCTTCCATGTCACTCTCGTGAGGTGATTGGGTTTTCGGTTCCTAAGCGGGAATGTCACTGTAGTGTGCTGATTGGCTTATCGTTTTTCGAGGAATGGATGTCACTTCAGCCCCAATCTGCACAGACCTCACAGTGACATGCGCCGAACAGCGGCCTATTGGTAAGGCTGTTTGCTGGGCAAAATGGCCAGGAAAGTAGAACTGCGAGCCGGCGACTGAGGTTTTTTGGCCCATGCCTAAGTTATCCGGTACAAATAAAAGGTATGTGATTGCTTCTCTGCTATCACTGCAATTGTCATATCTATTGTTCCAAGAACTAGAAGCGTCCGTTGCGTGGAATTTCAAAATGTCTCTCAATAGCAGAGTGAGCAAGAATGCTGGACGAGTACGAACTACCCATTCATCGAAACCAATACTCTCAGGGAGCACTATTCATAAAAGAGGTAAGTATTACCTATACTTTGTTCATAGTATTCCAAACAAATGACTAATACGCTTTATAGTCTTTGATCCCGAAAGACGGTCCGAATTATTACTATCGAAGTCCAACTATCAGCTTCTTATGGAGGGAGAGTCTTCTCAGGCCGGGATCTCCTTCCCGCCGAGTATATTAGAGACCCTTTCTTCAAAGCGCACCAGACATACGATCGCTGAACGAGGCCGCAGAAGCAATATGAATGAGGCTTTACAAGAGCTCGCTACTCTCTTGTCGCAAGATTGTTGCGACGAAGCGGCCCGAAATACTTTCGCAGTCAGCAACGGTGGCAAATACGACAAAGCTCAGACCATGACCAAAGCTTGCACGGTGGAGCTAGCGATCGAGTACATTAAGTGTTTGCAGAAGGAAGTAGCTGGAGCAAAGCGCAGTATCTCCAGCAAGGACAGCAGTGCCAGCAGCGAAGCCGTCACTAAGGTTCAGCTATCAGTATAGTCCTCCGCATTATTCCAAGATGTCCTTTTCCAACTCGCCATCGATGGACATATCGTGGACTGAGTGCGACGGCTGGGACACTAGGATCTGTTAATGTTCAAACATTCCTCGCGTTTGCACGGGTCAACCACATGTCATTTAGCAATCCAGGGTCGAATTGGTGCGCCGTGTTCTACAATGCTACCTTATATTGCTCCTGTTCCCCTATTGCCTCATCATCTCTGTGCTTCCTTACCCATCACCAGCCAAATAAATCGTCGCTCGAGTTTAAGCCTGTATTGAGTTTTTCCGGGCTCACGTTCTTCTGCACACCGTGGTATACTCTTAGATTTTCGAAATGAATTTGTGAATTAAAAACCCACGCCAGAGCTAACGTCACTAGAATAAAGTTGTATGGAACCTACACCACCTGCAGCGAAGCATTTGATGTTTCCTTGGGGTCGATTCTGCCTATTAATTCCCCTTCCGCCTCAATCTAACCTTCGCCCTCTCTGCATCGATTCTCTCCGTCAAAACCTCGAGCGTCTTGCTCGACAACCTTAGGCGCCTCCCCCTTCTTAGCTCTTGCACCTCAGGGATCCACGCCCAGGCAATTATAGCACCGCAGAACATGAAAGCAGAGAAGACAATCAGCATCACGCGTAAGCTCAAGGTGCTTAGGTTGCCAATGCTGGTATAAGATGTGACTATGTGAATGATAAGGGTGCCGAATGTGCCGAATGAGGCAGAAATGCTGTAGCAGGTGCTTCGATGGCGCGTAGGGAAGATTTCCGCAGAAATCTAGGAAGAAGAATTAGCGACGGGTTGAGGGATGAGCAGGCGGGTAATATAAAGGTCTAGATTAAATGCAACTTACGATGAAGGTCAACGCATTTGGTCCTGCAAGGGGTTAAATTCAGCGATTGCGTAGGAAGGGAGGGGAGGCCAAGAAAGGCTTACTAAGATTGGACAGTATCTGTGTGAGAATACAGAGCGTGATGTTCAAGGCCTGGAGATTTATATGAGAAGTATTGAAGAGACAGCCACCTGCAATTGTAAACAAGAATGCTAGACCAAGGAAACACCAAAAAAGGAGTTTCCTTCGAGAAATGTAATCAATACTCATAATGAGAACAATGCTTCCCACTAAAGACCCAGCAGATACCGCAATAATTGAATGAATAGAGCCTTGCGTGAAAATTTGATATATCGATATGTCTGATTGTAATGGATCTTCCCAGTCTAGCAATGAGAAGTAGAGTTTGTGAGAGGCAGAGGGCTCCAAACCCGAGCTAGTACCTGGGGATTATTGACTCCAAGACCAGAATAGACAGTTTCGAACAAGAGGGAGCATGCAGAAGTTCCTGCTAGATATCGCCAATTTCCTTGGGCCGAAAAGTATTTCTTTACGCAAGAGTGCAGAGACGGCTGCACTAGCTGCTCAGAAGGCAACCTATTGTTGTTTATATCGAAAGTGAACCGAGGCGATTCGGATATTGTGAAACGGAGGATAAGGGCGATGAATGCCAGAAGAGAACCCATACCAATAACGAACCGCCACATGCTGTCTAAAGTAGTCCTCGCTGTTTCTTGATTCGTTTCCAGCGCGAGACCACGGGATTTACCAAGCGTCTCGAGGATAAGCAAGCTCATCGCAGACGCCGTAAGTCGGCCCAAGGGCTGCATCAGAAAGACGCCGGCCATCATTCGAGCCCGGGATTGGACCGGCGCAAATCTGAACCGGGAGTAATTAGAGCACGTATACGATGATTGATTGACTTCTATAGGAGAAGTGGGAGAGCAGTAAGTTACGGGAGAGTCGGGCATAGTCAGCAGTAATTACAGCACTTAATGTACGGCCAGCGCCCGTCCCTACTCCAACGAAGAAGGACCAGAAACAGATCCAGCCCGTGATTGACATGGAATTAGCGGCACCTGTTGAGCTCTGAGCCAGAAGAAGTGGCGCGGAAATGACCAGCATGAAATCCCAACTATATGCCTCCAATCGGCCAGAACTATCAGCCAAAATGCCAAAGAGTAGCTGGCCAAATATAGTGCCAATTAGTAGAACCGTATGAACCGTCAATTCATCGCGGTTGCTGAAGACCCCGTTGCTCTGATAGATGAAAGCTATCCAGGGAAGCACTGTTTGTATTGAGAAGAGGCAGTAGGAATCAGCGAAGAATCCAAAACCTGCAACAGCCCAGATGCGCCAGCTAAAGCCATGGCCGTCGATCTCTTTGTAGCTTTGGAATTGTCCTCCCTCTTGGACCTGAAGTATAGTTAACGTTCTGTTATCCTTTCTCAATATCAAACGCACTTACTGGTAGATGTGGGATTTCATTTGCCGGGTTGTTGCGGGCAGACATTGCTGATTGTGATGATTTCTTCGCAGGTAATAGAAGAATAGATGTTGAAAATTAAAGGCTAAGGATGGTATATAAAAGATGTATGACCGTAGCCTGATTACTTTGGCAAAAATGCCTGAGTATCAGCCATGGCAGGCATTGCCTAGAAAGCCTGATGAGGCTCTCAAAAGTCTCTTCGACCTTGGATAACAGCACAAGACGTGAACGACTCACAATTCGAGGATTTCCCACGTGGTCCGACTCTGGCTCGAAAAGAACTCATTTGAGCATTTCTGCAATTAGTTCGATGGCGTTCCAATGTGTCGTCCTGGTGCTGAACTGGGGGCCTGCGTCCTGCTGGAATTGTGGGAGGAGGTGCGAATCTGTTAGCTGGTCAATCAACCAGCAGTAGTGACATTCTGCAAGCCACCCAATCAATCAGCAGTAGTGACATTCTTGCAAGCCACAGCCGAGAACTCAGGGGGCGCAAGCGACTTCATCGAGTCCAACATGCACCCCACTACTCCACGGGCTAGCAGAAAGAATGTCACAGGAAAACCAGGCTTGCCATCGGCCACCTTCCTCTTCTACCTCCGACGTCCACGTGTTGACGATGAGCTCGTGAATTGGCCTGAATGCCTTGATGTTTTGTGAACGCGAAACGTTGCTGCAGAGGAGTTGCATTTCTTCATCGTCAAATATCATCATGAATCGCTCTCTTGTTTCTCTTTCCCTTCTGATGGGGTTTCACCCACACACACAGACGTCAAGCCATCAGTACTGTTCCTGTCAGAAGTTGCTCAAAGCAAGTCGTCAATTCTTACCATCGAGGGTTCCCGATGTGGCCTGACACGGAGCCTGAGCCGGGGATGGAAAGCGTCAGCGCAGCTCGCACACCCGGCGGCAATGTACCAAGGGACTGTCGCTGGAGGTGCTGGCCGGTGAGCAGGCGCCACATGCGAGGCACGGGACGAGTGGTGGAGGAGTGCTCTCTGCGTTGGGTCTGCATGTGCATCGCCGGGGCAAGAATGAGAGTGGGAAGCACCAGATAATGAGCGAGGGCCGCCATGGTGGGGGACGAGGCGACCAGGGTCACATGGTGCACGTGGTTGGGGACAAAGATTACTCGGTGCATGCCTCCAATGCCTCGAGCGGAGGTGGGACATTGCGCAGCTATGGGCAGAATGAGGACGCCAACAACTATGTTCAGCAATGGGCTGAAAGTATGCCATTGCAAGATGTAGGAAAGCTGCTTTCGGCGCTGAAATGATTCTTTCTGTTCTGGAGTTAGGAGATTCAGGGATCGTCAGAGCTGGCGTTACTTTTTCAAGACCCGATGCATTTATAGTATGAGAAATCATTTAACCTCACATCAACTTCAAGTGATCAGGCGCTCCAAACAAAAATCCCCCAAAACATGTTACTCATCCGTAGCGGGGCGGCCGAAAACGTACAACAGCTGGCGTCTGACGACATCTTTGAGAAACTCTTGCACCTGATGAAACCTTTACCCATTACCGAACCTTTGCGCCTGCCCTGTACTCCCTGTACGCCTAGATTCCAAGCTAATCTTTTTGATCAGATTTCGGGGATCAATCACGGGTAGTATTGCGGTGGGTCTTGCTCAGATTCCTAAAGTTGATCAGCCACCGTCCCCCATTGTAGCATTAAAGCGTCTTACCAGTGAATCATCGCTAAACCAGGACGACTCTGAAGCTCTCCGATACTCCAAGAATCGCTCTCTGACGGGCTCCACCGTGGGAGAATCAGGATTGCTTGGAGGAGTATGTATGACCTGGAGAGGCACTTCAAGATCAAACCTTTCTTGCCGGGCTCCGGCGACTTTGACTCGAACAATGAGGGTGTAGAAACGCGCGACTAATGAACTGCAGAAGCTAGGTAGGAGGCGCCCATTGACCTCGATGGGGACGGTCCAATTGGAAATCCATTTTCCACTCGGCTCACTTGTCATCGATACTTGTCCGTTGCCGTTCTCTGAGGCTACCTTGTTCGAAATGGAGAGACCGAGCTGGGAAGCCAGGCTTGCATCGGTTTGACTGTCTAAGCTGAACCTGTATCCCCATGAAGCGTCTCGAACATACTGCGTCTCCAGCTTTATGATGCCGTCGCGAAGCCTCATCTCACTAAAAGATTCCAGCAAGGTTTGACTTGGTAACCTTGGGAAGGACTTTACCGAGTAGAATGTCTTGACTCTGACCAAGGAAAAAACTGTGAAGCTTAATCCTTGGAGGCTCTTTGGTATGTCATTTGAGCTGGTGCTCGTCGACTGGAACTCTAGCGTCATGAGAGCCGCCGTACTACTGCCAGTAGATGAGGTTTTGTAGACGAGAGCTGGTGGTTCTTGCAACGAGACATTCATCGTTCCCAGCGTACCTCCTATAAGCGATCGCCGCAACACTTTCGATTCTCGTTCCTTGAACTCCATGGGGAAATCATCTGTTTCTGTTGGGGGAAGCTCCTCGGTGTACGGCGCGATAGTTATAGGGAGAAACGTCTCCAGTGACTTGCAATCTTGGTGGTCCTCAGTGGTGAAGCTCACAGTGGCTCGTAAGAAGTATATAATACGGGGCTGGGCGAATCGCATCCCCGTACATTGGTCGACAAACTCCTCTCCCGAATTGAGTGATGGAGGCAGTTGCAAGCATTGTTCTGGTGAATCGGGATTAGTGCACGGGATCGCTCTAGAGATGATAAAGTGAAACGGTGCTTCGAAAACAAACGCCCCGGGCGACGAGTCCTTTCGAGATATGTTGCTGCGCAAGATATCATGGGCTTGACTGAGAAACTGGAAGAGTGATCCGTCAGCCTACCCAGTTTCTAAATTGAGGGAAGGGGGAGAACGGGCTGGTTGAGGAGGGCATCGTGTAAGCATCGTGTAAGCATCGTGTAAGCATTGCATTGACATACCTTGCGCTCCGCCTTGAGGACTCGATGAATGCGTACGTTCGTTTCATTTATCCAGTTGCGGGAGACGCCTAAGCAACCTTTTAGCGGCCATCCATGATGTTTCTATTGGTGCCTGCATCTCACCTTCAAAGTAGATTGTGATGCCATCAATGCCAAGATCTTCCGTACTCGACAACTCGAGGTGGCCATGCAGCTCGTCTTCGGGGTTCCAGACTGTGGCTGTGGTCGCAGCATCGGGATTTTTAGTCGTGTGGTCAAGAATGAGGCGCAGACGAGGAGTTGGGTCTGGATCCATGATTGTAGGCGTTGTGGAAGAGAGGCGCTGGTTCGTTGTAAGATGCTCTACGCGGCAGAATATTACGCAGAACAGATTGGGGAATGAGAAGGCGAGATGATGGAATATTTAGAAAAATTCCCCACGTTTGCTTCGACCACATGTTCGTAGTATTTCTGAAGAGGCGAGTTGATTAAGGAATTGGGATCTCGCTTCACACCCCCCTTTTTACTTTTGGCCAATGGGGTAAGTCGAGTGACATACCAAAAGCCAAAGGGTTTTGGGCTTTGGGCGTTGTGTGGCACATCCAACGGCCAATTCACGTCCATTATCTCCATGCGGATGACCTTGACGGTGACATTATGGTTCGTTTTTGACTTGGGCGGACCTCAGCCTCGCTTTCCTCCTGTAAGCACGCCCGAATCCTGACTGACCTCCATGCAGCAATCTTAGCGAAAGAGCTCTCAAATTCCCACAACATGGTTGCCTGCATGAATACCTGCAGAATGGGACATGACCATTCCTTCTGTGGAACTTGAGTAGTGAATGGGACTTGTTTTTCTTCAACCCAGATATGCTGAAGACCATCTGACAGGAAGAGTTCTCACTTTCAAGGGTATGCAAAAACAATTATAGTTCCTCATTACGCCTAGAACCCAAAAGCAGACCCCATCGAAACTCTCACGTCGTCTTCTCCTTCGAGAGGACAAAGTCAGTCCAGCGGACCATCTCGACGCACCTCGACCACCAAAACCCCAACTGGCTTCCCGGCCATACAAGATGATTCTTCCCCGTCCGCTTATCAATATACCAAGTGCTGATATCAGACGTATACACCAGCCCCTTCATCCTGCGCTCTACGAATTTGTTGAAACCATCCTCTGCTTCTTTCTTTACTTCAATCTTGGACGCGCTTGGCTGATTGGACAGCACTTTTGACCCAAGCAAAGGCTCAAGCAGGCGCAGGATGTATGTTACAGAGTGCTCGATGCCAAGAAGCGTTGAATGTCCCGACGGAAGCGTGTTCGGACCTGTAAGCAGAAAGAGATTCCGAAACCCAGACACCATTACTCTTCGCCCCATTAGTATTCTGCCGTTGACTTTTTGTAGGGACGAATGTCGAAGGGTTCAAGGTACGTACCCCATATATGCCCTCGCCCCATCAGGCCCGCGCTCCCATATATCCCTGAGATTGAGTCCGTTTAGGCCCGTGATTTGCATTAGGGTGAGAAGCTGCGCTGTCTTGAATCCATTAGCTAGAATAATAATGTCCGCAGGATATGCAACGCCGCTTTCGTCTGCAATTTGGTTCGCACTGATAATTCTTAGACTCTTGGATTTGATCAACTTCGCTTTGGGATCATGAAGTGAAGCAAGATATCCGTGGTCTAATATGGCATGCTTGGCGCCGAATGCGTAAGAAGGGACAAGGATAGAACGGTATTGACTCGGGGCGGTCTTCTCTATATAGGAAACAAGTGACGCCTCCAGCCTCCCTCTGACGTGGCAGCCTAAGAAACTGTCTTTGAAAGCGACGAAGGCGAGATCAAGCTTCATAGCTAGCCACCAGCGAGATAGTCGATTTGTGAACGGGATGTTTCTCAAAACCCTGCAGTGTTAGGTTAGAAAAGATCACTCGTGAGCAAGGAGAGTGGCATTAAGTGAAAGTACTTACCATTTCTGTACCTTCTCAATTCGTTGAGTTTCCTTAGGAGCGATCCATTGTGCGCTTCGGACGACCTGGACCAGGTTCCTCAGACCGGTGTTCTTGAGTAACTCGGGTTGCAGCAACCTAGGATCAACAACTCATACGGTTCACCTGCGTGCACACCACCCCCCTAGGTATCCGTTACTCTCCCTTTCTCTTCCTTACGGAGTTGTAGCGCTTCCTTGCTGTCAAGAGAAGGGAGTGCCTTTCCTTAGCGCCTTCCTTGCTGCCAAGGGAACGATCAAGGGAGCGCCCTAAGGGATAGTTCATCTCGTTCCTCTATATAGTCCGCCTTTACGGCATCTACAATACAACAGAGTTCACATCAATTTCAACCTGAGTGAGTAGCCACGGGACGAACTGGTTTGCTGAAGCACCGTTCCCAACGACCACGACATCCTTTCCTTCAAAGTTAACCTTGCGGTCCCAATCAGAGCTGTGGAATATTCTTCCCCGAAATTCTTGGATATTAGCAATACTTTCAGGGCCCTTTGGGATATCTAGGAATCCAACAGCAGTACACAGAACACGAGAGTGCCGCACATACACTTCGTTGGTGGTGGTATCCAGAAACTCTACCCTCCGTAGATCCGTATCTTCTAGCCACTGGGCGGAAACGCACTCTTGGTGCAAATGAATGCGAAACTGAAGATTTTGGGCTACGCGTTTGATGTAGGCCAGAATTTCAGGTTGGCTTGCGTATGTTGTTGACCAGTCGGGGTTGGGGGCGAAGGAGTAAGAGTATAACTTGGATGCGCGTTAACCGTTAGCAAACGTTGCGTGCGTGTAATAATATTTATGCGATGGAGAAACTTGCTTCAAGAAAGCTTTTTACCTGGGAAAGGATATCGCAGCTGAGATTAGGGTATGTGTTCTTAGACCAGGTGCCTCCAATATCAATTGCTTTCAGAGTGGGGATCAATCAATCAATCAACTTTGACGTCTCCAAGTTGATTGATTGCTTCGTTGAACAGGCTGTGATTGATTTGATTTGATTTGATTAATTTCTGAGATGCTCAAGTTGAGTTGATGAGATTGATACTTTTTGACCCCCAAGTTGAATTGATTGGTTTGATTGATAGATTGATTGATAAGTTGATTACTACTTAGGAGGTTTGATGCCAATTCGACGCCAGGAGCGTATAGATTGCAGAGCACTAAGTAACTCAGGCTTCATATTAAGGCGTCGTACGCCCAGGAGATCGCCAAGTTCGCTGAAAATTCTCTCACAATCAGCTGAGGAGGCTGGGATGGAGTAGATATCAAGGGCTAGCTGGCCTAGAATAGGATAGCGATCTCTTGTGATAACCCAGTACT